AAGAGCTGAGAGTGGAGGGAGGGGGAAGGCTTTTCTGATCCTTTGGACCCCATAGGAAACCTGCTGTACCTGGAACTGGGGGTGCAGAGTGCAGCTGAATGGGACATAAATGTGGGCACCCTGAGGAAGTACCATCCACCTTGGTTCTGTCCATAAAAAGCAAGTCAAGAATGAGAGACTAGGGTGATGTCCATGATTTCCAGGAATTCTTTTCGTTGTGTGACTTATGGGTGAGCTGAAAGTTTGTTTGTCCCTAATGTGTGTACAGTCGTACCTTGGTTCTCGAACGTAATCTGTTCCGGAAGTCTGTTCGACTTCCGAAAACATTCAAAAATCAAGGTGTGGCTTCTGATTGGCTGCAGGAGCATCCTGCACTCAATCGTAAGCCGTGGAAGGTGTGTCAGAAGTTTGGATTCCAAAGAACATTTGAAAACCGGAACACTCACTTCCAGGTTTTCGGCGTTCGAGAGCCAAAACGTACGCGTACCAAGGCGTTCGAGAACCAAGGTATGACTATATGTTGTCTGGGAGGAAGCAAGATCTGTTTTTCTCAGGCAAAGTGTTACTCAAGAGGTATCAGAAGGATATGTTTCAAAATTGATGTATGACTACTATAGAGAGATAAAAGAGGATTTACTCAGCTAGACTGTTTTCAGGACAGGTTGTAACAATGTATAAAAGCCATGACAGAAATTGGTAATTGAACAGGTGATGTGTAGGGAGAAGGGATGAATGTACTATTTTGAAATGATACTTGGAAAAGTTATTTTACTGGGAGCAGCAAAGGGGAGAGGAAAATACAAGGGACATCGGGGGGGGGGGAGTCAGCTTTTAAATTTGTATATAATTTGTATTGATTTGGTGACAATTTGTTTAAAATTATGGAAAATCAACAAACATATTTGGCACAGAGAGTTTGTTTGGACCCTGGGTGAGAACACAGAGGCTGAGAGGAAGGGAGTGTAAGAAGCAACATGAATTGATACTGATTTTTATATACAGTGGTACCTCGGGTTAAGTACTTAATTCGTTCTGGAGGTCCGTTCTTAACCTGAAACTGTTCTTAACCTGAGGCACCACTTTTGCTAATGGGGCCTCCTGCTGCTGCCGTGCTGCCGGAGCACGATTTCTGTTCTCATCCTGAAGCAAAGTTCTTAACCTGAGGCAATATTTCTGGGTTAGCGGAGTCTGTAACCTGAAGCATATGTAACCTGAAGTGTATGTAACCCGAGGTACCACTGTATTTGTATATAACAATGTAGCATGTTTTATGTAGCTGTGTATTTTTGTAATTTTTTTAAAAGTTGCCTGTTGTCGCTTCCATTTTCTGTACACCGCTTAGAGATATTTTAAAATATATTAAGAGGTATAGAATAATCAATCAATCAATCAATCAATCAATTAGAGGCCATTCTCCAGTTGCCCCCTCTGAGAGTGGTTTGGAGGGCAGCAACAAAGAAGAGGACCTTTTGAGTTTTGACCTTCACCACTCCAGCACTGCAGCGATGGAATGCTCTCCCCAGTGAAGCCTGCTGCCAACATTAACATCCTTTCAGTGATAGGTTCGGACAAATCTCTTTTCCCAGGCTTTTGAGGGATTGTGATAATCATACTTACAGCTCCTTCTCTCTGTGTGGGCCGGGGAATATTGTTTTATTGTTACATCTGATAGCTGTTGTATTATTTACATTTCCCAGAGGTGTGGTGCATTAGGTGACCAATAAATTGAAATAATAATGCATCAGTCAACATCAACATAATCAACATTGGTGTTCAATGTGCTGTTGCTTATTCAGTTTCCTTCATGGGTGCAGAAACATAAGGGGAGATCTATTTTTTTGTGTTTTAGCAGTGGACATTAATTGGTATACCATATTGTCCTGGCAAAGATCCAAAACCTTTGTATTATCATCGCCATTGTTGTATTCTTGTTTCCATCAATAAACAACAACAACAAAAAGTGAAGTTCCTTAAACAAGAATCTTGGGGCTCAAAGTCATAACCTTCAAATTAAGAAATTAAATCAAGAGCTTTTAAATAGCCGGGGAAGAGCAGTGTATAACCTGCCACTTGCTTGGAAAACCACACAATGAAGAAAAACACCCAGAATAATATAAATAGAAATACACACAATAATAGAAATTTTCCTTCATAAACATGCTGGCTAGAAACATGCTGCTATTTTAGGCTTTAAATAGCTCATCAAAAGTGATGGCCATAAAATAATTATTCTTCTCTCCTGGAATAGTGTTCCTTCCTTCCTTTCTGTTACTTTAAAGGCTTACCTTGTCCACGGCTCTAACAGGCTTCTATGATTGGGTTAATGCATTTTAAAAGCTTGACCATAAGTCTGTTAAGACTAGGAAGTCCAGTGGGGCCTAATAAGTTTGTTGAGACAATACGTCTCCTGATATTTTTGCTTGCTGCAGTGAAACTATCCATTGTCCAAATGTGGCACAATCTATAGGGTTTTGAAGTAGACATATGGTATAAAAATGTACAGAGGTGGTCTGAGGAAATAACCCATAATGTAATTGGTGCTGAAAGGAAAGGAAAAAACCAGACACCTTTTATGCCATCTGGTGGTTGTTAATTGCATTTACTGGTGAAAAGGGTCTATATAAAATACGTTATCAGCTGCATCACTACAAAACTCGGTGTCATGACAATGTACAGTATACTTCTTCCTATTACCAATCCCATGACCTGCGGTCAAGGGGAAAGGGAATCATGAAGCCTATTGCTCATCCATTCACTGTCTTGTCAGATGATTGTTTTCGTTTAGACTGAACCAAGACCAATTTCATGATATGAGGAAACTTAAGATGCTGAAGGTCAAGACGTAATGGCTAGGATTGCATATGAATCATCATTCCTTTTAATTGTGAACTTGGCTGTTGGAGTGCCTGTCAGATTGGAAATTAAATGGAGCCATAAAAAAAAACGAGATGGTGGTTTCTAGGGAACTCAGGAGGTATGCAGAAGACATGGAGGAACAGCCTAAGTACCTGCTAAACTTATTCATGTCTGTGGAGAATGTTGAGGGGTAAAAAAGAAGAATGGAGCTGATGGGATAGGAAAGAGAAGAGGAAACTAGCTTGCTCAAGCCCCTAAAGGTTTTGTTCTTGAGGATTTGGAAGATTTTTAAAAACCTTGCAGTATACAGGGATGTTGCAGGAGCAAGGAAAGGCAAAAGGACACATTTCTCGCTTCCAAATCACCAAGTACCCCACTCCCAGGTTCCACGATATAGCTATAAAATGCTTAGATCAGGGCTACGTTTACTAATAAATCTGAATTTGAATATAATAAATTTATCTACGTTAGTATCCCCCACTTGCCATTCACTACCTAAATAACTTGTCTGAAATATTTCAGGTGGAATCCAGCCAAAGTTAAAGCACTTCAAAGTCACATTGAAGTTTCTAAGATAGAGGACTATGTCTACACTTAACTCCCCAGTGGAAATCGATGGGCTGGAATAGCTGCTGATGCTTTTAATATATATCCCACTCTTCCTTCCAAAGGAGTTCAGGGCCGCAAACAACAGGATATAAAACACTAAAAACGTATTTAAAACGTGCAAACTAGCAAAGTGCTCTACTTAAAAGGCTTGCTGGAAGTGTTTCAAGTCCGTACCCTGGACTCAGCTTTACAGCTGCAAATAAAATGTTTTAAGTGTGTTGTAAAGTGCAATGTGACACTAGATGGCGATGGTGAGCTATGGCAAATTCAACAGATTTTTTTATTTTCAAAACGTTTTTTAAAAAAAGCATTTTCGCAGCGTTTTTTATGTGTGCGTAGATTCCACCCCGGTTTGTTGGCAATATATATCATTGTATGCATTACTAGAGGGTACTAGAGGCTGATGTTTTATCAGCTTGCCTTAAGAACTAAGAAGAGCCTTGCTGAATCAGACCAAAAGGTTCATATAGCTCTGCATGCTGTCCATACTGTGCCCAACCAAATGCCTTTAAGAACACACCCCTTTGAAGAGATGAAAATATCCGCCAGAAATAGCAATGCCGAAAGAACACAAAATTGCCTTTTGCATGTGCAAAATATCCTTTTGCGTGTGCTGAAATAGTCATTTTAAATCCACTGAATTGCATAATGGCACCATCTAGTGGGCAGTTCAGTGCAGCTGATCAGACCCTTTCCTTCCATAGACTGTCACTGCTAATGAGCAAAGGCAGTTTCTCCTTCACTCTCGATTGTGTGGCTGACCAAAATGGGCTGGCTGTGGTTCAGCAGTGGCTGTGCTCCTCTAATGATATAAATAAATTCTTTTCACCCAATGGCCTAGACAAATACATAAGTCTTTAGCACCTTTGGCTGGTGTCATAAACTCAAGCAAGTGGGCACCAGTCTTACTTGGGATGAGAGGGGCTTCCACAACAGCAGGGATAGGCAAACTCCAGCCCACCAGATGTTTGGGACTACAATTCCCATCATCCCTAGCTAACAGGACCAGTGGTCAGGGATTGTGGGAATTGTAGTCCCAAACATCTGGAGGGGCGGAGTTTGCTGATGCCTGCACAACAGGGATGCCTGTACAACACCCAAGTGCCTGTGCTGACTTGAAAGTCATTTTCTAAGCAAAACGTCATTTCCTACGCTTTCTCTTCTGTTCTCCTTTTCTTCCAGCTGCACTACAGTTCAGCTTCCCCCTTCCACATACATGCAAAATAGCTGTCTGAGCCAGCAACTCAAGCTGCAAAGGGCTGTGTGGGTGAAGCAATGCAGTTTGCATTGGAGGCTGATCTTTCTCAGATCATTTATACAGTACATAACAGTCTGAGATTCCTCACAACTCACTTTCCGAATACTAGGTAGTATGTATGTTTGATCATCAGAACAATCAAGCTTGAATCTGAATACAAGATAAATGTCAAGACTTTTTTTTCTTTCTTTCAGCAAACAGAAATCTATTTCCCCTAAATCAGCTTCCTCATATTTATTGCTCAACGTTATTCAGACAATACTTTTTTAGCAGAACCACTGCTTTGAGGATGAAAACTAAACCGCTTCTCCATTCTTGTTAAAAATGCTGAAGTGCTTAGTGTTTGTGTGTCTCCCTTTAGTATGTGGTATGAAATACTCCTGTTATTAGTGGTGCCTATTTCTACAATGCTGCCCATTTGATTAACCTCACTCAATGTTCTTTTTTCTTCTTTCAGCTCATTCAGGTCTACCCAACCTGGATCATGGGAGTGGTAAGAATGTTGATAAAAAAGGTAAGTTTCTCCTTCAACTTACAGTAGTGAGATTCAAAATGCCATACCAGAATAGATGGTATGTTCAACTATATGTATGTAAGATCAGTAAATTATCTTAGCCTTGGCGCATTGCAATAATTCTTACTTACTTAGTGCAATAATTATACTTTATTTCAGTTACTTGTATCTCATTTAAATTGTTTTAAAAACCCACAACAAACAATATCAAAATAGAAAAGGTCATCAGGATCCTTCCCAGAGGGAAGCTGGTAGTAGAATAGCCCTGTGGTGGGGGAAAAGATAGTGAAGGTCAGTGTTTCTCAACTAGAGGACACCCCCAAAAGAGTATATGAAGCTATTGGGGGGGAGGGGTGTTTCCAAAAACACTGTAAGTACAAAATTAAAAGTCACAAAATTTCAATCCACTTGGAAATTTAAAAAAAAGAATTAGGAGAGCTAGGTTTGAAGGGCTGTGGGATATTTATGTTAGCTAAAAGTGGATGTGGGTTTAAAAAGGTTGAGAAACATTTGTTCTGGTGGAGGAAAATAAGGCGGACTGCCTCCCTCCCTCTCTCTCTCACCTGAAGTCCATCCCACAAGAGACTTAATGGTAATATCACTTGGGGTGAGGGGTGGAGAAGTCCAGCCTCATAAGGTCCTGAGGTCTTTCTTCACCTTTCTCTTTCCTGGAAACCTCCTTGTATCCAACACCAATCTGAGCAGAAAATATAGAATCATCTGTTCAAATCTGATCTAAAGTTTTGATTAAGGCTTACGGAAAAATAACTTGTCAAGTAGGGATTTTCTCTATGTGCTGGGTTTTACAGCTATATATTGTGACATTGCTGCTGTTAATTTGTAGTATAGGTTTCAATGTATTTTATGGTTATGTATTTCTCTCTTTTTTGCTGTAAACCACTCTCTTGAGTGTGTCTGTACAAGAGCAGAATATAAGTGAATTGCTACAATTCCTACTGCTAATACTATTCTGCCCAAGCTTTTGATAACTGGTAAAGACCTCGGGGTTGGTTATGTGCTACACACAAAGATGTACATTAAAGTTCTGACACAGCAGGGATTGTTTTACTTTGGGAAATGTTGATTTGTGAGGGGGGGGTTTGAAGTAGAGCAGGGGTCAGCAAAGTTTTTCAGCAGGGGGCCGGGTCCACTGTCCCTCAGACCTTGAGGGGGGCTGGACTATATTTGGGGGGGGATGAATTCCTATGCCTCATAAATAACCCAGACATGCATTTTAAATAAAATCACACATTCTACTCGTGTAAAAACACCAGGTAGGCCCCACAAATAACCCAGAGATGCATTTTAAATAAAAGGACACATTCCACTCATGTAAAAACATGCTGATTCCCAGACTGTCCACGGGCTGGATTTAGAAGGTGATTGGGCCAGATCTGGTCCCCGGGCCTTAGTTTGCCTACCCATGAAGTAGAGCAAATACACAGGGTGTTCTACCTCTCTTCTCTCCCCCCCCCTTTACAATGTCCATTGCAACTCACTCCTGAAAGCTGATTCTCCCCCTCTGCAGTGTCTTTGCCCTTATGGAAGGGATGAAGGAAGGCTGGGTAGGGTCAGGATTGGAGTAGAGAAGCACTAGGACAGAATACGTTTGAGAATATCATTTCCCCTGCTCCAAATCCCCCCACTGCCATTTGGAATTAATGGAATTCACTGCCAGAAGACACTTAGATATCTTCCAGAGGTTATCTTATCAATTCATGGTCTAGTGATATTGATCAGGATGTCTATATGGAACTACCGTGTTCCGCAGGCACTCAATGCCACAATGTAAAAACCAGCTGCTGGGCAGCAGAGCAACAGTGCCCGAATGCATTTTCCAATTCAGCACACAGCATATTCTAAGGAGTTGTTTGCTTCTTGACTTCTCATTACAGATGTGCCTGACAATTTCGCTACTTGCCCAGGGTCCAAAGCTGTTTTCAGCATTTGCAGCCATCCAAACGAAACCATCATAGGTGGGAATGTGATCCTGGTGTGCTACTACTCAAAGACTGATTGGCTGCCAATTAGCTACACACTTTTCAGAAACCAGACCAAGGCTGTAGGCTATGTAACAACGAACAGGACAGAAGAAAGGGCTGTGTTTAACCTCACAGTCATGTCGACCAGCGATCTGGGTGAATATAAATGTAAAGCTCAAAGATTTAATGAAACCCAATACAGCCGTGGACTCAACATTACATTAAGAGGTATGTGTATTTTCTAATATCTAGAGAGTTCTGGTTTTAAGGTGTGATCTTGAAAAGTGTCAGTTGGGAATCCTCATTGTGTTCTCATCAATTATGAGCCTGCCGTGCTGAGAACTTACAGCTTGTAAGAACCCAAGAGCCTGTCATGACAGGTGACATTTGCACCTGAAAAGCCAGTGCGCCCAAATTCAAAAAGAAAGACCTCTGCGCGCAGGGCCAGAGTCTACATTTGCCATACAAACATCCATGGCTAACGAGCAAACTAAAGGTTAAAAGGAAAATGCACTTAAAGACATAAGAATGGGACACACACACAAAAACAACAACCTGGGACTAAACACCAGCAAAAACCAGGGATTGCCCAACAGAGCTTTGAGTGGAATATGGCTTGTATAAGAACAGTCGTCCCTACTGACAGGCTTAAGGCTGCACCCATGGTTAAAAAGCATTGGCTTAGGCTAACTTCCTTTCTGTGAACGGCACAGAGTTCTGCTTATGTGGAAATGGAAGTTTCTTCCCCCTTGCAGCCTCCTCACAAATCTGTTCCTAGGAATTGGAGAACTATCTGTAATGGTGTGGGGACTGTAGATGGAAAGTTGCCCGAATGCCCCCTCTTGCACAAATTTTAAACAATCTAGAATCTATTTAGTTGCTGTTGTTGTTTCATTTTACTTAAAAATGCATCCCATTTGGACAGGAACCTCATCCATGTTTACCTAACATCCATATGATTATATTTCTCCCAGTGGCAGAAGAGAAAAAGAATAAAAACTTGGTAGCATACATTGTGCCTCCCTTGCTTCTGCTGCTGTTGCTGCTAGCAGTAAGTGCAGCAATTGCACTGCTGATTCTTCCTTGGTGTAAAGCAAGTAAGTATGACTCTGCTTTACCTATATGAGGATCCTTTTTTGTTGTTTTTTAGACTTTAATTTCTGATATCACACTACTGGCTATCAGTCTATCTGCCTACAACACATTTAACAGTCCTGTGCAGGTTTTTCTATTAGGAAATGTTTAAATGTTATAATTAAAGTTTAGTTTTCTTTCCTGTTTTGATTCAGTGACCAAGGTTCCAAAATTTGTGATGTGCTCTTGACCCATTTTTGACCGGAGGCAATTTTGAACACATGCCAAAGTGCCCAGTGACCTCACTGCAAGAGCGCAAAAGATATGAACTGCACAAATAAGCTTGAAATGTTAAGTTCATTAATCTTATTTGAAAGGTTAAATCAGGGGTAGGCAACCTAAGGCCCATGGGCTGGAGTTGCTCTCTCAATCTGGCCTGTGGGCGGTCTGGGAATCAGCGTGTTTTTACATGAGTGGAATGTATACTTTTATTTAAAATGCATCTCTGGGTTATTTGTGGGGACTGCCTGGTGTTTTTAGATGAGTAGAATGTGTCCTTTTATTTAAAATGCATCTCTGGGTTATTTGTGGGGCATAGGAATTTGTTCTTTTTTTCGTTTCTTTTTTTCAAAATATAGTCCGGCCCACCACATGGTCTGAAGGACAGTGGACCGGCCCGTGGCTGAAAAAGGTTGCTGACCCCTGGGTTAAATGGTTCCAAAGGGTTTTTCCAAAGGGAACCAAATGAATTGCTTTCAGATACTTCACTTCTTCAAACAAATCTGTTGTGATTTGGTCTCTTTAGTGAAGGACTTGCACATTTATTCAACCTGGTTTTTAGTCATTTTGGTGTATGCCCACAGAAACCCAAAGTTTCTCGTCTAAAAGCCCCACAGCTTCATAATGATTTTTAAGACTGGAAATTAGATTATCGACAATTACATAAAAACATCTGTCTTGAATAGATCCTTTAGATTTCTGTCACTTCGTTTCTGTCATTTCATCACGAAATGATTTCCTCTTCTTAAGGCACCTCTCTGTAAATTCTGGCTTGATGTTCATTATATTGGCAATAGCAATGCCACAGAGTAGGCATTTTGTTTTCTTGAATTAAGGTTACTTCAGCTAACTAGCTTTTAATGTTATTGACATCAGCGGCAGTATCTCAAAGCTTATAGTAGTTTATGTCTGTAGTCAACTGAAACCAGCAACTTTTACCAGACTGGTGCCATGATTATGCACTTGAATGATGTGAGATATTCCAAAACACCCCACAGCACAAAAGATGTCTGTAGAGACAAATTTAGCTTATTCAAAGACTCCACAGCAATGACAATCTTATCTAAAGGAGTTGCAATTAAGCATACAGAATCCACCCATGCCCTCCAATATAGGGTTGCCATGTTTCAAAAAGTGAAAATCCAGACACAAATGTTGCTGAGCCTTTTTTTTTTTTAGTTTTGCCCAAACTTTTTTTTTAAGGAAATTTGCCAAAACCTACACTTCCAATGTGGGTTGCCATGCGTCTGGATTTTACCGCACTGTATAGTGATTTCCGTCCAGAGACGGCCGACTCCCATCTATGTCTGGGAAATTCCAGATGCATAGCAACCATACATGTGTATCAGAGGATGTAGAAGATTTCCAACACACTCTTTCAGAATGTCCCATCACTGGGGACTACAACAACAACAAAAATAAATAAATCAGAAAGTTGCTGCACTTTGCCCAAAAAGGCATTGCTTCCTGGCAACACTCAGCACTCCACACAAGCTAAACTTACAACAAGCACATGATTTTTTTAAAAAGTTGCAGCATCAAATGCATTTAAATGCATTTAAAGGCAGGTGTTAGTCAAGGGTGTTAGTTTCACCTGTCTAGGTGGAAAGTGTTTTTGCAAAGCATAGCATAATATATGATATATATTCATTTTTTATTTAACGTATCTTCTAACAACATAAATAACGGCTTGGATCTCGATGTTCTGAGAGACCATATTCTCCCATACAAATGTGCCTAGGGTTTGAGATCTAGGTAAGAGGCCTTTCTCTTGGACCCATCACCCTCCGAGACATGTTGGCGAGGATACAAGAGAGGGCTTTCTCAGCGTGTTGCTGAGGTATTGGGGGAGGGGATGTTATTGGGTTGTTGTTTTTATTTTGATTATATTTTTTGTGGTTTTATATTCTGGTTTTGTTCTGTGAACCGCCCTGAGACCTCTGGGTATAAATTCAATCACATCAAATCAAATCAAATCAAATCAACTCCCTTCCAAGGGAGGCTAGGCTGAACGCTTCCCTGGCAAGACAAACATATTTCTGTCTACAAAATTCATTCCGCTCCTAAACCTTCTGCGAGTCATGTACCCTAGCACATGGCACACACAAATATTAACTTAAGGTTTGAGGGAACAAGCGCTTCGCATTTGGTTTTACACTCACAAAGATGAAAAGTAAAAAAAACCCATGCAGATTTATTCTGGTGTGCTGACTGTACTGGCAAACTAATTCACAACGAAGCATTTGATAATGAGAGAGCAATCTTTCCTTACCTTGAGTAGCGCTGGTGTGGTGACATCTTTGTGCTTCGGCAGAATCCTTATCAGCTTTTCCTCCTGATAAAAGTGCTTGAGCATCTGACAGCCAGCTTTCACAATGTCACTCAGGCCCACACGGCGATTTTGAAACCAAGCCTAGGTTGAAATAACTTCCCTGACCTTTCCTCACTTTTCTTTCGCCAAAGATCGCATCTGCACTCCACGTTGTTAACTTCGCCTTGAAATGTGTTCTAGGCCAAACAAGAGGCGGCGACATGCATTCTCATGCAATAAGCTTCTCTTTGCCACTGTGGCAATGTGAACTGGGGCCTAGTCATTCTGGTCTCCATACACCTTAATCCTATTCATAAAGGCCTATAGAAAACCCGGGGTTTAGCAACCTCATAGCCACCTCTCTGGTCCACCGAGCTGCCAAAATTCATCTCGTAAAGCATCGCTTGGTTTTTCCGTCTAGGCCCGGGATTTTACCCCTGTTCCTTACTTAGAACAGACCCGCTGAAGTTATAGACACTACTAACTTCGGCTGATTCATTTCAGTTGGTCTTCTCTGACTAGAATGTCACCAGTCAAGAGTAGACAACATGGTGTTAGTTGGGCCAATGGCCCGACTAGGGATGAGGCAGTTTCCTATGTTCCTATGGGTGTGTCCTGGAGAAAGCCTTGAGACTTGTAAAGATAAGCGTCAAGGGCTGCATTGGCACCCAAGGCCTGAGGTCCCTCACCCATGTATGTAAGACTGGTATAGTGGTACCTTGGGTTAAGTACTTAATTCGTTCCGGAGGTCCGTTCTTAACCTGAAACTGTTCTTAACCTGAAGCACCACTTTAGCTAATGGAGCCGCCTGCTGCTGCTGCACCGCCGGAGCACGATTTCTGTTCTCATCCTGAAGCACTATTTTTGGGTTAGCGGAGTCTGTAACCTGAAGCGTATGTAACCTGAAGCGTATGTAACCCGAGGTACCACTGTATAGCACACTTGTTTGATTGCTAAGTTGAAATGGTTCTGGTATTTAGAGCAAGGGCAGGGAACCTTTTGTTGTAGGCCTCATCCCTTGATCAGGGTGGCATACTGGCAGTGGGCAGGGCCTCTGAAGATTGACCTTACAATTAACTCTTACTGCCACCCACTTTCCCTCTCTCTGCATCTCCCTTTCCACCACCCATCTTTCTCCTCCTTGTAGTAGGGGAGCGACAACCTTGGCAAGAACATGCAACCTTCAGAGGGCTTTCTCCCACTTCATCCTTCAATTGCTCAGTCTGTTTCAGCCCATGCACATTATTTTGTCCATGTCTCTCTGGGCTCCCCCAACTGGATTAAATTTGACCCAAATTTGTCACCCGTGACCTAGAGCCAAGAGAAGAGGATGCACTTCACAGGGGAAAGCAAGGCCTTGCTTATCAGAAACACATTTTAACCCTATCACTGTATTTTGCTTTTATTTCACAGGAAAACAGAGTAGAGGCAGCAAACCAGCTGTTGTCTTTTCAGCCCGTCGCCCAAGCAGTGACAACGGTGATGTTTATGATACTGGTAAAGACCGAGCAATTCCATACACTCCTAACATTTTCCCGGTGAAAATAGGGACATCCCATTCCGTAATGATAATTTTACTATTTATACCCCACACATCTGACTGGGTTGACCCAGCCACTCTGGAAAGCAAGGCAAAATATTCTATTGAAAGAAACAAGATTTGGTTCTAGGAATTCTGGCTCTATATGGCAAGGGGAATGAATATTTTACAAATCCTTTGTTGTAACATCGCCACAGGGGGTAGGGGGGTGGAAACACACACAACAAGTCTTTTAGGCACATGTTATAAAGGACATTATAGCTCATACAGAAGCAGCACATGATATACTGCCTTGAGACCCTGCAGTGTGTAGAATGACATGTGCCAATGGGCCAAACTGTATAGCCAGTTGACTATCAGGAGCTTGTGCAAAGAGCTTTGAAAGCTGGCTGAGAAGAAAGAATAGAAAACAGGACTGAAAAGAGTTGGAGTAGGCCTAATGATGAAATCATAAGGCTCAAGAACAGGAGAGACTGAAGATTTATGTAGACTTGTATCTCCCTGTGTTCCAAAGCCTCAAGGTAGATATTTAATAAATAATAATAATAATAATAATAATAACATTTATTATTATTATTATTTTTTTTTTATTATTATTATTATTTATACCCCGCCCTCCCCAGCCAAGACCGGGCTCAGGGCGGCTAACAACCAATAATAAAAACATGTTGATTAAAATACAATTTAAAAAACAAGATTAAAATACAACATTAAAACATTAGGATGCAGGTCTTCACAGGAGGAGAAAGGAAAAAGAAAGGTGGGGGAGGGAATCAAACTGATTCTAAGCCAAAGGCCAGGTGGAACAACTCTGTCTTACAGGCTCTGCGGAAAGAAATCAGATCCTGCAGGGCTCTGGTCTCATGAGACAGAGCGTTCCACCAGGCCGAAGCCAGTGTTGAGAAGGCCCTGGCTCTGGTTGAGGATAATCTAACTTACTTAGGACCCGGGACCTCTAGGCTGTTGCTATTTATGGACCTTAAGGGGCATACCAGGAGAGGCGGTCCCCAATATGAGGGGCATTCATGGCAACTACAGGTACCTTTTCTCATATACATGGAACATATTCCTGAAAAGAGCTAAGAATAAGGAACTCTTTCATGTGAAGGAGTAAATGCAAAGAACCAACAAACCCAAACTCTAATAACTCTTTCCTGAAAAGGGATAAATAGAAAAGCAATTTTAGCACTTCCAGAAGTACAAAATATGCCCAGTTTCATTCCTATCAATCATTAAAACCTCATCCTGGGAACCATACAATTGAGAATTATATTTAGTATTTCCCTGTATCTTAACAGAGATTTAAATTCAGTTTTGTTAAATAGTCCCATTTCGGACATCACATTCCTGACCTTTCAAGACCATGGATTTAAGGATGAAGAACATAATTTCTGATTTGAGGCAGAACATATAAAAAATTGAACTGTTTTTGCAGACCAGAAATGCGAGTTAACTCATCTTTTCACTTATTCTTTCTTGCATTCTATTCAGTATGTGAAGAAAATGAGTATTGCAATGTGAAACTTAAAACCAAGAAGGAAGACAACAGAAATGGTAAAGTCTATCTTGAATTCCCTAAATAAAGCAATGCTAGGTTGAATACAGGTTTGCCCTCCTGAGTTGGACAATCCTACTAAAAGCAAACTATATTAGATTATGTGCACTAGTGAATTAATACTAAACAAAGAAAGAAGTGAAAAAGAACTACCAGCATGCAGCTCATGCGCATTATGATTAAAAATAATGTCCAAACTCAATCAATATGAGAAAATTTTCAAAACTCCACGAACTTACATTTCAAAAACAAAAAAAATTAAAAGGACAAAACATTTAGTTTTGTTTGCAACCTTTAAGAAATGATGATATATTGAAACAGAAATAGCCCCCACCATGCAATATTAGTGGTACTGAAAATATTTATTTAGCTTCATTTCAGTTTTGAAACCAGTTTTATGATTCATTACTGCTTACAACCATGTTAGTGAGCACAGCAATATATATATGATTTTTTGGAATTACCCCAAAATACCTTACCTCGAAGCAGTAATAGAGAACCTATGCCCTCTAGATGTTGCTGGACTAACTACCACCACCCCTGATTGCTAGCAATGCTGGCTGTGGCTAATGAGATTTGTAGTTCAACATCTGGAGGGCCACAGGTTCCCCATCTCTGTCCTAAATAAGCAGTCTAAGGCTGCAGTCTTATGCTGTGAATATCCTATTTAGCTCAATGGAATTTACTTCCTAGGAGAGAAAGAATTGAACCGAGATATTTTTTAATTAACATAGTACAGAACTCCAGATTTGTACCCAATGCATCCTTTGCTACTTTATGGTGAGTTCTCTGCTTGTTACAAACAGGCTGGTCTACAGTGACATTGAGGAACATTCATATTCTTGCATGTCATGTTTGTTTGTGGAGAGCTTTACTTTATAGTAAAGTAGTTATAGTTATAATTCATGGATTGCCATCTGATTTTATTCTGATTTTAAGCTGTATTTCAACTGATGGTTTGATCTTATGTTTTAATGTATTAGATATTTGATGTTAGCCACCCTGAGCCCGGTCTTGGCCAGCGAGGGCGGGATATACGTAAATAAAAGTTGTTGTTGTTGTTGTTGTTGTAGTAGTAGTAGTAACACAGCTGTTATCTTGTGAAGGATTGCAGCCTTATTATAATGACTGCTGCAAACTGGTATCTCACAAGATGCTGTGCTCTGTTTACAACGAGTTCTTAAGGAATTCTGGCCCTACTGAAAAAGAAACATTTTACATAGAAGAAATGGAGGATTTATAAATAGGCATTGTCCCCACAAATAGGTAGGAGAAAATTCACATAAAAAATGTATTTTAGACACATATTACAAATACCTTTCAGCTCATATTATAGCAAAAATGTCTTTTAAAAATGCAAACACTTGAAGGTACAAGTTGCTATCCACAACTGACACCAAAATTAGCAGAGAATGCACATGGCAAGCACTATTGGATTGCACCCTACATTTTTCAAGTTTAGATGGGAAGACATGGAAGGTCACCCACTGAAACCTGGAACTATGCTGCTTGCCTGAATTACATGAATGTGATGCTACCTGTAATAGTTATGGAATGGCAGGATATACCAACATGGAAACTGATATGACTAAGGTTATATACACATTATGCCTTTAAAGCATATTCAAAGCACTTGCTCCCTCAAACAGTTCTGAGCACTGCAATTTGTTAAGGGTTGCTGGGAATTGAAACACTGGGAGAGGTAAACTACAGTTCCCAGAATTACTTGATGTAAATATTGTGCTTCAAATATATAGTGTGTACGCAGCCTTTTTTTAAAAAGTTAAGTTCATTTCTTATTTATTCTAGTGATCCTTGGTGGGGATAGTACTGTAGACTATGCAGAAGTTGTCATCCGAAGATAAAAAGGTACAGTTCCTTCCTCACTATTCACAAGCAACTGAGTTTTTTTCAGATTCTCCGATTATGTCCATTTTGATCATGTTTCTGCCTGTAGTGGGTAGGCACAAATCTTTAATTTACTTACTATTTGTCATGTGTTAAAGATAGTACCCTCTTTTTCTCTTAAATGCTAGATAGCCAATTCAGCAATGTAATGTCCAAAGTTTGGTTCAGACAAAATGTAATGTCCAAAGTTTGGTTCAGACAAAAGCAAGACTTGGTCTCATTTTGTCATCGTTGTTGTCCCCAACACTCTACTACTTCATTCTATATTACAGACCACCAGAACCAAGCTATGATTTATAAATGTGGTTTGGAGGACATGCACAAACCATAATTTGGATGCAAAAGAGAGGGATTCAGAACACATAAAGAGAGGAGGAAGCTTATAAAACTGAAGCTCGAGTATTATATCCAAAAATACCAGTAGTTTCTAGTGATTTGCAACGCCTTGGGGGGGAAATATGGGGTGTAGGAAGGAACCACAAACCAAAAGGCATACTACTCAGAGTGTAGAAACAGCAGCGAAACCTTCATTTTTTTCAATAATCCTTTCATATAATATATATATCGCACCCATTTATTTTTTTTGCAGTCACTGCCTTACTCCCCACCACTCCACCTAATCTCTTAAGAACTGTTTTTCATATATTGATTAGATTACCCAACCAGTAGGAAGCTGCCAATTGTTCCTCTAAACCTGACTGTTTCCCAGTAGCTTTAGAATATTCTTCAACAAAGCCCATGTCCGTTTGTTTGTCTTTACAGGACTCTAGTTTGATACCAGTTGTCTCAAGATACTACAGCCAAGATGACACAGCAGATCTAGAACCTTTCCTTTACCTTTTGACAAGTTCAATATTACCTGCTTGCCCCTGCTACGTGTCTCCAACCTGATGTTCAGCATTTATTCAAACTGACATATCAGCAATCAAGGAAGTGGAAAACCACCACCTCACTTCATTGGTTCCAAGTCTCTCCCCCCCATTCAATTACAATGGAGAATGATTTTGCATATGAACCTGGGACACTTAAGCTAATGTTTATTCCAGTTTATGGGAATGCCATTTATATATGCTTATGTTGGAAATGGAAGCAGAATTAATTTGGCTAACAAGGTTAGGATGGGTTCATGTTCAGATGACAGCTGCTCCACTGCACACAAGTCATCCATGCCTATTTCTACTATATAAAAAGACAAATTTATTGATCAACAATGCACTAATTCCTTTCAGATGAAGATGTTGCTATGTTGTGATAAAATTAAGATCTCCTGGGGTCTGGAAGGCTCCAAACTGCTAGTTATCAAAGGATCATTATATCTTTGCTTGCCCTCTGCTTCTTAGATGTTTTGTAATGTTACTATGAACTGAAAGCTGTGGCTTTCCAGTTGCATAGTTTTGCCTCATCTTATCGCATGATGCAAGAGAGCCCCCTAGCGAACAGAACAATGTATCAGAAAAAAAGTCAATTTTCCTGGCTTTTGTTAGCTACAACCAGGGAAAAGATCCATTCAGGAAGGAAGGAGAGAATTGGTCTTTATTGTAAGCTCAGATGTTTTTAGCTGCTGAAATGTACTTGGTTAAGAAGTCCTTTAATCGGGATATATGCATCATTTCTTTCATTGTGGTGTCTCTGTTCCTTAGCTGGACCACACCATTCTCTAGTGTGGTATCACTGACAAGGATTGTGAAGAGGATACTCATTTCATCATACCTGCAAACAAAAAAACAAGCCTGTGGAACTGGTGCTCTTGTATTCAGTAGCAGTATGACAAATTTATATTAGGGGAGGCACACTGAAAGAATCCGCTAGGCATTCTGTACATTAAAAACCAGCACTTTCCAGGAGTTTGTGGTTTTTAAAAATAACTTACAGAAATATTGCTATAAGGCATTCAGTTCTCCTTGGGGGGAAAAGGGTTTGTTTACTAATTGACCTGTTGAAAGATTTTCAGGATTCAATGTTGCCATTGTTAACCCAAGATCAATTTCACGCCAAGTGAGTCACTCAATACTGGAGCAGATGAAGGTAATGTAGAGGTGCAGTTTGCCCACTGTCTCTAAGACAAACTGCACAGGACTCCTTCTTTCCCAGACACCATTTACTATCCTGTTCATCTCCCACAGGCCACCACCATGCTATCCCTGAACTTTTAAGTATACAACAGAGAGCATGAACAGCCTTGGTATTCCCGTATCTTGCTTTCTCAACCTGAGAACAGCAATAGAAGTCTATACCAATTTGTGAGCCAGTGTAGGAGCCACAAAACAGTTTAGGGCTATAGCATGTTGGTGGGAGAAGGGCTGCGGAAGTGTGACGATCCACTGCAAAAGTATTTGCAATGCTAAGATAATAAAAAATAGAATTTCTCAAAAGCAGTTCAGGTATTTTTTTTAAAGGCAAGCAAGACAGTGTACTGACTATATTGTAATAAAAGATTATTAAAACATGGAGGTGAGTCAACCTTGGTCACTCTGTCGGAGGACCTCCCCTAGGGTTGCCATATTTCAAAAAGTGAAAATCTGGAGACAAAGGTTGTTGAGCTTCTTTGGCTAAAAATGAGTTTTGGAGCTAATTTTAATGAAATTCGTCAAAATCTACACTTTCGGTGATTTCTGCCCAGACACTGTTTACAAGGGCAGAATACCGACTACGTCCGGGAAATTCCGGACATATGGCAACCCTAATCTCTGCAGAGAGTGGGACATTGGGAGCGGGACCTTGCTCCTGCTCTTTAATCTCTCTTCAGCTTTTGATACCATTGGCCATGGTATCCTACTGGCTCTGGGGAATGGAAACTGGGGGTGCTGTGTTACTGTTGTTCTGATCCTACCTCTGGGCAGAGTCCAGAGAGCAGCATTGGAAGAGTGCTTTTTGGCTGCCTAGTGGTTACACTATGGGGTGCTGCAGAGTAATCTCTTATCGCTAATGCTACGTAATAGCTATAAGAAGCTGCTGGGAGTGGTCATTAGAAGTTTTCGGGAAGGGAGCGATCAGCACTATTTCTCCATAACATCTGAATCAGGAGAGGTTATGTGGTCTCTGGACCAGTGCCTGGATTTTATATCACAGCTTTACCCCCACCATTGGGCAAAATATTACTGCATTGCAGGGGGTTGGAATGGATGATCCTTGTGGTCTCTTCCAACTCTACAGCTCTACGAACCCATGTTTCTTACTTTGCAAAAAGCTGCTCCAGTGACGACTGCACGGTTTCGAGATATCCAGGCCAAACAGAAATCCCATTTTCTAACAATTCATTGAACAATCCCTTGCACACCTACAAGAAGGAAACACTGTCAGTGATTGGAATGTTAAACTGGAAAACAAACGTAGCTTTTTAATTATAATAAATTAATTGATATCATTAATGATGTAAAAACATTCAAGATACATTCTGGAGGAGAAAGAGCTAAAAAAGAAATCACCTAATGCCAACAATTTAACCTTGGTTCATTTACCTCAAATATATTTGACATTTCCTTGTTTTTGGCAATAGAAATTAACTTAGGAACCAATGAAAATATTTTTCCTCTTGATTTTGTATACAGTTACTTTGCTTCCTAAGCAATTAATGCTAATCCCTCGGATCATCAGCTGTGCGAAGTTTATCCCCAGTACAACTCCTGCAAGAAAGTAATAACTAGGCACAAGATTTATACATGCCTAAGCAAGTGACCTGCACATTTGTGCAATCCTACTTAAGTAATCCATTGGTTGGCCAAACCAGGCCACTGCCTTTCACAGCAGCTAGGACAAAAAGATTGGATGCAGCATTTGAGCCACATGAACTGAAGCTGTGCTTATCTACATTAAAATTCCTGCATTAGAATGAAATAAGCATACCTACTTTCATAGCTTACCTGCCTCAGCTCTATTGTAGGGCCTCTTCCCACATCCAAAGCTACTTTTATTGGCGTCAAACATGGGTGAAGTTTAAGTACCTGAAATACAAAACAGTAAAAGAGATACACAACCATGAAACATTCCCAGGACAATACAAATCACTGGCAGTATGTAATGTTCTTTTTTATTTTTGAACTCGTGGGAAATGGAGCCCAAGCCAGGGAATTAATGTTGCCAATTAAGCCTAAGAAAGAGAATAGGAATGTTTACATTCTCAGGACTGCATGCTTCCCCTGCCCTTCCTGTATGGCAAGAATGAGGAGCTTGGCACCTTTTGCTTGACCAGTTTGTTGTGTTGTCTGAACTGATAAACTGGTTAACTTTAGCGATGGCTGGTTACAACTTCTAACAATTGAAGTAGGCTTGCTTAAACTAACCTTAGTTGAGTTCAACTACAGTTCTGGCTGCATATAACAGATCAAGCTGCACTTAAAGGTAAAGGGACCCCTGACCATTAGGTCCAGTCGTGGCCGACTGGGGTTGCGACGCTCATCTCGCTTTATTGGCCGAGGGAGCCGGCGTACAGCTTCTGGGTCATGTGGCCAGCATGACTAAGCTGCTTCTGGCAAACCAGAGCAGTGCACGGAAACGCCGTTTACCTTCCCGCCGGAGCAGTACCTATATATCTACTTGCACTTTGACATGCTTTCGAACTGCTAGGTTGGCAGGAGCAGGACCGAGCAACGGGAGCTCACCCCCTCGCGGGGATTCGAACCACTGACCTTCTGATCAGCAAGTCCTAGGCTCTGTGGTTTAACCCACAGTGCCACCCACGTCCCAAGCTGCACTTTGCCTTTGATTAAGGCAAAAACAAACTTTCTGAACTCAGTAGCATTTGAGCCTGGCGCTTGCTGCTGTTCATTCACTTGGCACTGGAATATGCTTTATAATGGTGAGTGAATATGGGCAATATCACCTTTTATAGAAAATTCAATACCCTAATCACATAATGCAATATGCTAGGTCACAATCCAACACAAGAATAACGCCCATTAGTTTTCATCTGTGTAGGAGTGACCCAAGTGTTTTAGTTATACGCTGCCTCTGTATATTAATTTTTCAACCTCCTTGCTGGCCTGCATATGCATTAAGAGGAAGATCACCTTTCTCTGCAGAGCTTTCTTCCTTGTTGAAGCATTTTCAGCCAACTGCATACCATCACAGAGATATGCTAACACTCCATAGTCCAGATTGCCACTCACAGACAGGATATGAGGAACAACATTCTTCCTCCCATCTCGACCCTGAAGGAGAAAAAACAAAAATGTGCATTTGGCAATCTTTAAAACCCAGGAATACATTCTACAATAAGAAAGATGTAAAGAAGCAGATTAACTTCCATTCATTTGACATGCTGACTCAATAAAAAAAGAGTTCACAGTGATGGTGGGAGAGAAGGGGAGATAGGTTAAAAAGTGTTTCTAAAAGAGCTGGAATGTGTGATGAGCAGAGAAAAAGTGTCTACATATTTAATTTGTTCATTTCCAATGAAAGAAACATGTCACTCAGCACCTGCTGCTCTCCGGCTTGCCATCTTCATGATAATTCTGCACTTAGTGACTTCAAAGGCACTATGATTGTGGGATTGCTTCTACTTTGAGTCTTGTTGCTCATTTATAGTCTTGAAACTGTCCCCGGGCAAAGTTTTTATCCCATCTGCTTCACTTGAATGTATATTAGTTAAGCAATGCATGTTGTAAACCACTTTGGGAGCTCTTGTTTGGGACTGAAAAGCTGCCTAGAAATGCTCTTAAAATAAAATAAATTTAATAAAACTTACATGCAAACTGGATTCTTTTCCTGTATACATTTGTAGCAGTTCGTTATCCCCTAGGTTGCTCAGAGTTTCTATGACTTCCTTCCCCCAAGGAAAGTTATAATAGAGATTGCTTCTTCTTCTTCCTTCTTCATCATGATGATCACTACTGGTGAAGCTGGATGGGCTTATTGCAAACTACAGAAAAGTAACAGAAGGATCTATGAATGTACACATGACATTTATGCCAACTACACTGTGTTTTTTCCTGGTCTAAACAGAAGCATATGCATTAATGTTTCACCTTATTCTCTAGTTAGCTGTCTTTTCACTCTGACAGAAAGTGGCATGTCTGTACAGTGGTGCCCCGCAAGACGAATGCCTCGCAAGACGAAAAACTCGCTAGACGAAAGAGTTTTCCGTTTTTTGAGTCGTTCCGCAAGACGAATTTCCCTATGGGCTTGCTTCGCAAGACAAAACGTCTTGCGAGTTCTTGCGAGTTTGTTTCCTTTTTCTTAAAGCCGCTAAGCCGTTAATAGCCGCTAAGCCGCTAATAGCCGTGCTTCGCAAGACGAAAAACCGCAAGACGAAGAGACTCGCGGAACGGATTAATTTCGTCTTGCGAGGCACCACTGTATATCGGCTGTGGCTCAAGGACAAACGAGACACACATTTAATGCACAACAACCAGTAGCCACTATGCTGGGGTCACCAATGTGACCCCCACGAGTGCACCCACACCTTTCCTTCCTGGGCAATACAGCGTCCCTATCTTTGATGCAATTATGCATGAAATAAGCAATCCATTATAGCCAATAGGATAGGTGTTGCCCACCACAATTTCTCCAGTTTGCAAAAGTGCTCTCAAGTCCTAAACAGGCTGATAACCCCTGCCCTGGGGGAATTATTAGAACTGTAGCAGGGAGCAAGGGAGAAAATTAGCCCTTTCCTTCCCTACCTAAATCCTGGCAAAAACTGCTTCTTTGGCACAGTGCAGTCAAAAGTTCCACAACCTACTCCAATGCAAGGAATAGATGGAGTGTATATCAGTGGAGACAGGGTGTGGAGTAAAACAAACATGGGGAAATTTCAGCTGTAATTTCATGGGGGGATGGCATGTGTGAGGGTGAGAACTTGGCTGATAATTCAAAGCACAGGAGACTAATGCCAACGCTTCACAACTTCTCATGTCAGATGGAGATCAGAGGTGACAAGAATACTATCCTAACATTAGTGGGAAGGAACCATACACAGACTGTGAAAGACAATGTAGCGAGCTGAAGTATAAAATGCCATCTAGGATTGCAGCAGCAACGCCTTACTTTCCTTTTGCTGGACTATACTTTTTGTTTGGAAAGCTTGCAAATAATTCTACGTTAGTTGCCAGTCCAGAAGAATTTTTAGTAAGTCACACGCTTGCATATAGTTGGATCTAATTTTTAATGACTGCAGGAGGCAGAACTACTTGCAAGTCTAACTGAGGATCTTGTTGGATTCATATATTTTAAATTAAGCAAATGATTGTTTGAGTGCTAAAAGTGGGTTTGTTCATCATTATTCTAATATTGAGGGCAATGACCTACAGCCTTTTAACCTTCAGCAGCCTCCTTAGGGCATATAAAAACAGTGGCAGACAATTCACTCTCTTTGTACCTTAAAAGCTTATAATGCAAGTACTATACTGAATACCTTTCTCCACCACTGGAGACGCTGACGTAACCAGTAGTCCAGCCACTGTCCAGCAGTTCTAGCAGAGCTGTACCACACTAGGGAAGTCATCGTGCTTTCACCTGTTCTTTAAACAACAGCAGGAGGCCATCAAATTAACACTTTAAAACACAAATAAATGGAAGAGATTATTTTTCTTCCAGAAATAGAACAGACATGCAGAGATAAGCACCTGTGGCCAAATATTCTACCAAAGCCTATTTAGGAACGTAAATTACAGTACCTCATGTAATTCTCGTTTTCATTATTTCTTAATGGATGGAAACATACTCCTATCTGAGCAACCCCAAAAGGCAATCTCTTGTTGACCAGTTCCAGGCACTCAATGTATTGCTGTAAGGCACCTATCAATAAATAAATAATGAAAAGGCTTCAGCATTCATAGGAAGTGTTAACAATTCCTATATGTTAATCTGTTTTATAACGGAAAAGAATCTGGAACATAGACAGCCTAGGGCAAAATTTAGCAACTACACCAAGTAGTGTCACAGCTATACACTACCTTTTCACACAAACTTACAATTACTTTGTTATATACAACTGTACACTGGGTTACTTCTGAGTTGGGTGCTATGTTTTTAATATGTTTTGTGCCTGTATTTTCAGAGAAGTGTTAAAAAATGTACCATCTTTCAACTGAAAGTTCCAATATCATAATATAAACGTGTGATAGAATAGACACATTCCAGCATGCACACATTCAGAGATACAAAAACCTTAGCTATATTTTCCAGAGGGGTAGCAGAACCTTAGCTGTACTTGGGGAGTTGCATATCCCATCAACCACAGCACTAAACTTCAAATTGTGTGGAGTGGTGGAAAGGCACTTTTGACAAAAATATGTATCTGCTGTCACACACCTTTGGAGTTACAGCTGCAAGTTTGGCAGAATTCATCGTAACTAATTCAACACAGCCAACTCCCCAGAACGCTCCACTGTTAACCTAATACCCAAAAGTGAGCAAGTCTTTGGGCATTGCAACTTCAGAAGCAGCCAATGCTGAATTCATAAATCAACCAGCTGTCTAAATGCCTGCATTTTCTATAATGAAATACAACACAAGTGTTTCATATAACACTTCAAGATGCTGACTCTGAAACAAGGCGTCTGCATAATAAATAGGTGAAATCTTTTTTTATTCACCAAAGTTTTCTATTGGTATCTCATTAGTTATCAGTGTTTGTTGCTGCAAGTTACGAAACAGTACAAACGGTCAATAAAATAACCTTCATCTGCTTGTCCTTATACTATTTTAATACCAGGTTTGTTGAAGAAGGGTTTGAAGACGACCTAGTAGGCATTCCTTTCAGCCAGGCTGTATATCGAAGACAGCACCTGGTTTGTTAATTTTGGAGGATGGCACTACTACACAGCAAATCTGCCAACATAAACACCTTCATTTCGGAATAGTCACAAAACACTTTGCCAAATAGACCTTTGCCCTCTGTTAAAACGACATCTTTATTTTTGGCTGAGCTGATGCTGCTCAACCTCACCTTTCCATCTTTAAAAAAGAATAGAGGAGGAATTACTGCGGTCAAAGATGCAGGACGAACTTTTTATAGGAGTGCAAAGAAAGTTAAAAAATACTTTTTTATTCACCCCAGCCTTTTTAACATCTTTTAATGTGAGCTGCAGGTTTGCTTCATATTCCCCTCCCCCCTTGCAGCTAGAAAGGAATCTTTTTATTTATTTAAAAAAAACTATTTAGTTTTTCAAATTTTAAAATTTACAAACAATTGTCAAACAACCAAAATAAAAAGAATTCCGTAGATTCCCCTGGACTTCCCCCCTTCCCTCCTCCCCCTTTGTGGGTCCTTATGTTAACTTTTTCGTTCCTACAGATGAGAGAAGAAAGGAACCTTTTCAAGATGCTTTTCACCATTTCGAACAGCTGCCTTCTCACCAAACCTTTCGTTCTCCGGTCTGCAAACCTACTATAAGAGGACCTGTGTTAAGGGGCTGCCATCCTAATACAACCCCTCCATCCGTGATAAAACTTAGGTATGTAGAGAGATCACCTTGCCAACAAAGGTCCGTATAGTAAAAGCTATGGTTTTCCCAGTAGTGATGTATGGAAGTGAGAGCTGGACCATAAAGAAGGCTGATCACCGAAGAATTGATGCTTTTGAGTTATGGTGCTGGAGGAGACTCTTGAGAGTCCCATGGACTGCAAGAAGATCAAACCTCTCCATTCTGAAGGAAATCAGCCCTGAGTGCTCACTGGAAGGACAGGCCCTGAAGCTGAGGCTCCAAGACTTTGGCCACCTCATGAGAAGAGAAGACTCCCTGGAAAAGACCCTGATGTTGGGAAAGGAAAGATGGAGGGCACAAGGAGAAGGGGATGACAGAGGACAAGATGGATGGACAGTGTTCTCAAGCTACCAGCATGATTTTGACCAAACTGCGGGAGGCAGTGGAAGACAGGAGTGCCTGGCGTGCTCTGGTCCATGGGGTCACGAAGAGTCGGACACGACTAAACAACAACAACAATGGCATTCTGGAAAGAGAGACAGAGAGCCATACCGTGAAGGAGGCTGTCCCGCAGCACCCCAGACGCCTCCAGCATCTTCCTCAGAGAGCCCAGCACCTGCTCTTTGCTTAGCTGGTCATTCTCCAACATTTCCCGAACGCCTCTGGGGCGCAGCGCAAGGAGAGCCTCCGCGGGCTGCCCTTGGCCCGCGAGGGGAGAGCGGCAGAGCGGGCCATCCACCCCCAGCACCTGCTCCCTGGACGTGACCACGGATTCCCACCACCGGGCGGCGAGGTTCTTCCTCAGCTCGACGCCCAGAGGCCCCAATCCCGGGTGCTCCCCGCTCAGGTGAGAGTCCCAGGTGAGCTTCTGGGGACCTTCGGCTCCTCGCAGGAAGCGCCTCCTCCGACACAAGCCCAGGAGCGCTTCGGGAAAGCCGCGGGGCTCCTCGTCGGCGCTGCCGGGGGATGAAGACACAGGGCCCGCAGAGCCGCTCAGGAAACGCCCCGGCGGCTGCCCCCCGCGCTCTCCTGTCAGGAGCCTCTCTCCCTCCGGCCACCCGCGTCCGACGGGCTTTTGGACCCTGCGGAGACCGCAGCCACCGGTGCTGAAGAAGGAAACGAAGCGGCGGGGTAACATGTCTCTTAAGCGCGGCGGCGCTCTGCTGGCCCCGCCCCCTTTTTAAAAAAGAAACAACAGGCGAGCCGCGTAGCGCTTGCGCGGCTTCTCAGACCCCGTGGGCTGGAACGCAGAGGCGGGTGCATAGAGACGTAACTTCCTAGACGCAACCACTGGGCTGGTTTCCGGTTTCGGGGGTGGGTGGGTGGTTCCGCTCCTGTGTGGCCTGTAAGGTTCCCCCCCCCCCTTATTATAATCTACCTCAGAGTGTCTGACTAGGTTTGGGAAGAGCCAGGTTCAAATCCCCACATAAGCAATGAAATTCATCTCTCTGCCTAACCTACCTCACAGGGTGGTTGTGTGTGGATTAATATATATATTTTCTTGGTTTACAAAGGTACATGCCTTGTCTTTTTTCAGGTTGTACAGCCTTTCTTACAAATCAGCGACCTTTTTTGTGAGGCTTTTGTGTTGAGTACAGTATAAGATTGGGGAAAAGGAGGGTGGGGAGAGGCTTATATTATTTTGTATTGTGTAAATGTGGGGTTTTGTGTCAGCGTCAACTGGGTAGGTTCTCTTTCTATAGGTTTATTACATTTCCTTGGTAGTGAGGTTTTGGGGGGCAGGGTGTGGTTGGTTGTCTGTGCTTGGCTGCAGCCTGGTCAGGTAAACCAGATTAATTTGTATGCCGTCAGGATTCTTGGTTTTTTATTTTTATTAAGTTTTCAAATTATACATCTCAAACATTTTACATGTGGAAAAATAGAGATAGTTGGCTTTTGCTGGCCAACTCCCCAAGAGACGGAGTCCTCTAAAGTTTATGATCGGTCAGAGATGAATGGATGGGGGCCAGATCCAGTGGAAAGTACAGTGGTACCTCCGGAACGGATCCTGTTCGCAACATGAAAAGAGCGCAATCTGCAGCGGCGTGTCTGCGCATGCGTGGGTTGCAATTCGCCACTTCTGCGCATATGCGTGATGTCATTTTGCGCGCATGCACGAGCGGGGAAACCCAGAAGTAACCCTTTCCGGTACTTCCGGGTCACCGCAGGACGTAACCTGAAAGAGCGTAACATGAAGCAAATGTAACATGAGGTATGACTGTAAGGCAAATCTGTATTTTTTTGTTGCAACAGAGTCCCCTCCCTCCTAGCAAGGAGGCAAGAGAAATATAGAACAATGGTGTGCAAAGCTCCTATAAAGACTTTTGAAATTGCCCACCCTGTAGTTCAAGACCACCACCCCAAAACATCATACATACATCACAGGAGGTGTCTCGGGCAGAAAATTGAGTGTTGCTTCTCTCCTGTCTGCCAGGATACCTGATAATGCCTTACTTGTTTGCATTTTCTGGGTAGGGCCATTCCTTGAAGATGGTAAATACCGTATTTTTCGCCCTATAGGACGCACCGTCCCATAAGGCACACCTAGTTTTTTGGGGGGGAAATAAAGGGGGGGAAATTGTTTCTCCCCCAGGCACGGGGCTGGGGCGGGGGAAGCCCGAGCTTCCCCCAACCCCAGCCCCCAAACAGGCAGCTCTCTGCAAGCCGTGGGAGCCCAGCGCCGGCTCCCGCTGCTTGCTGAGAGGTGCGCGAAGCCTGGACGCGCTGATCGCAGCGCGCGCAGGCTTCAGCATGCAGGTAACTCTCCGCAAGCAGCGGGAGCCCAGCGCCGGGCTCCCGCTGCTTGCGGAGAGGTCCGCGAAGCCTGGAGAGCGAGAGGGGTCAGTGCGCACCGACCCCTCTCGCTCTCCAGGCTTCAGCGAAAGCCTGCATTCGCCCCATAGGACGCACACACATTTCCCCTTCATTTTTGGAGGGGGGAAAGTGCGTCCTATAGGGCGAAAAATACGGTACCTTAGTTCCTTAATCTCTTACACATATTGATAGTTTCCTCAGCTTATCAGATACTTGCCAGACAGTATTTGCAGGGAGGTGTAAGCCCCTACAATCCAAAGACAATTGGAAAGCTTTTCCCATTTCCTTCCTCCTTGCAGAGAAATATTTGAGGTCAATTTGGGAGAGTCAAAATGGCTTCAGAATTGCTCTCCTGTACTATTTCAGACACATGGTTTATATACTTATGTATGTGTGTTTGCATTGTATATTTATGAACATTTATTCTGTATTTGAGACCTTAGAATTCATATAACACATAATAGCATATATGCAGTGACTTCCCTCCTTCCATGGTTCATTTTATTTGCCTAGCATTCCTGCATATTTTACTGTAACCATTTTAGTCATTCTCCAGTTTACATCATTCAAATATTAATCACACTGTTGAATTTCTCCTAATGCTGCATCTTCAGCTGTACAGTTATTTTCCAAATACTCAGCAAAGATTTTCCACTCCTCTATTTATATAGAGTCTCTTCTTGTTCTCTTATTCTGTATGTTAAACCTGCTAGTTTTGCAAATTCTATCATCTTAGGGGAAGACATTAGTCTTTGTTTTTCATGCGAGACCTTTTCAGCACAATCATATGTATGCATTAATACTTAAAGGTAAAGGGACCCCTGACCATTAGGTCCAGTCGTGGCCGACTCTGGGGTTGCGGCGCTCATCTTGCTTTATTGGCCGAGGGAGCCGGCGTACAGCTTCCGGGTCATGTGGCCAGCATGACTAAGCTGCTTCTGGCAAACCGGAGCAGCACACGGAAACGCCGTTTGCCTTCTCGCTGGAGCAGCACCTATTTATCTATTTGCACTTTGATGTGCTTTTGAACTGCTAGGTTAGCAGGAGCAGGAACCAGGCAACGGGAGCTCACCCCGTTGCGGGGATTCGAACTGTCAGCCTTCTGATTGGCAAGTCCTAGGCTCTGTGGTGTAACCCACAGTGCCACCCGCATCCCTCATGCAGTAATGGATTACAAAAGACCTGAGTTGGGAAGATCATGAGTTCCTCTCTTTGCTAATGCTGTCCAATCACAGTTGTGATGAAATCTCGAGTTTCTGTATTGATTTATTTGCACAGTGCCCATTTGCACCCCAGATGTATTTTAAAATGTGTTCTCAATTAGAACCAAGGGGTGGCTCATTTAGGTAAAAAAATGGTTCAGTAGAAACATTTTGCATGCCATTGGGAAGCATCCAAGACGAGTAAATGAAACCATGGCCACACTTCTGGTTCCAGATTGAATGCGGTAGGCATTGATGGAGACAAGACACTCAGCTATGGCAGCTTTCAAATTAAAAGTAGAATGAGGACTGTGGTGTGCTGTGATTGCTAGTAAAGACAGGAAAAGAAAGTTTTGTGTCAGATCCCATTGATCTCCATGATTGCTAAGGCTTTAGGAACATAGAGGCAGGAAGGTTAGAGTAACAGAAGCACCTTGTAAGGCTGTTTTTCTGCTGCTGAATTGCAGGTGTAGCAACAAAAGGCTAGGTTTTATTATTGGGGAAGGAAGGTGTGCATACAATATTTTTCTATAGGTGTTTTATACTTCCTGCACCTAATAAATGGAGGGAATGTCAGTTTTCATTTCTTAGTACAGAAAGTAATGATCTGATGTGTAGAGATTTTTCCTGTTCTGGTTAATTCAAGATTCTAGGTGGTTTTCTTTCTATGTGAAAGAAACAGGCAGAAGGTTCTTGTTTGGATTTGTTCTTCTGGGAAGCTGAATACAGCTGGTTTAAACTGGTTGCTTGATCTTTCTGTCAAGGTTGTACTGACTGTAAGTCAGGTCAGGAGGAGCCTGGGTTTTCACTCACTTTGTTCTAGTGTTGTTTCTGCATGCTATCGTGTTAAGGTTTAGTCTTGTTTTTGAAGTTTTATTGTTAAGTGCTGCAACTGGATTTTATGGACTGTGCCAACCCTGCATGTACTGGATTTGTGACCATTATGCTAATTTGCCTTCAGTAGCAGTAAAGCTCTGCTGGATGAAGTACAATTGCCTCTGGTCTATTTTTTGAAAAAACTGCTGTAAGTTTTTCCCTCTTCTGGTGCTGGCGCCTCACGCATGTTCCTGCTGTATTGATGGTACTGGAGTAGTATCGACACTACCATGTCTGCAAGTGGTGAAGGCACATTTGCTTATTTGGAGCCAGATTTGAAGTAGCAATTAAATTAGCTTGGTCTTTGCTGCAACCAAAGGTGTACCTTTGTGTCTTTTTTAGTTGTTCCTCTGATTTCTTCATCACCATAGCTCAGTTCATGTGTTACTGATGTGGACAAATGTGTGTTGACTAGGTAGCAGAGCAGCACTTTTAGTGCTTCCTCCAATATTGCATCTGTACCTATGCAGTCACTTGGAAGCAAGCCCCATTAAACTAAGTGGGGCTTAGCTAACCTAGAGGGATGAGCGAGATCTCCCTGCCAGGTCTTCAAGCAAGTACTGAAGAAGGATGCTGCTCTAAGCTCAAGATGACCTGCACTGATAAGTGTGCAGATTTGCTGACTGACACTGCTGCTGGACTGAAGTGGGGGGGGGGGCGTGCAAGGGAGAGATCTGGGTTAGAGGGGTACAGCTAGTAAGCTGATCAAAGCAAGGACCATTAGTAGGTAAAGAGCACAAATAGAAGACTGCAGCATTAACAGCATGCTTAAGTGGTAACAGCTGATGCATCTTGAGAGGTGTGTTTGACAGCAAGGGAGCCAGATCAGACAGGTAGCTGGGACAGCTAACAGGAGCTGGTAACAGGAGTGTGAAACTCTCCTGCATAAGCAACATGTTCCTTCTTTCACCATCTTGGAATCTGTGAACAGATTAGTCAGATATGCACTTCCAATTCAGAACATTATCCATGTAAACTGTGCACAGCAAAGTGTTACATGTATCTGAAGTCATTTGGCTGAAACTTGTGGGTCTAATGCTGAAACTCCAGACCCCTTAGGGCCCTGCATTGGAGATTTAGGTATAAAGCAAACAAAAATAAAAATCTTGTTGTGGTTGACTGCCTCTTGTTGCGTTACTAATCGGTAAACCAGATTTAAAAGTATACTCCACGGGATGAAGTATGTAAGGCTGCTTTGCCAGCATTAATTATTTTCGTTTGGCACTGACTCATCAGCAGGCCAGTGGAAATTTCCATCATACAAGATTTGTTAAATCATGGTTATAACCTACTTCCATTAGGTGGAGCTTATGGAGCAGCATTAAACCTGCTGAGCTTGTTATCAAGGATGGAGGGAAATCAGACATTGTTAAGTTACAGTGAATCCGAGTAATCCTATTATGGGTGAACCAGTAAACTGGAAATGCAAGACAAAGCATGTATGAGATCACTATGTCAAAATCCTGAGGTTATGAAATATTTTTAGCAAAGGAAATCCAACACAAAGCTAAGGTTCATCATCCTGCCTTCCACCACAGGCTGGGTAGGGGAGCTTCGACACTGGAAATTTGGTTACTGTTACTTTATTAGCTCATCAGGTTTCCCTGTTGCTGCAAAGGCTTTGTGTTACACGAAGTTTGAGAAATGATATTTTGTCTCCTAAACCGCCAAGAAAAATGTGTGGATTGGGGCGGGGCAGTTAAGACATGAAGGACTGATCAAAACATTAACATTGTGGGAGCTACTGCCAGTCCACACCAACCCATCATTTTCAACCACTTAGTTGGATAGCAGCTAGAGCAAAATGAAGAGCTCAAAGTAGTTAAACGGCAGGGATAAGCCACTTCATGAAGCTTTTCTTGCCCTTCCAAGTATGAGTCCCCTCCCCTCACCCCATTAGATAGAAAGCGTTCACCACTGATCATCAGCTTGCTTAATTTATTTGTGCTCAGAATCATATAGAACACCAATTGTGTTTTCAAATATCTTTATTGGAAGGCCATGCATTGCCCCCAGTTGCTGTATTTCAAATCACTGTACATTTACTTTGTGAAAACACTGGCTGCATTTTCTAGTACAAAAAACTAAAAATTGTTCAGGAATGTAGAGAATATTCAACTTAAATAGCGGAAAAGTGCACCATAGTTAACAGCTGCACTGCAGACATGTCTGCATGTTCCATAAGATTTTAAATAACTATCCTGTCTCAACACACAATATAAAGAGCAATTATGAAAAACAAGACACTTAAATATACTTCTAAGTTATTGGGTATAGTTTGCTGGCATTGGATAACCTATCATTGGCGTGGTGCCAGTTGCAGGGTACGCATACTGCTGCTGGTTCATTGCACCGTGCATGTTTGCCATGTTATTCCCATACTGCTGATCATAACCATTCTGATAAGCTGGTGTGCCAGCCCTAAATCCACCCTGCATGCCAGCTCCTCCAAAGTTGTTTCCAAAGGCAGTTCCGTTACCAAAACCTTGAGCACCATAGCCACCATTCTGAGCTTTTGCACCGAAGTCTCTCTTGCCCACTGCACCATAGGTTCTTTCAAAGTTTTCCCTCTCTCTAAAACCAAATCCACCTCTTTTGCCCGCAGAGTATCTGTCACGTCGGTCACCTCTGGAACGACCTGCAGAAAAATTAGAAGGCAAGTTAAGAAAACCCCTTGTTGCAATTTGGAACCTCCAACTCCTAACGGGAGCAAGGCAAAAGTTGTATTTTGAAAAAGCTTAAAAACAATACAACCACAAAGGAATAAGGACTAGAACTGAACACGTCATTACTGGTTACATATTTAAGCACTGAAAGCTACTGTTAAAGAGTTATTTTCTACTGTGATATTACAGGAAGATCCATTTTAGGGCAAAAAGGAATTCTGATGTCCATTAAATAACACATGCAATGGAAGAATCAAATACTAGAAATATACTAAGACAAGATTTACCTGAACCTCTGTCTTCAACCAACTGGAGCAATTTTGGGTTGATTGCCTGATTTGCTTCACGAAGTACAGAGATGAGGTCGCTTACTTGCTTTATATTGTTAGGTGTAAAGAATGTGTATGCTGTGCCTGTTTTGGTACTGCGGGCAGTTCGTCCAATTCGGTGGATATAGTCCTCAGAGGAGTTAGGGTAGTCATAATTGATGACAAATTTCACATCTTCCACATCTGTAAAGTGTTGCAGTGCGGCAAAAAGCAATGTACAAAATTTTGCACACCACAACAGCCAGATGAAAAAGCAAGTTAGACAGTAATAGATTTTAAGATGGTAACTGCTGTAAAGAATGTTAATTATCTATTCCTGAAAAAAATAAAAAATAAAAATAAAAACCACACCACCTGAGATCATGGATGCTCTCCCTCCTCTGAACCTCTTTGCAATTCACCCCGTGATCTAAATCCTTACCAGAGTGCCCCTAACAAGTCAAGTGACATCTGAATGCTTCTTGCAGTAAGACCAAATAAGTTCACAGTAGCCTCTTCCGTGTGCTCCAAAGGACCTCGGTATAAAAAAATGAGGCCTTGCCACACACCAGAAGCTCTAATAGAGGGCCACACTGCTTGTCTTGCCAAGACCTTTCAACCGCAGCTGCAAGAAAAACATACCTGTCCCCGAAAGGTCATCAAGTTGTTTTCATGCACTGTGTCTCGTCTAGGCAAGCGCTTCCAAGAAGCCAGCGTTCACTTGAGTGTGTGTCTCTCTCTGGCAGGTCTCGACATGACGGTTAGGGTATAGGTGACGGAGGAACTCCAGGTTTGAAAAGCCACTGCTTTTCCCACCCCAACTTGTAAAATTGAGAGGTGGACTTTCAAATTTCATGTGCCAGTACTCACCAATTTGTACAAGGCTCAGTACATTTTAAAGCTGCTCTCTCTCCATTTCAAAAGTTGGAAAAAAAACCAGAGATCACTGTAGTTTAATTATTCTTCGACATTTCAGCAAACTCACTGAAATCCAAAGACTCACGGACCACAGCAAACAGTATGCACACAGACTAAACAGCAGTGCACCATGGCAGTCATGCAAAGCATGGAACAGTAGAAATAACCGGGCAAAAGTGAACCGTGAATGATGCTACCGTTTGAGAGAACAGTTTATGGGCTCGTAGTTTTTGTCTTTGCCTTTTGAAGATTACTGGCACACAATGTTCAACTTTCACCTCTCTATTGGACTGGAAGCGTCCAGACGATCACTTCCACTAGTCCTCCATCCCCCTCGAGTCCTCCGATTGTCATGCCTAGGCCTTGCCACAAAGACTGCACCTTTATGTGAAAAAACTTAGAAAAATGCAGAGGTTAAAGAAAGCAACGAACTTTCTTTAAAGTTGTCTGTCACCCAAAATAGTTGTACTAACCTAGACCTCTGGAGGCCACATCTGTAGCAATCAGGATAGGAGCCTTTCCGTGTTTGAATTCTGAAACAAAGAAAACCGTATTAATTCATTTAAAAAAAAGATTTGGTATTCTAGCAGAATAACCCTCTGAATTCATAATTTAGAAGCCGTTCTGAATTACTCACCATTTAGAACCCAGTCGCGCTCCTGTTGACTTTTGTCACCATGGATACCCATTGCTGGCCACCTGCAGTAATATTTACCGTCACATAAGTATCTTTTATCAAAGTCACTAAATTAACCAGTAATACATTAGCAGTGACCTTTTATTTTGTCCTTGCACAGCCAGTAAACGTACATGGCACCCCTACCCCAGCAAGTTCTTCCATTTTTATCAGGAAGACACTTCTATAGTCCTTATCCTGCTACAAAATTCACACTTCATAAAAATCTATTGGAAAACATTGCTCTTGAAATATAGAATTATATTAATCTTGACCAGACAGTTCTGGAATTATGGTAGGGAGACGTAACTGCTTTGGGTTCTGCAGCACCAGCATGGGTACCACGGAATAGGCTACCCCTCCCCACATTTCAGGTATACATTTTTTTTCATATTTAATTAACTGAATTATTCCTTCAAGTGCCTATGCTAATTTGGTTCACTGGAAATATTTACCCATCTCTCCTCATTTTTCTAGTAAGATCATCACATCTTCTTTTGGTCTCCACAAAGACAATAGTTTTGTTTTCTTTCTCGCTCATTATTTCTTCCATCAACCGAATAAGCCTGTTGTAAGAAACAGTAGTATCAAAAACTTTCACAAGTATGGGATTAATGCAAATTACTTCAGGGTATAAGACATTTAAAGATCTGCAGAATGCTTCAACTATTCTTTCAACCGAAAGCATTTCCAATTTTACTTACTTATCATCTTTCTCTACATCATGACATACATCCACTATCTGCAGAATATTGTGGTTTGCACTTAGTTCCAATGCACCAATGTTGATGTGTACATGTTCTTTTAAGAAATCTTCTGCAAGCTGCCTAACTTCTTTGGGCCATGTTGCACTCCACATCAGAGTCTGCCTGTCAGGCTGGAAGTAAATGGATATTTTTAAACATTCGGTCAGTTGCCCAGCTCCTAGAACTAGCAAGTTCCTGGGCACAACTTCCCGACTGTGTCCAATAATAGTGAACTTACTCTAATCTGTTCTACAATTTTTCGAATCTGAGGCTCAAATCCCATATCAAGCATTCTGTCAGCTTCATCAAGAACGAGGTAAGTGCATCGCCGGAGATTGGTTTTTCCAGCTTCCAAGAAGTCTATGAGCCTACCAGGTGTTGCAATGCAAATCTCCACACCTGAAAGCAAAATGTAAGTTACTTAGTAGTCATTTCTCAAAATGATTTTACACTCTTTATAGCTTATAAGCTATCATGGTGAGGCTTAACATACTAGAACGTTGCTCAGCTGTCATTTTCATACCTCTTTCCAGGTCACGTATTTGTGGTCCCTTAGGAGCACCTCCATAAATACAAGTAGACTTCAAACGGCAGGCTCTGCCATATTCTGCAGCCACTTGCTGCACCTGCTGAGCCAGCTCTCGAGTTGGTGCCAGCACCAAACACTGCGAACAGAAGTACAAATATAGTCATACTGTACTCTGGGTAATTACTGGTACAGATTGCACTGAAAATGATAGGACATTCTATTTTTTACTTCATTCTTCTTTACTTTTTTACTTCATTCTTCAAAGTAAAGTAAATACACTGGTGCAGATTCACTTATGGCAGTAAAGCTCATTACGACTTTATGCCTTTTGGTTAGCATTTTTCCATCTGTCTGCAAGTTTGTGATGGACAAATAAATCATATGGCTTCAACAACTGCTATAGAAGATGTAATGAACTGTGTTTATACTACTGTAACAGGGAATTTGGCCACTGGAAGGTCATAGGGAGCAAAGCAAAACTCATCAATACTGCAGTGGCAGTACTGTTCTGTGGCACTCTAGGAAAAAATGGAAGCTGCTGAGAAGACTCAGCAGCTTAAAAAGGTAATGAAATAGACATGCTCCCATTATTTCTTCGCAGAACTTTAACAGGAGATCCCTGCCCATTTTAGTCCTCCTGTTCAAGCTGCACCCCCATGAGCCCAAAGATAAAAAAACCCAAACTTTCAGCTTGCTCCTATCACAAATACAAGTTTCTACAGCCATGACATCCAAGGTTAAGTTTTCGTTACCCTTGCCACAAAACAAATTTCATGTTGTTCAATACTTACAATGGGCCCATCTCCTCGTTCTAGGAATGGCTGATGGTTTATGTGTACTATGGCAGGCAACAAATACTGTTGGGGAAAAAGGAAGGGTCTTAGTTCAAGGAAAAAAATATCATTCATTTAAGTCATCTGAACAGCTAAACAGAAGTACTTACAGACAGTGTTTTCCCCGATCCAGTTTGTGCTACGCCAACCATATCCAGTCCACTCAAGGCAACAGGCCAACCTTGTGCCTGAATAGCAGTTGGTTCCGTAAAGTTCTGTCTCTGAATAACTTCCATAACGTTTGCTAAAATGCAAGGAAGTATGCTAGTTAAGTCCAACAACTTTATTAAAGAGTATACAAATATGTATTTACTACCAATAAATTTACTACTTACCTGGAAAGTTAGCTTCATAGAAATTCATAACTGGTTTTGGACAATTGTGGCCTTTAACTGTGATCTCTTTTCCTGCTCTGTATTGTTCAATCTCTTGCTGCAAATAAAAAAACCACGACTCATCAGGCATAATATTCATGAAAACAGTGATTTAAGCACACTTTAATTACAGCACAATTCAAGCAACATTGTCTACAAAGTTAGTAGTTTTCATACCATAGGACGTCTGGCAACGTCAGGATGTTCCTGGTAGAAGTTCTTCTCAAATTTAGGAAGCTCATCTAGATTCCATTTTTTCTTTGTAAGCTTTTCTCCAGGGTTCCCAAACTTCTTCCCACCTAAAGATCCCCCTCGACTTCCTCCAAAACGAGGGCCACCAAACCTGCCAAAGCAAAATTTAATTCAGTGTCGTAAGTAGCCATGGTTAAGGGACATATTAAAAAACGATCGCTGGCATCTATGTACCCCATAGCTTCCAACCCCAAAGTTAAAAACACAGTAAGGTTCAGAACTGGTAAGATACTAGAAAAGAGATCTGAAGTTGGGTTAACGCTACAAAAACAAACGTCGCCGTCGGTAATTGCCGGGCACTCCCTCTTTGCGTCAGGCTCCTAAGTGGGCGGGGATGGTTATGAAACCTACACGGTTCCGGTAAGAAGCTAGCTTTTTCAAGCGGCGGGATTAGGCTACTTCTCTTTTTAGACACATATCTTAACGCTTCATTCAGAGCCGGGGGAGAAATTCGAAGCATGGGGCTTAAGGCGCCTGCGCGCACCCAAAAGGGCTTCTAAATCCCGCTTAGCCTACCCCCCGCCTAGCCTTCGTTCCCCTAAATTAATCCCATTTCTAGACTGGGCTTTTTTGTCCGGGGCGCGTGGCAGGGGAGAGGGGTGGCGCCGGGGGAGGCCGCCCGCCCAAACGCGCCAAGCCGCACACAAAGGAGGCCGAGGCGCGTCTCCCCCCTCCCTCCATCTCTCTCTCTCCCTCCCTCCCGCTTTTGTCTTTTCCGTCTACGCCACATTTTCTAGTCGGCGCGTCCATTTTGACGCCGGGGCGGGGATAGAGAGAAGCAGACGGAGGAGGAACAAAGGCAGCCGCCGGCATTTTGATTTCCCCCTCGGTCGCCGCATGGCGGGGCCAGCCATTGACATCCGCCCGAGTCCAGAGACAAAAAAAAGGAGGGGAAGGGAAACCGGTTTCGGCGAGAAGATAAATCCCAGTCCGCACGTCCTTTTCTGCCTCCTGCCCGCTGCGCTTCCCTTCCCCGCCCCCCGCCGAAATTGCCTTTTTTTCTCTCCCCCCCTCAGCGGAACACCACCGTCAAATTAACCTCCCGCTTCTCCCCCCCCGCCCCCCCTAACTATCGGGCCTCGGCCAGCGACGACGTCCCTGAGGAGGTCGCTCATCCTTTTCCTCCGCCCCCTCCCCCCATTCCGTGCGCCTCGAGCGGTCGCCGGGAAACGGCTGCTTCTCGCCGCCGCCATTTTAACGACCCCCGCCATCCCAGCCCCAGACGGTATTTTAAGGCGGGAGCCTCGGGGAGCCGGCCGCGTGTTAAGTGAACCGAGCCCCTCAGGCTCACCCGCGGTCCCTCTCACTGGAATACCCAGGCATGCTGACGGCGACGGCGGAGATCAAGACGTCGAGGATGAAACGGCACGGACGGTCCACAAGCGAAACGCCGATGACGAGGGCGACTGAATGGGGAGGGTCCAGCCGGGCGGATGCCGGTTATATACCCGGCGCCGCCGCGAATGCCGGGAAGCCGGCTCGTGACGTCAGCGACGAGCTCGTTCGCGCCCTCTTCCCCCGCCCCCGCAAGATTCTCCTCTGCTGTTCCTCGAAAGGCGGGGCAGGGAAGGGGGGGCGCGCGCTTGCGCACGTCCTCGTCCTCGAAGCCGGCCGGCCGGCGTGCCGGGTGGTTGTAAACTAGGCCAAACGGAAGCGGCTCTCCTTGTCCTGGTAGCCATCAGCGCCGGCCCAGGAAGAGTCTCAGCCTGAAACGACCTGTAGGGCTCCCCCCCCTTTACACTACTACCCCCCCCCATTTAAAAGCGAAAGGAGGGTCGCCCCCGCACACCTTAGGGAGCCAGCTGCCTCCGCCCCCGGGAAGAGAAATACCGTGCGATTAACGGTAATGGTGAACTCCTCCCGGCTTAGGGAGCCTTTCAAAGCGATGGTAATGAAGGAAGCATTTCATAGCGCATAGGTTTCCAGGAAAAGTACAGCACCCGCTATGGGTGTAGCCAAGGGAGGGGCAGCTGCCCCCACAATCTATAAAAATCAACATTTGTTGTTTAGTCGTGTCCGACTCTTTGTGACCCCATGGACCAGAGCAAGCCAGGCACTCCTGTCTTCCACTGCCTCCCACAGCTTGGTCCAACTCATGCTGGTAGCCTCGAGAACACTGTCCAACCATCTTGTCCTGTCGTCCCCTTCTCCTTGTGCCCTCCATCTTTCCCAACATCAGGGTCTTTTCCAGGGACTCTTCTCTTCTCACGAGGTGGCCAAAGTATTGGAGCCTCAGCTTCAGGATCTGTCCTTCCAGTGAGCACTCAGGGCTGATTTCCTTTAGGATAGGTCTGATCTTCTTGCAGTCCATGGGACTCTCAAGAGTCTCCTCCAGCACCATAATTCAAAAGCGTCAATTCTTTGGCGATCAGCCGTCTAGCAAACTCAGGTTCTGCCCACTAACAAAAGGCCTACTCACCACGGTACCCGCTTTGGAAAGTCCAATCCTATTGTCAGGGCAAGAACCCCTGACTGCACTGCACTTAACAGCAGTAATATAAAAGTCTCGCGTCCCTGACCTGATGAGAACCCGATTCTATTAATTTTGTGCATCGTGCTGCTCTTCAGCGAAGTTGCTTCTAAATTTCAACTGCAGAGTGATCTTTCTGCGGCAGTAGTGTTGCCCCAGGGCAACAGGCTCATTTCCCCATTCCCAAGCACCCCACTCTCTTCCCTTTTCGCTTGCCAAAACATGTAGCAATAATGACAATTTATTTTGTCTTGAATGTAGTTCAGAACATGAAACAACAGGTTATGTGGATGGCATCAGTGGTACAAAAGCAGCAGCAGAAAGGACAACACAGGATAGGAGAGGGGAAGGGCACACCCCTCTGGATGATGACAGCAACCATCACGATACTGGAATGTAACAGGCCAACTTGCAGCACTGAAAAGAGTCATTGCAGAGGTCACTACCACAAGTGTGTATGAGCTGCAGAAAGGAAAGAGAGTGCACACATTTGTGTTTTTAACTGCCCTGGGGTCATCTGATGGAGGGTGAGCCAAAGCAGGTATTTAAAAATAAATAAGACACATGGCATAAGACCATAGCATTCTGCTCTCACACAACTCACAGGAAACTTGAGGCTGATCCACACCCTATATTTAAAGCACATCTAACACACTTTAAAAACACATGACTTCCCCAAAGAATCCTGATAACTGTAGGTTTTTTTTAAAGGTGCTGGGAATTATAGCTATGGTCTCAGGGTTTTTTTGGAGGAATGATGTGTATCGGATGTGCTTTAAATGTTTGATGAGAACCTATCTAAAGACTACCCATTGGAAACAAGGTGGCAGCACAAAATTATTATTATTAATAATAATTAAATTTGTATACTTCCCTTAATCTGTAGATCTCAGAGCTGTTCACAACATTTGCAAGATAAAAAAGACAAAATAATAATAAAAAAAACAATAATAACTCCCCCCCCCCATTTTATTATTTTTATTTACTCATCCAAAACCTATTTTGGTATAATCCAGGAATCAATTCAGTTTGAGTAAGGCTGCAGAACATGACTGGAGTGCCAGGACTATTAGTATTATGTATTAGAAAAATGATGATTGGAATAGACATTGAAAGTGCACAGAACCAAGCAAAGAATACCCATACAATAAACAAAGCAACAAACAAAGCCAAAAAGCAGAGTAACAGTACAGCAATTATCAGATTTCCCAGAAGACTTTCATGCCTCTGGATAAAGACACCAGTGGGACTCCCAACAGCAGCTACAAACAACACCATTTAAGTGCAGAATCCATTTTTGGAAAAGGAGAGCCAGGTCAGGTGTATAAAATCAGCAGTTCTAATACTGGTGATTTAGCACCCACATACACCCCTGTATACTATACACCACACTATACCTACCTTGGGAATTTCAAATGATCATGGACACTATGTGTGTGTACATGTGTACATTAGTTGAAGTGTCAGCTAAAGGCTTTCAACAGACTAAGGGATTGCATCATCAAAGCAGTAACCGCACACAGAAAATGAAAGCAAAAACTCAGTGCTAGCTCCAGTATGCAACAGGTCCCAGATAAATTCCCCAGGCATAAGTCTTTATTTCTTCAAAAGTTTGTAGCCTGGATTTTATTGGTCCTATCAGTACAGCATAAATTATAACAGAGAAATCCACCACATCCCTGGATCTTAAAGCACCAGCAGACTACTACAGGGAGAGGTACCACTTCGTGTTTTTAGTTGCAATATAGCTATAGCTTTAAAGGTAATATCAGCACCTTAGGCTTGTAATTGAATATGCAGCCAATGCAGTTGTTTTAAGGATCAGTGAAATACAGTGGTGCCTCGCAAGACGAAATTAATTCGTTCTGCAAGTTTTTTCGTCTTGCGAATTTTTCGTCTTGCGAAGCACGGTTTCCCATAGGAATGCATTGAAAATCCAAAAGGAAACAAACTTGCAAGACGTTTTTGTCTTGCGAAGCAAGCCCATAGGGAAATTCGTCTTGTGAAGCAACTCAAAAAACAAAAAACTCTTTCGTCTTGCGAGTTTTTCATCTTGCGAGGCATTCGTCTTGCGAGGTACCACTGTATGAACCATGCTATCTATACCTATTAAACATCTGGTAATTGCATTCAGCACTAATTGACTCTCTGGCTTCAAGGATAATTTACTGCAATAATCAAAAGAGAAAGTTACCAAGGCAAGGACCACTGTGGTCAGACTATCCCTGTCCAGGAACGGTTGTAGCTGGTGAACTACTTGAAACTGGAAAGAGACACTTCTCACCACCAAGGCCTCAAGTGACAGTGCTGTATCCACAAATACCCATTAAGTACATACTTGGGTTACACAAGGTTGTAGCCAATGCTGAAATGAATGGACCCAAGTTAGCCATATTCATTGATAATAATAGGTCTACTCCAAGTACAACCTACCATAAGTCAAGATGTAGGATCAGTACTTGGGCAATGCCCAGGACAATGAATATTACTTTAGGATACTGCAAAACTACACACAATTGTGTAGTTCAGCAAGTATGTGTTGCTGGTATTTCCTGGACTAAAGGAAATACAACAATGTTTTGAGACATTAGACTCATTTTAATCAAGTGTTTTCAGTCTTTAGCTTTATCTCTGTTGTGACTGAACTCAACTACAACATGGATGCTAAATCCAAAACCATTATTATCAAAACTCAATAGTATACAAAGGTTATAAGCTAAAATCAAGTGTTATGTTTCTGGACAATGTGAAACATGAATGGATAAAACAGTGAATTCCATGAAGTCACAAATGAAGATTTTGGGGGGAAACTATCACACTTCTCAATTTTATTTCTTTGGAATAGGCATTTAAGCAAAATGGTTCTACGACAGCTAGAGAATAGAAATGGTTAAGGTTAGTTTTATAGACTCCAATGGAACATTAGGAACAAAGGCTTGGGATGGGATATAGCAGAATTCCAATTCTGCATACACTCTACAATCAAACGAATAACACGCAAACTCCTCAGATCCCACTGATGAAATGCTGAAAACTGTTCTCTTTCTCAGAGGAATCGCCTTCCAAGACTCCTGCAGTTTTGACCTTGCTAGGCTTGACTTGCCTCCCCGTAAGTCACGTGTGCCCAATGTGACACGCAAGCATTTATTCTCCTGCCCACCTTCCATCGCCTTCCAACCTATAACCATGTGCTCCGTGGCTAGTTGGCAGCAGGAGCAGGCGCTCTCAAGGCTGGCACACTGTCCTTGATCATCCAAAATGAGGTCTGCCAAGGGGCCTGTTCCGCTGGTTTACATCTTTCAAAATCGACACGAATGCCGCCATCCGAAGACAAGAGGTTTCTTCTGCCCTGTCTGGAAACCTGGCAGTGGACCAAGGCACGGCCGGGCAGTGGCCTAGGTCTGCAAAAAAAGAGGACACCTTTGCTGACTTCTACTTTTAACTATGACGACTCTCCTTTTACATACCCGTAAAAAGGGGATGTGGGTGGCGCTGTGGGTTACACCACAGAGCCTAGGACTTGCCGATCAAAAGGTCGGCAGTTTGAATCCCCGTGACGGGGTGAGCTCCCATTGCTTGGTCCCTGCTCCTGCCAACCTAGCAGTTTGAAAGCACATCAAAGTGCAAGTAGATAAATAGGTACCGCTCCGGCAGGAAGGTAAACGGCATTTCCGTGCGCTGCTCTGGTTCGCCAGAAGCAGCTTAGTCATGCTGGCCACATAGCATGACTAAGCTCCCTCAGCCAATAAAGCGAGATGAGCGCCGCAACCCCAGAGTCGGCCATGACTGGACCTAATGGTCAGGGGTCCCTTTAACTTTACCTAAAAAGGAGGCTGCGTCCTGGAAAAAGATGACGCATGGCAACCCTAGCTGGGCCGCATGGTGTGTTTTTGTGTCTCCGTGTGTGACTTTAGGCCGCTCGCTGTCTCTGTCGACCTAGCCCACCTCACAGGGTTGTTTTGCGGATAAAGAGCGCGTGGGAGAGGGGAGGACGCCCTGAGGGCCCCCGAAGGAAAGGCAGGGCAAAAAAAACCAGGACGCAAATCGAACAAGGCAAAACGGGAGGCTCGTTCCCGCTCCATCCCGCCATCAATTCCCCCGCCGCCGTTGCCACGGCAACTGGAGCGGCCTGGAAAATAAACAGCCGCGGCAACAAGGCGGGCAGGAAGGGGGGCGGGGAAGGCGCGAGCCGACAGTGACAAGAGGAAGTCCTGCCTCTTCCGCTCCCGGCTGGCCAATCGCAGAGCAAAAGGCCGTAGAGCGGGCCAATCGTTTAAATATCCCTGGGCATCGCTTAAGGGCGAAGGAAGCGGGAGGTGAGGGGGCCGCTCGTTTGGGCCCGGCTGCGGGAGATTAAGTCGCCTCCCCGTCCCAAGATGGGCGCCGCTGAAAGAGGTGGGCGGGCCCGCTCCGACGAGTTCCGGGCAGAGGGGGGCGCAGGAAGGAACCCCCCCGAAGGCGAGGGACCCTAATTTCGGAGGGCGACACCCATTTTCCCCCTCACCCCATTCCCACGTTCTCCTAACACTTGTTGCCCCTCAGCTGATAGGAGTCGGGGTTCAGCAGCTCCGGGGTGGGGTGGGGACCACAGGTTCTCGTTCCCTGTGGTAATAATGCTTTCCATATGGCTCTCCCCTTGCATGGGAGCGAGCAAAAACTTGCTGTTCGGATCCTCGCGACGGGGTGAACTCCAAGCATTGCTCCGTCCCAGCTTCTGACAACTGGACTTAACCATCCAGGGGTCCTTTACCTTTTTACCTATGTAAAACAGCGGGGCCACCTCAGCCCCTATCTCTGTAGAAACACAGCTCAGTCGTCTGTGATGTGAGTTTTCTCTTAAAAGCATCAGATCCCCAGCCTCCCACCCCCGCTCCTATCTGGAAATCTTCTGATGCTCTACTACAGTGTGATCTAATTTAACATGGTTATTTTTCCTTTTTTTTTTTTTTAAAAAAAAGACCTAACCAACTTTGAAACGACCCAGTAAAGGTAAATTGGTAAAGGACCCCTGGATGGTTAAGTCCGGTTAAAGGCAACTATGGGGCTCATTTCGCTTTTCAGGCTGAGGGAGTCGGCGTTTGTCCGCATACAGCTTTCCTGGGTCATGTGGCCAGCATGACTAAACCGTTTCTGGCACAATGGGACACCATGCCAGAGCGCACAGAAACGCCGTTTACCTTCCCGCTGCAGCGGTACCTATTTATCTACTTTCAAACTGCTTTTGAACTGCAAGGTGGGCAGAAGCCGAACTTCCAACCAACACAAATACTGGGTTGCCCAATATTGTTTTTGCAATCAGTATCCATGAATGGTTGCCAGTAATGAATTTATTGGAGGGGAATTCTGCACCACACATCCCTGTAATTCATCTCTAGGCATACAATCTGACTCCACACTGGCAAAGTCAAGAAAGCTATATGTTAAGTCTATCTAGTATGGTATAAGTGTCTGTGGATTTGAACCAACTTCATCAGATATGGTGAGGAGGGCCCTCATCTAGGAAAACACAAGGTGCCCAAGAAGCATGTATATGTGACCATTCTATTGTATGTCTTTATCGCTCTTGCCTGTGAAATGCTGGTAAATAATTCTTTTAACTTGTCTGATGACACAGATGAGAAAGCTACTCTTAGAGGAATTTTGTTCTCTTAACAATGCACAGTTAAAAGGGAATCAGTCCCTATGGCTATTCCAATTGTGAGTGCTTACAATAAATATAAGATTGATTCCTTGCCTTCAGGTAACTAAACACCTGATAAAATGCTGCTTCTTTTAGCACATCGGAAACAAGCATTTTTTCATTATATTTGTAATAACATGTATGTTTCCATTTAGCAATATAAGCAAGCTTTTGTTGGTTGTGTATGTTTTCTCTTTAATTTGTGCCTTTACAAGGTATCTTATGCGTATGAATAACACTGTTACCTGTGAGTGAGCCCCACTGAAGTCATTTGCACTTAATTTTGAGTATATCTGTATAGGATTGCACTGGGAGGGAGGAAGCTCATGTTCTTAGAAAACTGAGCACATAGTGCTGTCCTGGTTTTTGTCTTGGCTTCCTCACTTGGCACTAATCGAAGAGAGTATATTTGGCATTGCTCTGAGAGATCTGTTGCCTGCAGCTCCTTCCGACAGGTTTTGACAGTGGCTATACAAAAACAAGTATGCAATTGCAACCTGATATCCCAGAACTGGTTCACAGGGCTCTATATTAAACTTATATTATCTGGCAAGGTTTATCAGATTTCCATATATTTGAAAACAGAATGCATCCCAAATTAGGTAGTATTTGAACAGAGTTTGTTTCAGAAACTGGAAATTGACTAAAAGTTTGCAGGCCCACCAATATTTTTCTTTCTTAAACCATTTATTTACAGTATATTCAGAAATAATATTTAGTACATCACAATGCAAATATAGGAGTTCACCAATGTTTTGATACCCAAAGCGGTCTATATCATTAAAACAATGCATGCAAAAGCTAAACTAAAATGGTCACAGTGGCGTCACAACCTTTGTCATTCATCAAAATATATTTTAGTTTTGGCTTCCTACTGCATGTTACAGACCCAACAAAATGCTATGTCAGGGATAGGGAGCTGCTTTTGTCAGGCCACATTTGTCAGAAGGGTGGGGCCACCCACCTGTCAGTTACCTGAAGTTATGATTCCAAGCCATGCTCTCCTGATTGCGTTTTTGCAGCAAGGCTGACATTTGGCATTGCTTAAATTTGTCAGTGAATTATTATTACTATAAAATGATTGACACACCACTTAATGCCCGGTTGGCAAGTGCAATTACTTTTGGCAATAGTTGGAGCTACTCAGGAATGCAAAAGCCTGGTGAGAAGGAACAATCAAGAGCACACACTGAGCTTTATGTTCCTGGTTCTTCATTGGCACCCACAACTAATACGAGTCGCACATCTGATTGGTGTGAATGAAAATGGCCTCACAGGCCAAATTAGGCAGCCTTGGGTGCTTAATTTGACCTGCAGATTCCCTACCAGCATGGTTAGTGTTGTGTAGAAAAAAATACTTTCCATTGCTGTTTCCAAAGGGCTTACAGCTGAAAAAATGTAAGAAAGACAAATGTGAAAAGACCAGATTCTTACATATGGATGGCATGCAGCCTGAAGAGAATTGTGCAATCAACTATCATATTACCTTTTTTCTTTCTAGTAATCCCTCTAAGCATCAAAAAAAGGAATCTGAAGATAATAAATCGATCATTAAAAGAGGCAACACTGCCACATATTCCTTCCTGAATTGTCTGCAATATCATACCAGGCTGACAGAAGAAACACATGCTACATTTTAAGCTAGTATTTTACATACATTTGTAATAAGATGAATGATAAGGTCTAGACTAGAGAGTTATTTTTAAAATGTGATAATATATTTTTTAAAATATGTTTTTAATTACTAAACTTGATACTTCTATACGAGTTTGATCTTGACCTCTAAACACCACTTTCCCTACCCAACAAGATTGGTGAGAATGTTGATTCATCATGGGCTACTGCAGTGGTAATAAACAAATAGGCCTGCCAGTTCAATTGCTGGAGATTAATGTATGCATTATGAGATAAATGGCAATTTTGCACCCATTATTTCAGAAAACTTGTTTTTGATGGAGATTAAAAAAACATTGTTAAGTCCTTTTTGGGTCCTTGGTAGAAGATTTTGTAGCCTTTTTTATGCAAACACATTCTCTGAAAAGCCATAATGTTTCATCTCTTTTATTTTCATAGAATGGGTCAATGTTGCCAATGATCTCCTGACAAAATGTAACATAGATCTGCATGTTAGCAATCTCTCTGACTGTGGAGCTAAAGTGTTTATTCATCTTTATGAATCGATACTGGGAGAGAGAGTGCCAGGTAAGAATGCATGCCTCCTACAATGTCTTGGTTTTCTAGGGTAATGTTTTTTTCCTGTTGTCTATGTATATTTGAAATAAATAGTAATGCTGTGAGATTTGGACATAAATAGGCATCATATGTTCTATATCCAAGAGCTTTTAATAACATAATGAGAAATATATATATATGAATACACACACACACACACAATTGTAACTAAACACAAATGGAAACTGCTCTAAACTTCTTTTTAACAGTATTGGCACAAGAAAGCACTGAACAATTATACACAATCCACTGTTATATAGATTCCTGCCAACTGACTCATGGGGTCTGTGCAGACTTGCTCTCAGATTACATGAAAAGCAGCTTACGCAGTATACCGTTCTGTGAAATAATAGCATGATGTACTCCTATTATTTTATAGATGTCATAGCCGCACCTCTTTGCCCTGAAGATGATGCCCATAATGTGCAGGCAGTGATAGATTCTTTGGCTTTGGACTACTTGCAGATCAGCTTATCGCATATAACTGGTGGGTACCTATCATTTGTAAACTAGTTGAGATTCGTGCATTGCAGGGAGTTGGACTAGATGACCTTCAGGGGCCCTTCCAACTCTACCATTCTATGATTGCTATTGAAAAAAATTAATAATAAAAAATTATATGCACTTTTATGGTTGGTGCGAGCAATAATTTAATTATGCTGGATGTATGTAAGTCTGACAGTGCAATATTTATTTATTTATTTAAGTTCATTAACCTTTATGAATTCACTTAATTATTATTTTTTTAAATGATATTTGTTGAAGGAATATTTTTTTTAAGTTACAAAAGAAAACAAAGTAGAAAAAGAGAAAAACAAGCCACTTCCAACCATACAAATACACAAAATAAGAGAGAGAAAAAACAAAAATACACCACAAAAATTTAAAAACAATTAAAAACAAATCCATTATTTTCAACTCCTCAACTGTCATTACCCTCTTTCCTTGACCTCCTCCTCCTCCCCTTCCTTGTGTCCTGGTTGTTAATTGTCACAGCAAATCCTTTCCATATTTCATAATATTCTGTCATTACATTACCTTAAACTATTTTAATCTTATCTTACTATAAAAAACCTTGGAACTTAAAACTTAAATCTTATTTTTACCAACTTCTCATAACCATAATATTCTTACATAATTCTTTAAACATTTTTACTAAAGCCAAATAATTTCATTCCAACATTTTTCTAACATTCATCAATTTTATAAAACAGTCCTAGTGATGAAAAAAAGAAATAAAAACAAATCCAATCTTCATCCAGCGTCCCTTCCTCCTGGTCCCGGGTTTGTCAGTCCTTATTATCCAATCGATCTGGCGCATTAACCTGGTGACCTTATATCCGAGGCCCTTAAGTCTCTTCCATGTCTCTTCCGCAGCTCTTCTTCATATTTGTAACTGTATTTTCCCTTGTCTCCTGCTCGTTTCACTCGTGGGAACTCCAGCTTAGCAATATTTTTGACCCTTCTCGACAGATCAGCCCCTTTTCCATAATCGCCACTAAATTCCATATGGTATTTAAAAACATGTTTCAAAAACCCTCCAAAATTGAGAGCCCCCACAATCCCAAACATCTCGCGGCCCATTGCCAGACTTGAAAAGTCCAAAAATCCCTGCATAGGAGGGTCTATCCAACCCCCCATTTCCATACCAAACCACACTTTTTCTTTCCAAATCTGGCTTTTTCCAAGTTCATTTGTCAAATCCGAAAGCTCATGTTCCTGATGGGTCTGTTCTGTCAGGGCACACTCCTGATTTAATTCCTGGGTGGGCTTCACATATTTTCCCACTGCCTGTTCAAAATTTCCCACTGCCTGTTCAAAATTTCTAATCGAATCAGCCATCAAATTCGTCTTCTCATGTAGCTGTTCCAGTAGGGCATTTGTTTTATAGAAAGCACACAACAGAGCTTCTGAATACATTGTCCTGCAAGGTCAGATGTCTATTCCCACGATTGTAATCTGTAACAGCTGCCAGCTCCCAGGAGTTGGTTACAGTTTCACAGTCTCCCTCTAGGGGGAAAACTTCTATTTGATCTTTCTTTTAAAGACAAGTCTAGCAACAGAGTTTCCTTTTTTCAGATATTTTGTCAGTATTTGTTCTTTTAAGGTGCGAAAGGAAACAATGGAATCACTATGTTCCTCTTCTTTTAGCTATCTGTCAAAAGCGTTTATCTCTGGTCAATGAGCTTCATACGTCAGTCCTGACACCCCGCTCCAGGATCAGGACGGTGGAAAGTTACTTTACTTTAAACTCACTTCTGCAGGTTTAAACAGTCCAAAAAAGATCCCCCTTCTTCTCCTGCTGCCGAAGGGGGGTTCAACAATTTTAAATGATGAAAGCCAATCCTTTAGAGGCAATTTTCTGAGCTCTAGTTTACGTTGTCTTTGCTTTATTCTGTCTACAAAGAAACGGAAGGCTGACTTCCTGTTTAGACCTTCCCGTTTCAGTACCAAATTGAAGTAAATTTTTTAAGTCCAATTCCTTTCTGCTCGCAAGTCCTTATTTAAAGTCCAATTGTTCAAAGTTTAAGTACTCACGGGTGCTTATTTTAAAAACCAAATTGTCCCAGGAAAAAGGCAGCGCTCTCCGGCAACGGCTGTGCGGCTTCGCTCCACGGAAATAGCAGTTGACTCACAGCACCGCGCCGCTTCCCCCTCTTCACTTCGGAGCCCGTTAGTGGGTTCCTTTGTGGGTTGGGGGGCGCTAAGGGTGCCCGCCGAGTCCCATGGTCACAGGCTTCATCCGCCTGTGATTTTAAAAGGGTCCCCGCTTCGCCGTAGCGGAAAAGACCCGTTTCGCGCAGAGCTAGTCCCTCCAGTTCAGAGGGAGTCCGCCATTGCCAATGGCGCCACCCCGGAAGTCCATGACTTCACTTAATTATAAAAAAAAGTTCAAAGTGGTTTACAAAAAGATAAAATTGAGAAAAATTTACAAAAAAGTTAAAGTACTAAAGCAGATTAAGATCACCTCAACTATCTAAGCATCTGGATAGGCTTTTCTAAACAATAATGCTATTAGAAGGCACCAAAAAGAATACAGTCATACTTCGGGTTACAGATGCTTCAGGTTGCATTTTTTCGGGTTACGGACTGCCGAAACCCAGAAGTACCGGAACGGGTTACTTCTGGGTTTCGGCAGTCGCGCATACGCATAAGTGCTAGATCGCGCTTTGCACATGCGCAGAAGTGCTGAATTGCAACCTGCACGTGCGCAGATACGGGTTGCGAACGTGCTTCCTGCACGGATCACGTTCGCAACCCGAGCGTCCACTGTACAGTGAAGGCACCTGCTTGATCTCAAGAAGCAGGGAGTTCTGAAGTTTAGGCGCTGCCAAACTAAATGATCACGTTTTTACAGATGCGGAAGGGGTATTATGTGGCTCTTGTAGTAGTACCAATTCTGCTGATCAAAGGGTTCAAGTAGGCACCTGTGGGGTAAAGTGATCTCGTAGGTAAACTGGTCTCAAGTTGATACGGACTTGATAAGATAAGTTGGCTTATGTTGATAAGATACTAAGAATACCACCTTGATATGATACATGTATCCCCATTGCCTCCTGAACCTGCGGTATATAAAGAACTGCAGTCCAGGTTCCTGAGGAACTCCATGTGACTTGGTTTGGGAACCAACAGAGCATATTGGGGGAAGGGAAGGAGAGAGAGATTGGGGGAGTGCTTCTGCAATAACTCGGTAGGATATAACCCTGTCCACTTAGGGATCAATTTTTAGTCTCTGTATGAACTTGGCAGTTTCCTCCTCCCATATTTTTAATCAATGTTTTCACTTACTGGAAATGTGTGACCTGGGCTGCAATCCTAAACACACTAGGGAGTGCGTCTCTGTGCTTCTGCGTAAGAGCACAGGGGATCATGCTGCTCAATGGAGCACCTTTTCCCAGTAAGACAAATTGATAGGGCCTTCCTAAAATCTAGGAAGTATATCCGACTTACTGAAAGATTTAGGACCTAAATCTTTCATTAGTTAAAACACATTCAGAGGGCAGTATCCCATGAAGTAGCTCTGTTAGCGCAAGGATTTTGTTACTGCATGAAAGACATTTGGGACTCAATACCAGTTGCATTTCTTTCTGGCTGACTCCTCCCTATACCAGCAGTTATCTAAAGAGGAAATGTCACTGCTTTGGATAATGGGTTTGTTCATGGATCTCTATGGTTAGCACCGTGAGGAGGGTCAAGCCCCCACCAAGGCATACAAAAATACTTATGTCAGAAACGGGTTATCCCTCTCCTAGCAAAACAATTGCACCTTGTTGGGGAGATGGAGCTTACAAGAATTCTTGGCATGCAGGATTGTGTCCCAAGTGTTCTAATGCAGCTCATTAAACAAAGCCACAGAGTTGACGTTCCCTGCTGCTACCCTTTCCTTCGATTTTAGAACTGTGACTCAGAGGTGAGATTACTTGAAACCTGTTGTGAGTTTCCTTTCCAACACTATGCTCCATGGAGCAGCCTCAGATGCTTTACAAGGGCTTCCAAAATTTTTTAAAAATCATTCTGAGGGATTTGGAATGAGAAAGGAAAACATCCTCTGCATGATTTTCTCTCACCATGAATTTCCCTTTACTTCATCTAATCGTAATGAGCAGAGAGAACAATCCACAACACGGCTCGCTTTATGCCGACTGTTGCATTCGGCTTGATTTAATAATAATAATAATGATAATGATAATAATAACAACAACAATAATAATAATTTATTATTTATACCCCGCCCATCTGGCTGAGTTTCCCCAGCCACTCTGGGCGGCTTCCAATCGAGTGTTAAAAACAATACAGCATCAACTATTAAAAACTTCCCTAAACAGGGCTGCCTTCAGATGTATTTTAAAGAGAAGATAGCTGCTTATTTCCTTCACATCTGAAGGGAGGGCGTTCCACAGGGTGGGTGCCACTACCGAGAAGGCCCTCTGTCTGGTTCCCTGTAACCTCACTTCTCGCAATGAGGGAACCGCCAGAAGGCCCTCGGCGCTGGATCTCAGTGTTCAGGCTGAACGATGGGGGTGGAGACGCACGACTTTGAGCCATTTGCATGGAGCCCAGCCTTGCCCATCATTCTCCCCGTTGTGAAAGGCATACAATACCCATGTCCCCCCCCCCCCCCGCATTCTCTGCCAATCTATTAACACCGATTTTTGTCAAGGGGAGAACATTGTGAAAGGAAATAAGGAGTCCATCAGAAATCTCTTGGAAATATTTGATGGCTTGCTCGAGTACCTGACAGAAGAAATCAGTGAGACGGCTTCTCAGAATGGCGGTGAGAGAAGGGGCATAATCAATGGCATGTGCTTCCTCTGTGCAGATAGCGTATTCTGTTTATTTGTATGTAGTAGTATCACTTTTTGCACCTAGAGGGGTATTCTTAAAAAGAGAGAGCACTTTCAATGCCTTGCTTAGCATCAGTATGTTGTCATAAAGTGAAAGGACTTGCAGTGCCTCTCAGTCACCATCAGGCTGTAATTACGGGGGGGGGGGGGAATAAGAGCATAGGAAATAATAGAAAAGAAAGAAAAAGCTTATTATTAGTTATTGAATTCATATACCACCCTGTACCCAGAGGTCTCAGGGTGGTTCACAGAACAAAATCAAAATATAAAACCACAAAATATGGAGTAAAACAATGCTAAATTTCTTAGCAAGTAGTTTTTATTTAACAATATTGGTTGCAAAGCAATCAAGCCTGTGAGATTTAAAGCTCAAAGTGGCTGGTACTGGATGAAACTGGGTTTTTACAACAGTGCCAGCACACCTTACATAAACAGACAGTGCATCGTATAAGCTTCTGTGCCAGAATAAATATTTTGCTGCGTTAGTCATACGCTGACCGATATGCCACTGCAGATGTGTGGGCTGAGGAGGGGATTGATATTGTCACGGTCATCTTTGTGGCAGGCAGAAGTCTGTCTTGCTCCTTGCTCATAATAGTTTTGTTTATGAACAGAAGATCTTAACCAGAGGGCTGAAGATGAAGTCCAGACTACCGGTCTCGAAGAGGAAGAAGGTGGTGTTCATGATGTGCCAGTTCCCTCCCGGACACTTCCGTCTGCCTCGGGGTAAGGCAGGTTCATAGTTCCCTTAGCTTCCCAAGTCTTTACTAGGTTGCAAAATGTGCAACATGTTAGTACCACTGTTCTCTGCTTCCATAGGTGAGGCAGTGTTGCAGCTAGGTAATTTTAGACTATGGCCTTTCGATGACCATGGGCACCACGTTAGTTGTGAAGCATACAGTTAACACCTCTCTTCTTCTCGCTCCCCACCATTGCTTGCTCCACAACTGCTTCTGCATTTCTGATATGTTAGTGGTTCTCAACCTGTGGGTCCCCAGATGTTGTTGGACTACAACTCCCATCATCCCTGACCACTGGTCATGCTGGCTAGGAATGATGGGAGTTGTAGTCGAACAACATTTGGGAACCCACAGGTTGAGAAACACTGAGAGCCTCTGCAAGCTGATGGAATGCACTGAACTCGGCGTTTCTGCTTGGCGTCTCAGAGAGGATATTGCTGCAGGTTTCTTCCTCCACCGCAATGCCATGACATGACATTGGCTCTGCAACCAACGCACTGGTGCAACCGATTGCCAGATGCTGTCCCCGTTCCCAGTTGCGTAGAATGGTTAAACGTAGTTGTCACCTGGGAAAACGCGTTTTCTCCAGTTAATGTGGTGCCATAGCCGCCTTCAGTTGATAAACATGTAGCAGTGATTCTTGGCGTTGGAAGTGTGCGCCTCTCAGCTAGAAGCACCACCTTGTGGCCAAGTCAAGTAAACAAATTTACTTCCTTGCATTCTGTTTAGGTCTTCTCGGTCGTCAGAGATAGACGTTCCATCATACGAGGTAGATGGTTCGGAATCTACAAGTGAGCTCATTAAGCTTGGCGACACTGCTTATTTGTTTTCTCTAAGAAATGAAGGTGAGTTCAAGCAACACACAAGAGCAGCCAGATCCCAGTAACTGAATGTCTGCCGTGCGGAGACCACTTTAAATAGTTTCTTCCCTGTGCAGGCACTTTCCCCGCAAACAAAAACTGTTGGTATGCAGCAGCTTGCTACAGGGAATTGGCAGTTTCTCTCCCCACATTCACAAATTACTTGAGATGAACAGGCATGAGACAAATGATTAGGAAATCTATGGTTTGTTGTAATATATTCTAGTGCAGTAGTAAAAAACCAGAAGAGTCACAAGGTCGGTCACTCCCACCAGCAGATGGAATAAATTGTAACCCTTTAACTACAAACACATTCAGATTGCTTTTTTTTTTGTAGATCCTGGTGTCAATTGGAAGTTGGTACTCAAGGATCGGAATAGTGTAAGAGGTTGAACAAAGTTTGAGATCCCCACCAATTCTCCTTATTAGCATACAATTGAAACCAGCATCTTAATGGCCTGAAACGTGAAGCTAAGAGATGTAATTCATTTGAGCAGTCTATATAATTCCACAAGTAACTAATACTTGAAATCAACACATTTGGCAGGCTATAAATAAAAACACCCATCTCTGCTGCAGATAGTATTAGCAGAAGTACGGGGTATAATGTTTATGTCAGATTCATGCAACAATATGCCGAGTCACAAAGTTATGTGGGGAAACCAGTGGTCCCTTTTGGCCCCTCTTTTGCGGGAAGATCATATCTTAATCGTCATTTATGGAAATACTACTACTTGCTGACTTGGAATTATTGTAAATTCCCGACTTCCAGAGTTCATTGCTGGGTTTGAACTCATCCAGGACTTATTTATACACTACCGTCTACATTTCTCTGTCTGTTTCTCTCTTTGGGTTCTTGGACATTTTGTGATTAAATGGAACGAGCTGGTTGATAAAAATGGTAACTTGCTGGGGTGTTAGTCAGATACCACACTGAGTGGTTGATTAAATTACTAACTTACTAAAGATTTTTAGTTGTTGGATCTGCATTTAAACTCATCAGTTTTGAACATTTACACTGGCTTTTGCATGTTCCCCAAACCTTAGCATGCATATTTTCAAGATACAGTAATGCTCAGGAGCACAATACCACAAGGAACACCTCTTCCCTTATGAACTGACCTGGACCATGCAATCATGATCTGAGGCTGTTATTGGTGTGCCTCTTCTGCGAGATGTCTGGAGGGCAGCAACACGAGAATGGGATGTTTCTGCAGTGTCTCCTCGCTTGTGAAATGCTCTTTCCAGGTGCCTGGTGCCTTCATTACATATCTTCAGGCTCCATGCAAAAGCATTCCTCTTCTCCCAGGCCTTTGGCTAATTAAACAGTCTGTGACCTTTTAAACTGGGGGGGGGGGTATTGTTTTGGTTTATTATTATGGTATGTATCTTTGTGGTTTTTATATTGAAAACCACCCTGTGATCCTCGGATGTAGAAATTAAATTAAATAAATGTATAAGGGTACTTACAATATGGTAACTTTCAGGATCACTCACTGGGTTGAACCCAAAAAGTGCCAGGGGAGCTGTGGGGCTTACCTGGCTCCCAGTGGCGTAGCGTGGGGGGTGCAGGGGGGCCGGCCGCACCGGGCGCAACATCTGGGGGGGGGCGCGCTCGCACTCGCAGCTCTCTGCCCCTACCTGGCTCACTCACTCTCTCTCACTGCAGTGCTGGCTGTGCGAATCCGATCCGAGCCGCTGGGTCTCCGCCCACTGTGGAGTGGGTGGGTGCCAGGCGTGCGGTGCGGAGAGAGAGCGAGGGACTATCTGGGGGAGGGGCAGTGCAGCGGCCGCCCAGCGCAGCGCTGAGCGCGGGAGAGAACCACACCAGACCAGCCCAAGCAGCAGCAAGAAGAAGCTGGCAGCGGCGGCAGGTTGGGGGTTAGGGGGCGCAAATTACTTGCCTCGCCCCAGGTTAGGGGGCGCAAATTACTTGCCTTGCCCCAGGTTAGGGGGCGCAAATTACTTGCCTTGCCCCGGGTGCTGACAACCCACGCTACGCCGCTGCTGGCTCCTTCCTATTTCTGCTCTCAACATCTACACATATATCCCAAGCTGCTCCTGAGGGTTAAAGGACCTTGTGAAATGCAATGAGATGAAGCACTGTGGGCTGCAGCATGGTGGAATTGGCAGCATTTGCTATGTGCGGGATTCCTTGCACAAAATGCCAACTTAATATTTTATTCTCTTTTTCTGCTCCCTGTTACAGCAGTAGTCTGTTTGGATAATACATCTTCTTCGTAATTAGCAGTGAAATAGTCAAACACAAATGTTTGACTCGCGCGCTCCCTCTGCACGTAGTCACCTCCAAATGCTGCCCTTAAAATTTCAATTTCTTACAGAGTTACCTGCAGAAAGAGACATCTCGAAGAAGATTACAAAACCTGAAGATCTTGTGGCTTTTGGGGGACCATCTAGTGGCAGAAGAGCTCTTGTCAGAGAAACTCAAGGTGAGTGTATACCAAAGAACCTCAGAAATATATATTTAAAATATATTACTGGCCTTTTCTTGTGTCCATTGTATTTTAATCAAGTAAGGGTTCCCACCTGGGTTTGATCTTTCTTTGGTGATCTGGTGGGGGAAAGAGAACTGGCTTAAGTTTGTTACTATGTTTCATCTTACCTGTGCATCTTATTCAGTTAAATAAAGCCATTCTTTTTGTGTGTGAAAAGTCTGGATGGGCTAAGTTGATAGGACCTGTGGGGGAAATATCCTAATCAATTCTATGAAATCCCATAAATCGCTTGCTTCCAGCACTGGGCCCAAATTTCTATAGGAAACTTCCCAGTGGAGCGATTAATTATAATAATTATATACCCCCCTTTTTTAAAAGTACATGGACTGAACCTCTAAACTGCTTGTCTTTCCTAAGGAACAGCCAAATCTGCTTTGTCGTCTAAGGAGCAGTTGTGTTCTAATGCAAAAAAGCTTGGGGAACCAATCCGCCCAGCTATTCCTTTGCAGCCACCATTCCAGCCTTCCGCATCCAGGCCCTCTTACCTAACTGAAAGAGGTGCTGGAAGTTCAGGCAGACGTTCGCCGCCACCAGCTAAACCTTGCAGACTTGCGTCCTCTGATGTAAGTGCTGAAGTTTCCTTTGTTTCTGTTAGTATTGTCAGCCTTTGTAGAAATGCACTGCCTTGGGATCCTTAATTCAGACTGCTTCCAGGTTAACGCTGCTAGGCCTTCCTGTGTCCAGGAAGCTCAATATGTACCTTATTTTTCGCTCTGTAAGACACACTTTTTCCCTCCTAAAAAGTAAGGGGGGATGTGTATGCGTCTTATGAAGCGAATGCAGGCTGCGCAGCTATCGCTGAAGCCAGAAGAGCAAGAGGGATCACTGCACAGACACCGATCCCTCTTGCTCTTCTGGCTTCAGGGATAGCCACGCAAAGCCTCTTGAGTGCAGTGGGAGCTCTCCTCCATCTTCACTCAAGAGGCTTTGCATTGCTTTTGCGAAGCCTCTTCAAGGCAATGGGAGGAACACTCCCCCTGTCCTGAAGAGGCTTGGTGCGGCTATCCCAGAAGCCAGAACAGCAAGAGGGATCGCTGCTTTCACTGCGCAGCGATCCCTCTTGCTGTTCTGGCTTCTGGGATTCAAAATATTTTTTTTCTTGTTTTCCTCTTCCAAAAGCAGAACATTTTTTTATAAGTTGTCTCTCTTCATTCAAACTTGAATACATATTGAGAAGTATAGCTTTTGCAGTAACCAGTCCTGGAAATTTTAGCTTTAACCTACGATCCAAACCAGAAAAGGTCTTTTCCTGGGACAAGCTATCGGTTGTTTATCTGAAGACTTTGGGGCTGGACCCACTACGTTTGTAAGGAATAGTTGTTTCTCGTATCTTTCGGCGTAGGACTTTTACCATAGAAAAAGCATATTTAAATTTCTTTTCAAATATATATAATTTACTTTGAGACTATTCTTATCGATCATCTTGGATATCTAACATTTTAACCTGCTTCAAGAGGCTGTTTGGTTAAGCATGAACGTTAATTCTAGTGAATAAATATATCGTAGGGGACTTTTTGTGATTGATTTGCCTCTTGCAAGAGAGGGGGGGGCCTTATAGAAACTACATTTAAAGCAGAGATCCAATCAGTAGATGTACTGTAGAATAGCCTGCACCAACTCTGTGCCCTGCAGATGTTGTACAGCTGTCATCATCCCCAGCCAGCACAGAATTGTGGTCCATCTGGAGGGCACTGTGTTGGTGAAAGTTGTAGACATTCAGGAAATAAAGAGAACAAAGGCTTCAGATACACTGCAGCCCCCGAAACTTACAATTGTGAGCATATGGTTTCCATTTCACCTTGACATTTCCTCCTGATAAATATCGATTTTGCATGGTAATGTATGCTAACGTGTGCCAGTGAAATGTTAGTGATTTGGTGAACTGTACTGCCTTTTAGTCAAACAGAAGGACACCCACTGTCCATTATTTTTTGGTTGTCGTTCTTCTCCTAGCAGTCTAAAAGTAAAATGTTCCATTTTTTGGCCCGTGTTGAATTGCAGGCCTTCAGAACTGTTTTCCAGGCACCAAATTATTGCTGGATTCTCCCTAAAACTTTTGAGTATAGAGAAGGTGAAATCAGGAGAAGGAACTGAAAAGACAAGAGATGTTTCTACTGGAGCACAGCTAATCCAAAGCCAGATACCATGAGAATTAGTGGTGTAGAAATTTATATTTTAAAAATGCCAGAGATTTGACCTCCGACTCTTTACATCTAAACAGAACTATCGGTGTGAATAAGATTGCGGTGTATCTCTTCCAAAAGCTGGGTGCGTCTTATGGCGCGTCTTATAGAACGAAAAATACAGTATGTTTCACTTTCAGAACGTAGGTGGAAGCGTGTATTTCTGACTGAGTTACAGTTCGCTGTCTAAGCGTATTAAACCACTACCACGCCTGCTGATTTAAGATAAAACCAATATATAAGAATCATGATAGAGTCTCAAATGCTGTGTTTGAAACTGCCATTGTTCTAGGCGTATTTAGCGACAGGGAATTTCATTAGGACATGCAGTTTCTGGGCGCAGAACTGCACCAAAGATTTTCAGATTAAAACTGCAGAGTGAAAGGAAAGGAGGACCTTTTTCTGCCTCCTCACTTCCAGCTACTCTCTGAAGACTGGCGAAGAGACCCTCTTAAGAATATTAGGGCGGGTGGGGCAGGGGAGGGACTAGACCATGTGAAAAACGAACATAAGATTTTAGCTGCAGTTCATTCATTTTCAGCTTTGTATTCTTGTTATAAAAAAGCACGCCTAGACATTCCATTGTTGGGCCCACAACCTAGGTTTAAGGTGCCCTTTAGCTCCTAGCTTTAATATCTCAGTTTCTAACACTGTCCAAATGGTGTGGGAAGAGGCACATCTTCATAGTGAGTTCCTCTTAAAGCAATAAGTCATTTAGGGGATATAGAAGATATTGTTTGAACAGGACATCAAAAGGCAATGATTAATCTACTAGCAGTACCAAGGAATGAGATGACTAGTCAATGGAAGTAAGCCAAAGCCTTTCTAATTGCACAAGGAGAATCAGGCGTGTTCTCTGTATGTTGAAGCAAACTCATATCTGGATGGAAGAGAAAGGGTGAATAAGGTGAATAACCTGTTAGGAGAACTGGCAATTATTTCACTTACTTTTGGAGTGTGTGTGTCGGTCATAATATACCATTGGTGTTATTAGCTATGTAGATGAGAAATGACAAGGCCTACACCAAACGCAAATAAATTTTAATGTAGTGTTAATACATCTGGTTATTTTTACGGTTTGGATAATATTTTATGCACAAGCAGTGACCATTTTGCAGGTGTTTGATTGGCGTGCGACTGTTGACGTGCACGATGACCTGGAATGCAACCCCCATGCAAACAGGAAGTTGCTCATATATGCATTTTAAAAAAACAAACAAGCAAATGCCACACAAAATTTACATGTCCCACGTTTTTTAACAGCCTGCAGAGTCCCTTGGGGAAGAGTCTGGAACCCTCTCAGGTGACATCCTTTCTTTATCCACGATCACTTCTGGTAAGAACATTCCTTGAGTTATTGAAAAGTGTAATCTTAATATCTCTTCTACTACTCTAATTAGGGACGCAGGTGGCACTGTGGGTTAAACCACTGAGCCCAGGGCTTGCTGATCAGAAGGTTGGTGGTTCGAATCCCCGCGACGGGGTGAGCTCCCGTTGCTTGGTCCCTGCTCCTGCCAACCTAGCAGTTCGAAAGCATGTCAAAGTGCAAGTAGATAAATAGGTACCACTCTGGCGGGAAGGTAAACGGCGTTTCCGTGCGCTGCTCTGGTTCGCCAGAAGTGGCTTAGTCATGCTGGCCACATGACCTGGAAGCTGTACGCTGGCTCCTTCGACCAGTAAAGCGAGATGAGCGCCGCAACCCCCGAGTCAGCCACGACTGGACCTAATGGTCAGGGGTCCTCTTTACTTTTACTACTCTAATTAAAGCTACTGACATAGGGAGAAAGAGACTTTTGAAAAGTGCTTGTAAAAGTGACTACTTGTGGATCTATCTTTCTTTCTTTTTAATGTACTTTCAAAATGTTCTCATTTGCCAGGGAACATCACTGTATGCTTATGTTCAGTTTCATTTTTCACCTTCCCAAGGATACCTTGGGTAGTGAAGTTTTTATAACGGTATGGCAAATTCTGTCAGAAACTCACTTCCCTCCAAGAGCTCTGCATTATCCCAAAGAGACTTTTCAACAAACCAGGAGCTGGTCCCACTGAACTCAGTGTCAGTTACTTTCTTTGGCAGATTATATAGGATTGCATTGTAAACCAGTACTGATGTTGCTGCATCACAACTCCCATCATCCCTGGCCGTTGGCTGAGGCTGATGGAATTTGGAGTCCAGCATTTGGAGGGCACCATGTTGCTACCCTTTATCACTTTAACACACAGTTCAAGTGCAGCATTAACAAAGGCACCAATTCTTGTTGGAAAGAACATTTGATTATCTTTCACCTTTAAGCCTTTCTTTTCCCTGCTCACCTTCTTGGGTAATTACATCACTGAACTAACATTAGCAAAAAAAATTGCTGAACAGAAACCATTCTAGAAAATGTGATTAACCATCCTGTGATAGGCACAGCCAGAGAAAACAAATTGACTCCCCACCACACTTCTTATTTGGAGGTTTGTATTATGTTTACAAGTTAAACTTATTGTTGCCAATGATTCTTGCAGAAAAATCTATAGAAGTCTTCATGTGGAGGTAGTTTTACAAGTCACTGTGTTATCCTGTTTGCATATGCTGTGACAAGTGTGTTTAGTTTTTTGGGACTTGGGTTTGTCTCTAGTTGCGTAAAGAAGTGAATTATGTAAACTAATTTCTTGTGGCTTCTGCTGCTGGCTCTTCCAGCTGTAGATAATGAACCTGCATCTGAAACTGGTGTGAATGAAGAAGCTGATGAGTTAGTGCTAGAAGACACCATAGATGATGCAGGAAAGGTAACTGTTAATTCATACCCTGTTGGGTGTAGATACATGTTTATATAGGGACGCGGGTGGTGCTGTCATCTAAACTACTGAGCCTCTTGGGCTTGCCAATCAGAAAACTGGTAGTTCGAATTCCCACGACAGGGTAAGCTCCCGTTGCTCTGTCCCAGTTTCTGCCAACCTAGCAGTTCGAAAGCACGCCAGTGCAAGTAGATAAATAGGTACCACTGCGGCAGGAAGGTAAACGGCATTTCTGTGTGCTCTGGCTTCTGTTACGGTGTTCTGTTGCGCCAGAAGCCATTTAGTCTTGCTGGCCACATGACCCGGAAAGCTATCTGTGGACAGACACCGGGTCCCTCGGCCTGAAAGCGAGATGAACGCTGCAACATCATAGTCGCCTTTAATTGGACTTAACTGTCCAGGAGTTCTTTATCTTTTACCTTACATGTTTATAGTATTTGAATTATAGTACAGTGGTACATCTGGTTGCGAACAGGATCCGTTCTGGAGCCCTGTTTGCAACCTGAAAGGAACGCAACCTGCGCATGCGCAGGTTGTGATTCGCCGCTTCTGCGCATGCATGAGTGGCGAAACCCAGAAGTAACCCTTCTGGTACTTCTGGGTCACCACGGGACGCAACCTGAAAAGATGTAACCTGAATCGAACGTAACAAGAGGTATGACTGTATTTGAACAGTGTGATGCAGCAGCCAAAAAAAAGCTAACACTATTCTAGGTTGCATCAACAGAAGTACAGTGTCCAGATCAAGGGAAGTAATAGTACCACTCAATTGTGCCTTGGTCAGACCACACCTGGAATACTGTGTCCAGTTCTGGGCACCACAATTTAAAAAGAATGTTGACAAGCTGGAACTTGTGCAGAGGAGGGCGACAAAGATTACAGTGGTGCCTCGCAAGACGAAATTAATCCGTTCCGCGACTGTCTTCGTCTAGCGGTTTTTTCGTCTTGCAAAGCAACCCTATTAGCGGCTTAGCGGATTAGCGCTATTAGCGGTTTAGCGGCTATTAAAGGCTTATCGGCTTAGCTGCTAAAAGGCTATTAGCGGCTTAGCGGCTTAGAAAAAGGGGGGGGGAAGCGAAAAAAAAATCTCAAGACTCGCAAGACATTTTCGTCTTGCGAAGCAAGCCCATAGGGAAATTTGGTCTGCGAAGCAACTCAAAAACGGAAAACCCTTTCGTCTAGCGGGTTTTCCGTCTTGCGAGGCATTCGTCTTGCGGGGCACCACTGTATAAAGGGTCAGGAAACTCAGCCTTATGAGGAGCAGTTGAAGGAGTTGGGTATGTTTAGCCTGGAAAAGAGGAGACTGAGAGGATAGCCATCTTCAAATATCTTAAGGGCTGCCACGTGGAGGAGGGAGCACGCTTGTTTTCTGCTCTGGAGGGTAGGACTCAAACCAATGGCTTCAAGTTGCAAGAAAGGAGATTCTGACTAAACATTCAGAAAAACTTTCTGACAGTAAGAGCTGTTCAGCAGTAGAACTGACTCCCACGAGAGGTGGTGAACTCTCCTTCCTTGGAGGTTTTTAAGCAGAGGTTGGATGGCCATCTGTCCTGGAAGCTTTAGCAGAGATTCCTGCATTGCAGAGGGCTGGACTAGGTGAATCAACCCTTGGGCCCAACTCTAAGATTCTAAAACATTTGACAGGTTTTGCTTGTGAGTCAAACTCAGAAATGCTTAGATTTTAAAAGGCTGCATTTCTGATTTTCATTTTGCTCAGAAAGAGAGAGTGTACACATAGTGCTGGCTGCTCAGAACCCAAAATATATTTCTAGGCTGACAAACAACACTGCAATACAGTGGTACCTCGGGTTACATATGCTTCAGGTTACAGACTCCGCTAACCCAGAAATATTACCTCGGGTTAAGAACTTTGCTTCAGGATGAGAACAGAAATTGTGCGGCGGCAGCAGGAGGCCCCATTAGCTAAAGTGGTGCTTCAGGTTAAGAAGAGTTTCAGGTTAAGAACGGACCTCCAGAACAAATTAAGTTCTTAGCCCGAGGTACCACTGTAAATGAATATCATCCTTTGAAGGACTGCTAATGCCCTAAAAGCTGCTTTAATATTACCAGCAATTCCATTTGGCAGCCCCTCAGTATATGGTGTGGTACTCACTGCTCAGTTTTAACACCAGGCATTCTCTTTAATTTATTCTTGACTTCTTCAGTGAGAGCTTTCCCCCCCTCTCTCTCATCTAAAAGGAAAGGAATGAGAATGTTCCATACACACCAGCTCCTTGCTTTGAGAAGGGCAGGTTGCCAGAGTTTGCAACAAAGCAAAGCACAAGACCAAAACAAAGGAATCTGCTTCCTGGGAAAAGGTATGCACTTCCTAGATCGTCTGAGATCCTAAAGGTTTTCTTGCATTGTTTAAGACAGAGGTGGGGAACTACCAAGATTATTAAGTATGAGGTAGTGAGAGAGAAAAGGAGGGTATTTGAAGTGCTGATGATCTGGCTCTGTTCCACGTAGGTTCCCTCCAAGGGGAATGTAGTCCTCAACAAAAAAAAAAAAGGTTACTTCCTCCTGTCTTAAAACCTCAGTATTTGCCTCTTCCTCCCAAACCAGCGATGTTATCAGCAGCTTAAGGTGGTACATGCTAATAACAGTTGTCATATTCTTTATTTATTTCCTCAAAAGCCCATTCATGCAACCTGGGCACTGATTCTTGCAACACAAGTTTTCCCCCCTCATCGGAAGAAATAGCATGTCAGATATGTAGCTAAATATTTAGGGAGGCCGGTGTGATCCCTGGGGTCCATGTATGAACTCTCATTGTATCGCTGCCAAGATGAACTCCTGGAATGCTGTCTGAGTGTTGCTGAAATGAGGTCTTTGATAGAAAAAGCAACATTCATTTTCAGCCTGTTGACCCCATGTGGTTTCTCAGCCAGAAAGAACGCTCCATCACAGACTCGCTTGCAGAGGAAGCTTCTTCACACCAAACGGCAAAGGAAAAGCTGTCTGAACAGGAGCTGAAGGAGATGTCGGACAAACTGTCCCGCCGGATGAACGAACTAGAAGGAGTAAGTAAGCCCCATCTATTCTTGACAGCACCTTCTCCCAATATAGTGCAGCTCTCCTGTTGTCAACAACTTGTGAGAAAACCTAGTTAAAGAGGTGGGATGAATTTAAAATCCTTTAGTAGCCCCTGGTATCCAAGGACCAGATGGGAAACCATTTGGTGTCCACCCTGGGCTTTACTAAAGGTAAAGGGACCCCTGACCATTAGGTCCAGTCACGGCCAACTTTGGGGTTGCGGTGCTCATCTCGCTTTATTGGCCAAGGGAGCTGGCATACAGCTTCCGGGTCATGTGGCCAGCATGACTAAGCTGATTCTGGCGAACCAGAGCAGCGCACGGAAACGCCGTTTACCTTCCTGCCGGAGCGGTACCTATTTATCTACTTGCACTTTGACGTGCTTTCAAACTGCTAGGTTGGCAGGAGCAGGGACTGAGCAACGGGAGCTCACCCTGTCGCAGGGATTCGAACCGCCAACCTTCTGATCGGCAAGTCCTAGACTCTGTGGTTTAACCCACAGCGCCACCCGCGTCCCTGGGCTTTACTAAACATTCCAATAAAATCAATATATGTAGCATGTTAGGTCAATTACTCCTTCCTTGTACTGACTTTTTCCAAAGAGAGACAGTCCAGTATTAAAACTGCTACCCAAAATAATGAGAAGTTTAAGGACATAAGAAGAGCCTGCTGGATCAGGCCAGAGGTCCACCTCGTCCAGCATCCTGTTCTCGCAGTGGCCACCCAGATGCTTGCAGAAAACTCTCCTGCGGTACTCGGAAGCATCCCTGCCTGCATTTTGTAGTAGTAGTGTAGCGGCACAGTCCGTTCTGCCACCTTGTGATTCTGCCAACCATTCTGCCGCATGCATAGGCCAGGCTGCAATAAATTCAAGCAAGTTACCGCAAGGTGCCAACCTTGGTTTTGGTAGTAAATATGACACTATATACTTGAGGCTGAAGTTTTCAGATGGATGTTTTGAACACCCTCCCATCAGATGTCAAGGAAATAAACAACTATATTACTTTTAGAAGACATCTGAAGGCAGCCCTGGTTAGGGAAGCTTTTAATGTTTGATGTTTTGTTGTGTTTTTAACATTCTGTTGGGAGCCGCCCAGAGTGGCTGGGGAAACCCAGCCAGGTGGGTGGGGTATAAATAATAAATTATTATTATTATAATAAACAGTTAGTACTAGGTTGTGCCATTGGAATGCATTCTTGACAGATCTCTTTAAATGACAGATGTTAAAGCATGCTCTGGGCGAGCAAAGCAAGGAGGAGGAGGAAGAGTCATCAGCCGATGAAGATAATCTTTCTCAGCACAGCGATAGCATCATGGATTACCGCCGAAGGAAACCGGAATCGGGTAACAGTTCAGAGTGTTAAGTTTGACGACATCCTGGTGACCTGCCCCTTTCTTTGCCAGGTGATGTGCGCACTTTGTGGTGGGTTATACTGCCCTCTTGTGGTGAAAGACAGAGGATGCAGATGGCCACAAGAGGGGCAGCACAACCCACCAATGCTGTGTGTCCCAACACCTTAAAGAAACGCCCTCCAGGCGAAAACCAGCTGTTGCTTCTGCATGTGCATTTGGACTTCCTTCAGTAAATTGCAAGCCTGTTGCTGAGCCTTGATTGGCAAAGTGTGGATCCAACGCCTAAAGTGAAAGGAAGGAATGTTATATTGGAATATGAGGCAGTAGAGTATTTGGTCCCAGAGAGTCCCACTGGCAACTGAAGGGCATTCACCGTAAAGAGCTCTCACTCCTCTGTGGCTCAGCTGGCACACGATGTTAATATAAACCATGACTTAACATAGGCTTGCCATAGGTCAGGAAAATTCCTGACATGCCCTGGTTTTTGGGTGTAAAAATGACATGGGGGGGAATTTTGCCGAATTGGCAAAATGTCAGGGGAAACCCAGATGTATGGCTACGCAATAGAAAAAGCAGCAGAAACCGCTCCGAAAGCTTAAAATCACAATTTTTGTGACAGTTTCCCCTAAAAAAGCTTAACAATTTTGGTGGGTTTCTTTAAAAGAAAAAATCAGCAGCTTTGCGGGTGTCACGAATTTTACTTTTTGAAATATGGCAACCCTAGCTCAACACAAATTCACAACTGTGTGGCTCCCTGAGGAAGTACAGTTGCTTTGACCCTCCTTCAGCTGTGCTGAATTGCTATGAGCTAAATCATGGGTAGGCACACTAAGGCCCAGGGGCCAGATCCAGCCCAATCGCCTTCTAAATCCGGCCCATGGACGGTCTGGGAATCAGTGTGTTTTTACATTAGTAGAATGTGTGCTTTTATTTAAAATGCATCTCTGCGTTATTTGTGGGGCATAGGAATTTGTTCTCCCCCCCTCCCCCCCGCAATATAGTCTGGCGCCGCACAAGGTCTGAGGGACAGTGGACTGGCCCCCCACTGAAAAAGTTTGCTGACCCCTGAGCTAAACTATGCTTTGGTTTAGCATGCTGTCCAAACCCAGGGACATGCTTTGCTTTGTTCCAATGAACAAACCTCATTTCACAGCTCATGGCTTGTCTGGTGCAAGACAAACCATGAACCTGGGTTCAGACAACAGGCTAAGCCAAGCCGTGGCTTAGCTTGCAGGACCAAAGGAGGAGCAAAGCGGTAGCCAGCTTTTCTCTGCCCAAAGCCAATCTGGCTTCACATTACACACGAACCAAATAAGAGCATGTCTGCAAGCGCCTCTCGTTTCTGCTGCTGCTACTAGAAACTCTCAGAGCTAGTTTCTTTTGCAGGTGTGCTACGTTTCGGAAGGGCACCCAGCAGACGGCGGTCACTTTCTGCTTCACCCCCTCCATCAAGCCACCACCTAACCCCTGAATCGGGTGGTGCACTTTGGAAAGATGTACGAGGGCCAATGGGAAGAATGCGAGACCGTGTGCAAAAGGAAAAAGACCAGAGGAAGTTAAGAGCAAAGGTAAGGGCAGCAGGATTGCAAGATGCAGCCTTCTGGGTGAACGGCCGATAGCCTCAATAGGCAGGTAAGCATACCCAACACTGAAGACCCTTCCCAGGTCTCTGGCACTAGGGATGCAGATGGTTTATCTGCTTGCCCAAAGGGGAGGTTGTAAGGTTTTATTTTTTAAAAAGGGGGGGTGGGAAGCATGCCCAGAGATCTGTTATCTGCTTCAACATCCACCCTGTGAATTTGCTAGAGTTGTGATGTGACACAGACACCCTGGAAAACAAGAGGCATTCAATTCTGTTTTGGATTTGTTACGCGGCTTGAGCAAAGTGCTTTGGCACCTATTATCAGCTTTCTAGCCTGTACTTAAGCAGCCAAGTAATAAAACAGCTTAAATAATTCTTCAGCTTTTATTTCTCTGATGTGCTGACTTCTGATGCTTTCCCTTATCAAATACCCTCTTCTAAACTGCGTCAGAGTTTGACTGGCTGTTAATCTTTGCCGCCATGTTTCTGGATTGTTTGGCTTTCTAATTTCTTGAAAAGGATCTTATGCCCAGATTAGCATTGCAAGATGCAGCCCAGTACAGGCAAAGGTTTGGTTCAGGCCTTAGCAAAATTCCTTCCCACATCTGATGCTTTGCGGGGGCAGGGGGTCCAGTGGGCCGCAGCCTCCTGGTGCTGTTAGCTATTAAGTAACTAGCTCTTTGAAATGTTCATATGTGCCTGCTTGGTATTTTTTAACATATATGAATTGGCAATGCCATATGCATTAACATTCCCAATATTAGCTGCAGCAAACATAGATCTCACTTTGTGGGGAGACACATTCAGTTTCATTTGCCAATTGCTTTGTTTTTATGGGTTGTACCCAGTGCTACATACATGTAATTCTGATGGGATTATGAGTCTTGCCCTTCCTTTATGACCCCCCAGTCTACTCCAGGGGGTTCCCCCAACCCCCGTGGAGCTGATTTTGAAGGTGTGCAGGGGGAGGAAGGGGAACCTTAGATGCACACAGAGAAGTCCATTGGCCCAACAGAACTGCAGTGCTGAATATATTTTTGCTGACACGTAACAATACAAGCATCATCCTGCAAACCTAAACCTCTACTTTGTGGCTGTTCTCTGCACTGGTGGTATTGGGCTTAATTGGTGTGAGTCATACAAGGGCCAATCTGGCTGTTGGGTCTGTTTCTGAGCACTGTTCCAATTCCTGCCCCCTACCTTTTTAAAGGGATGCAGGTGGCGTTGTGGGTTAAACCACAGAGCCTAGGACTTGCCAATCATAAGGTCGGTGGTTCGAATCCCCGCAACTGGGTGAGCTCCCGTTGCTCGGTCCCTGCTCCTGCCAACCTAGCAGTTCGAAAGCACGTCAAAGTGCAAGTAGATAAATAGGTACCGCTCCGGCGGAAAGGTAAACGGCGTTTCCGTGCGCTGCTCTGGTTCGCCAGAAGCGGCTTAGTCATGCTGGCCACATGACCCAGAAGCTGTATGCCGGCTCCCTCGGCCAATAAAGCGAGATGAGCGCTGCAACCCCATAGTCGGCCACGACGGGACCTAATGGTCAGGGGTCCCTTTACCCGTACCTTTTTAAAGCTCTACATGGTTTGGGACTTTGGTACCCTGCATTCCTATGCCTGTGCATTAAAGCCAACCTTTTTCGGGCCTCCTCTCAGTGCTCTGGCCTTCTGAGAGGAGAGTTGCAGCAACTGGCGAGAGCTGCCCTGCCTTAGCTGTGCTGCATTTTCTTTGGGGAGGCTCGTCTGGCAGCTGTGTTTTGGGGCCGGTCTATTTTCCCAGGCCTTGAAAAATCCCAGACCTTTTATTCTTCTGTGAAGCTTTTATACCTTTATGTTTGGATTCTGCTTTGGTATGTTGACTTGCTGTTTTTATATGGTTTAATTGATGTTTAGCTGCCCTAGGAGTAGAAACGTGGAAAAGTGGCATAGAATGTTTTGCTAAATTGACACACTTGTTGTGGACATTGACCAGGCTTTGTTTTTTGCCTTCCAGCTCTTGACCAAAGCCTATGAGGATGAATTAAGAGCTTACGAGGCTCGTGAGAAATTCGAACTGGCAGAGCTGAAAGCCAAGGCGAAGGAAATTGTAAGGGGGAGCAAAAGAGAATGAAGGAGTTGGGGGTGGTGTGCCTCTCTTGCACTGGTCTCTGAATTCCTGGGATTCTGAGGGTGGGTTTCCTCTCTTTCAAGGTGCATAGAAATGCTCCTCTTCCTTGCTCAGAATCCAGTTGCCGTACAGGAAGAATTTGGCCCAGTCCGCGTAAATCTCCTTACAAGTAGCCAGTGGCTATTTTTGGAAATGCTTGCCTTTCAGTAACTTGTTCTTCGTGTCTGTCTGCATCCAGGAACAAAAATACAAGGAGAAATTATTTAAAGAACCTCCAAGAGCCTCGCAAGCAGCAAAGATTTATTCTAGAAAAAATGGTCCTCGGAATCCCAAACTCAGCCAGTGGATTTCAAGAGGAGGGTTTGCAAAGCCAAAGAAAGCAGCTCCAAGTAAGAACTACAGAGAGCTCCTTAGTAGAAAGCTTGGCACCTTTTGAAAGCGTCGGCTGAAGGCCAAGAATACTGGCTTCTTGCCTTATGACCTCCATATGTCTAGACTTGTGTAAGGGAAGCAAATTCATGTACCAGTTTCTAACCAAGGGCACACAGCTCATCCCAACCCCTTTCCCAAAAGCCATCAGAGAAGCCAAGGCTCCCACCACCACACTCCTCTCTGCTTCGGGAGCTCTTCGGAGTTCAGTGTAGTCACTGGCAAGGGTTTGTTGCTTTAAAATTAAGCGCCCAAGCAACATATGCCAGCCGTGCTTATACAGCTTGATGTTCTTCCGAAAGATACTGAAAGAATCTGTGCCAATATGGGCAAACCTGTTTTCCTTTGCTCCACACCTGTAGCTGACTAGGAAAACAGAGGCTGCAATTGTGGTGGTCGCCGCAAGAATGCTGGGAGAGGTTGCTGTCAAAGAAAAGAGCGCGCTCCATAAATTGCACGCTCACTTTTCACCTTGCATGTTCTCCATTTGCGGTGAAAAGCCACAGTCCAAGCGACTCCAGCTTTGTTGGTCTAGTGTGATACCTGCAATAAGTGTGCAGCTCCCTATTTCGAGGTATTGCATGGAGCAATATGGTATTTGAGAGACTGATTGCACATTACATGCACATGTCTAACAGAATCTGACAGCTTCTTTTTTTAAAAAAAAAAAGGGAAAAACAGCTTTGAGACAAAGCACAGACAAGGCAATGTGAGCCTGGGCTTAAATTTTCCAATGCCCACCATTTTTCTGTGCAGAGTTTGTTTCTTCCTGCAGCAAAGTAGCTGGTGGTGTTACATGCATGGAACATAATAGCTAGGTCCTACCCACACTTTGAGGCAGTTATTTTTCTTTTTTCCTTTTTAACAATGCCCTCCATACATATTTATTCTCCAGGGACATAGACCTGCAACATCTTCCTTAGACAAGATTCTGACAGCTTGAGGACTGGGACCTCAGGCTATGCTGCCCTGCCTTTGTCTTCCAGAGCTGGGTGGCTGACACCTGCCTTTCTCTCTCTTGCAGTGAAGGTAAAGGAGAACGACCTCTTGCCTCTGCTCCTGGAGGATTTCCCCCACCTACACATTTCCCGCCCTGTCATGAACAAGATGTGGCACCAGCAGCTGGCACAGATAGACCACCTGAAGTCAACCTGCAGTAAAAACAAATTCAAACTGCAGAGTGAAGTGAGTTACTCTGCTCAGGCCAAGGAAGGTCACGGTCTTTTAAAGATCAGGTGGGGTCGTGTGTACCAGCCATATTAGGCTCCAATCCTATGCATGCCTTCCAGAGGTGTGGGAGAAGGATTGCTTTTGAGTAAATGCATAAGATGGCATTGCAAAATGTGCTGATCGGTACCAGAGTCTTCTGCTTGGTTTTTCTTCGCTGCAGGACTGATAAGGCTGTAAAGGGGGGGGGGGGGACTTTTCCGGATTTCACCTGAGCAAATTCTTTCCACAAGGAGCTAGTTCTGATGAGATAAGGAGGTTGGGGCATAAAAGAGATGGGAAGCAAAGAAGGAACCGGACCACGCAGCTAGGTACCTTTGTGGCAGGGCTCAACTAACTCCTGCGAGAGATGAGAGAGGGTGACTGGAGGAAAGCAGAAGGGGATTTTAGAGCAGCATGTGCCTTTCCTCTTGGAAGCGGATCAGCTTTCAGTGTGACTGCCTTCCTGCTCACAGAGGGAGACAGAGCATACAGAAAGAGTTTCTGAGAGAAACTGTAGATCCAAACGTGATGGGTTAAAAAAAGGAGGAAGGGCACTTTTTTTAAAAGGTGTTTCATGAGTTCATTATAGTATGCAGAAGATTGACATGTGCAAAACCAATATTAATCAGGTTTCTTTACTTCCCCCCACTTTTAGGCACTAGAAACATTGAAAAGGCATGAACTGCTTGTTGACCTCATTAAGAAAGAGCAGGCTCATAACAGGAGACTGGTATGTTCAGAGATCTTGCAGGAGGTGGGGCTGGTTAGGGCACCTGCTTGGGACCACAAATGTTTTTTCTTTGGGGGGGGGGAGACTACTGCACTTAGTTTGGTAGGTCGTGAGTTATTTTCTCAGAGCAATGCTTTCAAGTTGGGCGAGCCAGGTCCTCAGACACCCCTAATTCTGCTGGGTGAAGCATATCGCCACACCCTCATCTAGTTTCGGGATTTACCAATTGCTCAGCAGGACATTGTGCTCGATAGTCCTGCAGCAAATGGGAGTGAAAAACTGGACAGCCGAATTTCTGAAAAACGGCCTTCCCTCCTAAACTCTTTTGTCCAGCTATAGTTCCTCTAGATGAAGATCAAGAAGGGAATTCTTCTTTTCTGGTCGCTGCACCTATTTCAGAAAATAGTTAATACCTTCTCTCTTCTCCTTAGGGAAACTTGAATTGTGTTTCTCGGTTTTTGTCTTTAGCAAGAGTTGAAGCAACACATTAATCGGCAGAAATGTGCCCAGAACAAAATGAAGGAGAGACGACAGCAAATTGTCCGAGCCAAAAAGTACTACCAGGATTACAGAGTTCAGCTGCGGGCAAAGATGATGAGAGCCAGGACACGCGAGGAACGTGTAAGTTGAGGGGAACCTGCGCTGCAGGAAGGCGGACTCCTGCTCTTCCACCCAGGAAAGTCCAGCTGAGATTCTAAGGACTGTATTGAGACTGCAGGCCAGCTTCCATGTTTTCCAACATGCTCTGATCGCAACTGCATAGCTCCTCCTTCTCCGTGGGCATCTCTCCCACCACTCTGGTAATTTAGGAATGTCTTCATCATGCGAGTAGGCTGCCATCATATGGATATTTCTTGCACTAGGTGTGCTGGTGCTGTTGGGGTTGTGACACTAGTTTGCAAGGTACCACATGATCTAGCTTACCCATTCCTTGGCAGGGTGGGATGAGACCTGCCCACTGCAGATCAGCTTTGTGACGGCGATAATACATAGATATTTCCTTTGTAATTTCCTTTGAGATTAAGAGCTAGGGGGAAACTTGTCAAGAAAGTAAAATGAATTGTGACTTTGTTAGCTTAAGTTCCTACACTACTTTGAGCATCTCAAAGGTGCCTTTTAGGAACACGCAAATGCACTTTCACATAATGAACCATGTAATCACCAAGTCTTATTTAATAAGCTAAAAAAATTATTAGTTGACACGTTGTAGCTACTGATCCACGGCCAAGGAAGCAAACCGACTTGACCGCCTGTTGCAAAGCAGGTTACGTTCTCTCGGAAATAATAGGTTTGAGCACGACTAGCTTTCTTCACTTGGTCACCTGGGCTGAGGTTTTCTTGAACGGAGCTGTTCTTATGTTTGCGGCTGCCATGTTTTGTTTGGCAGATATTTAAAAACCTGTTTGAAGAAGGCTTGGAAATTCAGAAGCAGAGGCTGCATGAGCTGAGATCGTATGCCAAGGACAAGCGAGCTGAGCAAAAGAGAGAACATCAGGCTGAGCTAGAGGCCATGGAGTGCTACTATAAGGACCAGGTAGGCTTGCTTCTTCCTTACAACACAAGGATAAACTAACATTATCTTCACCTAATTAATTTGTTTTTCTTGTGCTCTGCTTAGTTTTCAATGCTGGCAGAAGCTGTTTCTGAAGAACGTCGAGAAATCCAAACCAGAGAGAAAGCACAGGCAACAGTAAGTCTTATTGCTCTAAACTTTCTGTCTTGCTGACCAACTACTGGACCAGTGTTTCCCAAAATCGTCCAGCTGCAGTTGGACTACATCTCCCATCATCACTAGCTAGCAGGACCAGGGGTCAGGGATGATGGGAATTGTAGTCCAAAAAAACCAGCTGGAGACCCATGTTAGGGAAACCTTGTACTAGACTTAATCCTAATGGTCTCTTTCAGACATTAAACAAAGTGAAACGTGAGCTGAGATCAAAGATGGAGAAGGAGATTAAAGAACTGCAGGACATGATCACACGTGATGATGATGATTCATTCTTCCGAGAACTGGAAGCTGATCGCCTAAAAACCAGACTCCTAGTGGCTTCCTTTCAATATAGCAAAAACTACCAGTTCCTTTAAGTGTTGGAATGCCTCTTGTTTCTGGCAAATATGCTTTTTATATTTAAAAATGATACTGGGTGGTACACAACCTGAAGTATGAAGTTAGTAGCTTGTTTTGCTGCCCAGAATCCATAGACAGTGTCATGGAAATATTGAACTGATATTTTCAAAATGATTTTTTTAAAAACAAAAGACTTTTTCAATAAAGGTTACCTTCTCAACCGTCAAAACTAAGCTAGTGAAGCTTTCTTCCAGGTTACTCCAAATATTAATCTTATTAATCTTATTGCTTAAGTATAGCTAACTGATGATGCATTTAAATCAAGACTGGGCATGTTTAAAAGATAAATTCTAGCAAACTTAATATCAATTTGGCCCCCCCAAAAAGGTGCGCATTACATTAGAGTAAATGTGATATTTTACGACCACACTTGGAACACTGTGTACGTTTCTGGTCTCCTCACCTCAAAATGAGCTGGAAGAGATTCAGAAAAAGGTGATGGAACAAATCCCCTATGAGGAAAGTTTACAATATTTTGGACTGGAGAGAAGGAGGAGACATGATAGGGTTATATAAAATTATGCATGGCATAAGGAGAGGAGAGACAAGCTTCTCTCCCTATCGCTTAACACTAGAACTCTGGGATATCTAAGGAAGCTGAATGTTGGCAGATTTGGGACACAGAAAGAAAGCAAAAAATAGGGCTGCCATATGTCCAGATTTCCCAAAACATTACCGGGAGCTCAAAGGTGGAAGTGGCATCCAGGGGGGATTTCTGGAAGGGGGCAGTTTTTCCTGGATCTTTGGCAAGCAAGCAAGCAAGCAAGCAAGCAAACAAATAAATCGGTGATTTTTACTTTTTGAAATACGGCAACCCAACAAAAAAAGAACTTCGTGCAGCACATACAGTGGTACCTCGGGTTAAGTACTTAATTCGTTCCGGAGGTCCGTTCTTAACCTGAAACTGTTCTTAACCTGAAGCACCACTTTAGCTAATGGGGCCTCCTGCTGCCGCCACTGTGCGATTTCTGTTCTCATCCTGAAGCAAAGTTCTTAACCCGAGGTACTATTTCTGGGTTAGTGGAGTCTGTAACCTGAAGCATATGTAACCCGAGGTACCACTGTACTTAGAATTAAAACATTCACTCTCACAAGAAACAGTGATGTCCACTAACTTCAAACAAGGATTAGGCAAATTCATGGAGGACCAGGCTACTAAGCACAATGACTGTGTTCTACCCCCAACTGTTGGTGGCGGTATCCTTCTGAATACTAGTTGCCAGGAATCACAAGTGTGAATATCCTGCTTTCCCCATAGGTACCTGCTTGGCCACTGTGGGAACAGGATGCTGGGTTAGATTGGCCATTGGCTAAATCCAGCAGGTTGTTCTTAGGTCTGTATATTAAAGGAACATCAATGAACTGACCTTCAAAAATTTCAATTTTTTCTTCATGTAATACAGTGGTTACAGCTGTTGCAAGTGATTATTTTTCCTCCACATAAAGCTGCTGTCAAGCATATCCAGGGAGCCTCTGCACGTATCCTCTTTAAAAACATACAAACTAAATTACACGATCACCAGTGTTGCTTTTACTTAAAAATGAAGTAAATGCAAAAAAACCCAGTTTTTTTAAAACCATTGATGCTGTGACAGTGCAAACAGCATACAATTTTATTGCTCAACTTCTGCATGAGTACATACTTTTTAAAAAAACAAAAAAAACATTTTATACAGATGTATTGTTAAAGCTCATGTAACAGCTTGGTGAAAATACAATGTATATCAATGCTAAAAACACTCTGCAATAAATACAATAGAAATGCAACTAAAAAAGAACAAAAAACCCCACCTGTCAGTCTGTGGAAGAAGGAAAAATCATACCAAATATAGACTAGTTTTAGCTATAGACAAAGCTCTTAGAATTTGGCAGAGTCAGAAATCTAAAAAAGAGATTGTGTTAAGTACAAACTGCACCTGTTATCTATATGGTGCGGTTTAAAGTCTGAAGCAACGGGGTCATGCTACATTATGATGTATGATATAGAAGCAACGCTTTTACTTCCATTAATGCAGCCAGTTTTAATGCACCAGAGGTTTAACAGATGTAGTGTTGGGGGGGACATCCTGTGTGCTCTGGACTCCAGTACAACACAACGTTTTGGTAAAAATATAATCGGTTTAGGGAAACTGAACCTATGTGCAAAAAAATAGAATACATACTGTACAAAGCACCATTACAAAACTTTACATCTAAAAATTAAATCTGAAACACAACTGAGTACTGTATATCTGAATCCTACAAAATAGTCACTATATTTAAAAAACATTCATTTCTGAAAAGGAAGCATGGAAATGTGAGGTGACATCTCTCTTAACCATTTAATGCATCTCTCTTAACCACTTAATGCAAATTTAGGATGGATGAAATAAACCGTGTAGGAAGAGGGACAAGCTGGAAATAAATATTCACATTTAAATCTGGGTTGAAAATCCAAAGGTCTTAACATAATATTGGGTTTAGCACTTGTCGACGGGAAAAGTGGCATGGCCGTGGGACAACACTCAATGGGTCTAGAGAAGCTTCTGACAGGTTGTGTGATTTAAAGCATTTTAATGGTTATGCAGATAAGAAGGCACTCAGGAGACCCGATATTCAATTTGCATCAGTCTGCTCAGCGTAGCAGTCAAAGCAATATGCAGAAATGTTTTTTGTTTTGCCTGTTAGTGAGAATCAGATTTTGCAAAGTTAGCCCTGTAATGACGGAAGAATCTCTGGACACAACGCAGGACGACAATGAAATTGCTCTCAAGTTTTGATCTCAGACCCGACTCGAGTCCGCCTCATCAAAACCCTGTAACGCAAACTCCTTCACGGAGACCTGTCAATGCGGTCTGTCACAGGCTCTCGTTAATCGTTCTGTGGTTATTAGGCTACATCTCCTTATGAAATAATACAAGATATTATAAGGTGAGCAGAGGTCATCAGTGGAGGCCACAGCATTCAGCACAATCTGATGCAGAACAAGAGGCATATTCCCATGAGGTAAGGGCGAGGCTGTCATCTTGGATCAAGTGATAATTTTTCAGAGAAGGAAGTACACAGCTGACAAGCAGCAAGTAAGGCCTGGTACAAAACATGGTTAACAAGAAGCCCTACATCAATCTGTGCACAGGCAGAATGACAACTCCTGAAAGATATGCAGAACAGTAGCCGCGCACGGCTGTGGATATGGAAACCAGTATTCTGCCACCTTTAAATTTAAGACAACAGTAGAGAGAAATCAACGCAATGCTATTCCTGAAACCAGAAAGAACAGTGGAAGCAGATGGATCTGCTCCGATAGAAAGGATCATATCTGCCAGCCTAGAACCAGAGCAGATTCCCTAACTGGGGCTTAGGCTTGCATTCCAAAATCCGCCTGAAGTCTACTCGGAGCAATCAATGGAGACTTACAGTTCTGCTGCAGTCCATGAGCAAAGGAAGACGAAGTCAGACCTAGCTATTCCAAATGCTGGACAATCTACTCATAAACAGACCACCTGTTTTTTATTTATGTTTACTATGGCTAATTTGTGTAATTGCTTCATAATTCAATATGACATAGGAGCGAGGCTGTTTCGGAACCAATGCAACAAATGGAAATGATCATTCATCCTCGCCTCTCTACATCTTGAGCCTACAAGACTGGTTGTTAACGTACAACCTGCCGGATTCAAGTCAGAGAAGGCTACACACATCTACATCTAGTGAATGTCCTTTGACTTAACTTGCTTTCTCTTATCCCAATTTTAGACAAGGAAAAAGGCCATCTCCAACAAAACCTTCAAGATAAGCAGGGCTGTTTTCAATCTGTTGCCTCCATATACGTGGCACTCTTGATCGATCATTTGCACAGAAAAAGTGGGTGGTTTTAGATGGTTGCTTGTGATTAATTACTACCATATGCCTTGCTGTTGTTTGTCATTCCTTGCTTTTGCACGAGAAGATGAGCAACCGAACAACTGTGCTGACAGTTCACTAGACGTTCTCAATGTTGTTCAGTGAGAGCTAGTTCGCACATGCAAGTTCCGCTTTTCTCTCCACACAGTTGGGTACATAAAACTAGGAAGAAATATCTGTGCTTGCCAGCGTACCAGAAACAGCCAGCAATGATTTCAGCAAGAGAAGCTGCACTTTTCACAGCAACTAAACACACTATTGCGAAGAGAAGTGTACTTATGAGCTATCCCCAAGTTACAAGCTCAACCACTTTAGTTATTGATATATAATTCCTTGGATGACTGTCAATTAACAGTGCAATATATTTCATCTAAACGTGCCCCCTTTATTTTAACTATTTTGCATATATTTACCCTCAATGCAAAGATGATTTCTGGGGTGCTCCAGTCAGCTATTTATTGGAGCACATCACAAAATGTACAGAAGCTCTGCTTTTAAGTCCATTGCATCACTATTTTTTCCCTTAGTTGTAGCTAGCACAAACCCATATGCCACAAGCCATTTAAAATAAAGACGTTTTAACCTGATAACATTGTTTTGCAACAACTAATATACAATGCAGATTCACTGTATCGGAACAGAAAAACTTTGGTTGGTATGACATCCACAGAGAGTTTTGAAAAATGAACTGACGACCTGGCAGAAGGCTGTTGATATCATCAACATACATTTAGGAGTTTACAAAATGCAGCAAGTTCCATTTAAAATGGAAAGCAAATTAAAAAAAACTCAAGTATTGACTTTTTACAAAAACGCTCATTTTAAAAAATGCTAGATGCTTTAAAAAAGGGGGGTTTCCACGTTTACCACAAAGTACTGTACCAAATACAGTGCAAGTTAACTCCGACTAGGAGTCTGCTAAAGAAACTGGACAAGAGAAAAACAGGAGCCAAAACCTGTAATTCATGCTTGAGAAATATAAAAATCCTTATACAAGTAACATTGAAGTTTAACTCATAACAGAGAATTAAATCATTCACTATAAGAAAACACAGTTTGTACGTTAAGTGGCCTTAATTTAAAAGGGTTATGGTTTGCTTAGCCAATTATATGAAAAAATTAGAATAATCAAAATATTTTATTTAAAAAAATAGCAGGTATAGATGCTGTTCAGTATCACATGTTTACTTAAGTAGGCTGGAACGTGACTTGTACCGACAGCTATATCTTGGACCTGTCAGAATAGAAATCAGGTAAGCAAATAGATCAGATCACCTTTTACAAAAATAGTAGTCGTCTTTTTGAGAGAAGAATACTGCTGTTGAAAGGAAGGAAAAGTCAGCATTCTGTATATTCAAGATACTTGTTTTTAATAGCAGCTGAATGATTCCTTGGCAGGAGCCACAGGACATTTTCTTGAATGAAGAACTCCAAAAATTGTCCTTTCCCTCATATCGTCCTAAAGTAGAAAAGGGAGTGGGGGGAAAAAGTTTCCTATATTTCAAGCATTTAACTGTGTCATGGCTGAGGAGAGGATTTTCTGCTTGACGGAGTATAAATACAGTCCCAGGTAAGTCTGCAAATGTTCATTCCACAGCAAACCCACATGTTTCTTCAATGGCGGTTAGCAGCTTTTCATAGAGCTTCTCATAGCTTTCATAAGGAGGAATGTCTATTCGATTGAAGCTGCACGCAGAGAACAAAAGCTTTAATAGGCTTTCAATAATATATACACACTGAATTTAAGCTGAATGGCAGTAATAAGTAATATACTTCAAGCAGGCTGCTACAGTTAAAAGAACACAGTTACCTCCCCCACCGCTAACATTGTCTTCTAAATAGAACTATGCCCATGTTGATCCGTTTTGACAAAGAATTAAAAACATGCATGGTGTTGTAAGTAATGAATGGATAAAGACTGCTGGAAAAAAAACAGTTTCCCACAAAAACGTAGCACAGAGAATCTACTGATGACTAGGCTACGACGTGCAGAAAGAAAAATCATAAATGCTTATTTCTTTCTTCTAATGGTTTTGATGATATGCTAATTATATGCAGGTAGATTATTCATAGTAACCTATTTCTGAAGCTGGATTATTAATGAATTTCTTCTCTAATTAGTTGCAAATTCAATATTCTCCATGTAGAAAAGAATGAGCACAGTAATGCATCTATAAAGCTTACCAAGTGTGAGCTTTTGGCAGGTTATTTGTGCTAGCATCAATCTGGTGAATTGTGAATAGTCTTGGACCGGCAGCACCTGCAAATGGATCAGAAATTGGGCATTACTGTCCAGTACTTTGGAGCACAACCAAAACATGTAAAAGACTGGCCAGAGAAGCAAGCTTTGGAAGGTGACAGACAGAAAGGCAGCATCCATGGAGTGTGACCTGTACATCTCCAATTTGATACGTGCCGATTTAAGGCTTTCTAGAACATATTAGAAAAGTGAATACTAGAAACCATATACCCCCAACCTTCCATTCCTTTCAGTAAGTGAAAACGATGGCTCTGATACACAGACACGCAAAGGGCTTTTGACTGCCCCTTACCATGTTACAAGAGCTCTAAGGCATAGCTGTCAACTTACAGATTTGAAAATAAGGGACCAGCAGCCTCGAAAATAAGGGATCAGCAGCCAAAATAAGGGACCAACAATTACTTTGATAAAATACATATTCTGTTGCGTGCAAATGGCTTTAGATACCTATTAGGTCCATAAATTACCATACAGCATATATTCAACACAAAAAACCAGCAACAATTTGTTGTTGACAAAGGACAGCTGGACATGGAAAGGGCCCCATTACCTTCAGTAGCTTATTTAAGGGACATCATCAATAAGGGACAGCAGCGGGACATGGCGCTGGGATAAAGGACTGTCCCGCCAAATAAGGGATGCTTGACAGCTATGCTGTAAGGTAGGCTAACTTAAGAGGCCTTCTGAATTGAGTATCATGTGCTGCCAGGTCTTATAACAGCCAGAAAATCACACAGAGCCAGGAACAACAGTTATCAATATATTTATGATAAAATGTTGCAGTAGTTGGACTAGTAGATGCATTTGGAAAACCAGGGCATCGGGCATACCAAACAAAAACACACACAAGCCTACAGATTTAAGACTTTTGACGGAAAGTCATAGCTATGCATTTCATAATGTACTCTGAATATATCACAAATGTTACAAAATTGAAAAAGCAGTAACTTGGGACTGTGGACAGCGATTCAAAAGAAATTTGCTTTTGTGCTTTTTTTTTTTAACCTTGTAATGCTTTGAAACCCTGCAGAGGTACTCTGGATGACCCAGTCACAAACTGCAGTAATCGGGCTCTCCTTTCTTCATCAAAGAGCTCCACGGCTTTCCAAAACCACTTCACAATGTTGCTGTCTGGCGTGCAGTGTTTTAACCTGGTGTTAGCCTTCCAGTCATTAACATCTATCTTCCCAAGGCCACAAATGATGAGCTGTTCATAACGGTACAAATATCAGTCAGTGGAGGACTGCATGAAGTCAATACACCCACACCCACCCCCGCAAATCTGCTACAAATAGAAAGTTATCCCTCTAAATGACAAAACTTTTCTTTTTCTTTTCTTTTTTTAAAAAACTTTTGTTATATGAAATGTTGGCCAGCAGGAAATGACAAGTCAGTTTAAGCTTGCAAAGTACATAACCTTAGTTTTCTAAGTGGAATAGCAAACAATATAGTCAGCTTCATCTGTGCATTATAGAAGTCTTAGAAATAAGAAACAGATTTCACCGAAGGTGAGCAGCGAACAGATCCTGATCCACAGCAAGCCCTTGCTATCCAGCCCCCTTTTGGCTTATATGCAGGTTTCTTGGGCTGATTTTTCCTTCTCCCACACATTCTATTCCCCTACAACTTTCTAACCCGACAGCCATGCATCTCCATCATCCCTTCCCGGAAAGAGGGTGGGAGGGGGTATTATAGCGTGCAACATTTAAAAGGGTTGAGATGAGTGGTTGGGAGCAAGGGCAGCAAAGGGAGAAAGGCAGCCTAGCCAAGAATAAGGTCTTCATGGGTTTTGTATAGGGGAAATGGGTGTATCCATGTGCCATTATCACCCCAGCTCTCATGCACCGTGAATTCCCCTCCTGCCCCAACCAGGAGCAAAGCATATAAAAGTCTCATGTGTGTTTGCCTCTCTCACATGCCCTGCTTGGCTGGCACACATGCACAGGACAGTAAAAACAAGAGGTGTGGGTTTGTGCCTCTCTCCTGTCCGATTATTGTCTTCCGAAGCAACTACTCTATTCCGAACTTAAAAATGGAACGTGTAACGCTGGTGGTCAACAAAAGAGGTTTAAAGACTCTCTCAAGACAAATCTAAAAAAATGTAGTATAAACACCAACAACTGGAAAACACTGGCCTGCGAGCACTCCAGACGGAGAGCAGCCTTTACCAAAGGTGTCATGGACTTTTGAAGATGCTCAAACTCAGGACAAAAGGGAGGAATGAGCTAAGAACATGCTTGGCAAATCCTCACTGTGATCAACTCCTGCCCGGAAACCTATGTCCCCACTGTGGAAGGACGTGTGGATCCAGAATTGGCCTCCACAGTCACTTACAGACTCACTGTTAAGACCGTGTTCATGGAAGACAATCTTACTCGGCTATGAGTGATCGCCGAAGAAGAAGAGGGCAATGAAAGAGTTCCCATGGGTGTCTTGCATGTTCTGTGCTATCTTCAGCAAATGGGACTAATAGTAGGGTGGTTCAGACACCCTCCCCAATGTGTTCTCTACAGGAAATAGAATATGTTTATCTATGGTTACCAGAAAATACTTTCCTACAGAGGCACATTTTAGTTTCCAAGATATCCTTTGACTCACACTGCACAATTTAGGTTTTTTTCTGCCCAACCATTAAGAACTACAAAATTTTACTATTTCAACTTTTATCATCCAGCGCTTATTGTACAATATTAAGAATCTGTTTCTTAAAGGAATTGTAAAACACTCAAAATAATGCTAAGGGTAATAAAAAATAGCCCTCCAAAGTATGTGATGTAATCTATCAAAAATAGCATTTTAAAGTCATTAGCTAGCAAGACAAGAGTATTATTAAGAAGCCTGTCTACAAAATGTAAAGAAAAAAGGAATCCCAACCCTTTGGTGATTTGGTATGTTAACCATGGTTAAAATTACTGCAAATCCTCCATCCCTAGAAGCATTGGGGATCAACTTTGCATACGCAAAATTTAAGAAGAATGCTTTTTTTCTTGTTACACTTGATGACCTAGCATATCATTCATGTACTGACCTCTAGCTCCTTCTCATCAAATGTCTTCAGCAGATGTTGTGGGATTACTTCATTAAATCCCTTCTGCAGAGCCAGAAACTGAGCTTCAATCCCTCGTAAAAATCGCCAGTTTACATAAAGCCTGCAATAAATTACAAGTCCTATTTGCAAAGGAGTGTCTTCCCACTCAACAACTTAGATGCTTGATCCGAAGCTGCAAACATTACTACAAACTATTCAACCAAGCATCTACATAGACAGGCTAGAGGCCGTGCAAATGTTGTTGGAATAGTTGGACTAAAACTCCCATCAACCCCAGCCAGCGTAGTCAGAGATGAAGGGAGTTATAGTTCAGCAACATCTGTAGGGCCAAAGTTAAGCAGCCATTAACATGACAAAGTCACTCTATTAATTTAAGCATAGCATATTACCCTCTGCACAGAGCACTGTAACAGAAACCTTTTGGGGGTTTTTAAGACTATGCCTGGCGTGCTCTGGTCCATGGGGTCACGAAGAGTCGGACACGACTAAACGATTAAGCAACGACAAAGACTATAGTTTTTGATACCTGACGTATTCCTTTTTACTCTCCTCTGTGACAGGAATGCTTTTGCCATTAGGTTTCAGTTCATGTTGTATAATTTCACCGTATGCATTATGTTCCACACAAAATGTATGGTCCAAGACTCCGGTAGTATCGTTCTCACTGAAGTAGAGAAAGCAAAATTATATGAAATCTAAACGTCTCAGGCATACCTAACCATACATCCTATAGCCTGCCGTTAAAAAACAACAACAAAAAAATAATTTGCTTATACTGCCTCTAAGAATCCAATACTCTGGAGGGTGGGTGGGTGATGTATTCTTTAACATGAAAGTACCCCAAAATTGTTTTATTCCATGATAAAAATCCCCTCTGATTACAAAGCTTGTGGAATGCTCAGAAGTAACAAGGGAGGACAGACCCTATGTGTCAGCACAAGACTAAGAAGGCCATTCTATAGAAAACTATGGCCAATTGTAGCCTATATTGTGGTTCCCTAGCCAGTCCTATGCAAAATACACACACATACCTCAAGTCACCCCATCCTGGCTCAGATTGCCTAAAGCTGGCAGGCTTCCCCAATGGGGCTACCAAATGTGTCACGTTACATCTGTCCCAGTCTTTCTAATAATGATTTGGATTAGAAGACTTAAGTTCCCATGGCTCAGCTATAGTTGTTGGTTTTTTTTAAGCAAAAATTATATTCATAGCCTGCCCATTTATAGCAAATGAATTAAAGCAGAATACAACCATTATAAATGATAAGCATCATTTCAAAGAGATCAGTACATACAGTATCCATACTAAGCTGTTGTGAAGATCTGGGTCAACCAATTCCATGTCATCCAACGTAATTGGCTTTCCTAGCAACTGCTTGTAAAAAGGCAATGTGAAGCCCCCATCAATATAATGTCCGTGAAACACAGCCATCCCCATGATCCGTCCAACAAAATGGAAGTAGGATAAGTGTTCCTAGAATTGAAGGAAAAAATGTACTCATGCCGGGGTTCTTGGCTTGATTCCAAAACTGATGAAGCATTCAGATTTTTCAACAAGAACATTTTCTTTAGTATGCAATAAGATTTACTTAAAAGTTAAAATGAAGAGTCCGAAAAATAAAATAAAAAGCTTTAAAATATGTTAATGTGCCTGCTTCACTTCCATCAAGACTATCTATCTATCTATCTATCTATCTATCTATCTGAGACTGTACAGCCTGTATTGCAGGATTTGTTGTGCTGTATCACAATACTGGCTTGTGAGCAAAGGTGCAGCCCCTAGTGTTGTATAAACTTCCACTTTCACTTGAAAACACTTCCTCTAAACAGCTATTCTTAGGATTACAACACTTCCTCTTATATTTGACCTCAAAGTTTCCTGCTACAACTTAACACCTTTATTTCTTGTCTAAGGTTTAACAACCTGCAGCATTCATTAATTTTCATGATTATACCCTGCACTTCAAAGCAAAAACAAAAAGGGAACTCCCAAAGCAGTTTCTATCTGTTCTAAAAAAGAAGTTGAACGTCACTAAAGTAATTCAGATTTGCATAAAGCTAGCACACCAAAACTATTAAAAAGGAACTGCTGGCCACAAACATGGGGTACATTTCCATACCGGGTTAACAGCAGAATCTGGGTTTATCTGTAGTGTATAGATGTCATCACGCGAATACTGGAAGAGGCCATAATACGGATTCAGCATTTCATGGGAGAGCAAATAGAGCCATTCCCTGAAGAAAAGAAAACATTTTAAGGGTCAAACACTGTTAAACTGATGCAGAAAAACACTGGTCTTCAGTGATAAATAATTTCTTAATCAATGACAACAGAATGTGGTAATGGGAAAAGCATTTATTCACAACTGTCTCATAAGCACATTTTCAGAATTTCTTGTTTCAATTTCTCTCAACTATTTCTCTCAACGTCTTGCTGACGTGTCCAATCTCTTTAGCTGCATATGTCAAAAGCTGCGTGCTGTATAACTGCACTAGCTATGCACAGTAATCGGTTGAAGATGGGCTTGAATTTGGGGGGGGGGATTTGAGGGGGCAAAAAGAAAGGAAGCAACTATTTCCGTACCTTGCACCAGAATAAAAAGATGTAAAACAAAGAAGCACACAGGGAAGGAAGCAGTGACAAAGAAAAACTTATATAGAACGTGACTTACCCTCCAATAGGGTTGCCATATTTCAAAAAGTAAAAACCAGGACATACCCAGAATTGTTGAGCTTGCTTTTTTGAAAGAAAACCCCAAAGTTGTGGAGCTTTTTTTTTTTTTTTTTAGACAAACCCCAAAGTTTGGCATGATGGTAACTAGAGCCTCTGTTTTGCATGCAAAAGTTCTCTAGTTCGACCCCAAGTGTCTCTGGTGACTGGAGAGCCCTGGTCCAAAACCCTGGAGAGCTACTGCCTATCTGTGTAGACCAGTGGTAGTAGGATTGCCATATTTCAAAAAGTAAAAACCAGGACACCCTGAAAGTTGTTGAGCTTTTATTTTTTAAAAAAAACTAAAAGAAAAAACGCCAAGATACCCACGATTTCTCGATTGACTTGCCTAAGATCCAGGACAAAGCGACACATTTTGGGAACCACCACCCCCGGAGGCATCAATTCCGCCTTTGAAATCCCAGGAAAATGTCCAGACGTATGGGGGACCAACCCTCCGATGTTCCCGAGATGAAAATCGGGACACGTGTCTTTTGGTGCTGTGTTCCCACCCAAGCCGGAACACGGTGCCAAAAGACACATGCCTTTGTGTGCCATGCCACTGCACGAGTCAGCTGGCCACCTCCCCTGCCGCAACCACTACCTGGCAGTTGCTTGCTCCCTTATCTCTCTGCTCGCTTCCTCCGCCTGCGCTGCGCCTCAGGCCGCCATGACAGTGGCGGCAGCAGAGGGGCCAACAAGAGGGTTGCGCACATCCACTCCAGCAGGGCTAGGCCTGAGAAGGCAGTAAGAGGTCCAGGTGTGCCACACCACACCTTAGCTTGCTTCCTACTACAGTGGTACCTCGGGTTAAGAACTTAATTCGTTCTGGAAGTCCATTCTTAACCTGAAACTGTTCTTAACCCGAGGTACCACTTTAGCTAATGGGGCTTCCTGCTGCCGCCGCTGCGCAATTTCTGTTCTCATCCTGAAGCAAAGTTCTTAACCCAAGGTACTATTTCTGGGTTAGCAGAGTCTGTAACCTGAAGCGTATGTAACCCGAGGTACCACTGTATAAGATACCCTTGCAGGACCACTGCAATTGCAAGCGCTGGTTCATCCTCCTCCCTGAGCTCCGTGGCAGCGCTGGAGGGGGAAAATGGGACATCCCAGAATCAAATCAGAAGCCAGGGGGGCTTCTGAAATTCCAGGAATGTGCCAGGGGAATCAGGACACTTGAAGGTTATGGCATGATTCAAGCAAGGGTGAAAAGACAATCTTTTTTAGATAAAGGGAGCCATTGTTGTCTTTCATTTATTAACAAAACACACAGATTTGCAAATGTACAAGAAGGAAAAAGAATAAAAAATATGTAAAGAAAGTTTTTAAGATCATTGTTCCAATCATAAACAATGTTGGAGTATCTATATATTGTTAAATGTGAAACTTAAGAGCTTAATTGACATTCTAATTCACAGTTCTTTTGGAAGACTTTAAATTAACTGAATACAGACCTTCTACTGTTTCAGCATAGTGTGAATATGACTCTCATTGTGATATATATATGTATATATATATATTTTAAAATGTCCAGTAGCTCCTTAGAGACCAACTAAGTTTGTTCTAGGTATAAGCTTTTATGTGCATGCACACTTCTTCAGATACCTTCTTCAGATTGTGATAGTCACACTGAATGCAGTTTAATGCACTGTACTGAACAGATATTAACAGTATGCTGAAATATACCCATTACCTGAAGGACTATTACTTTAAAAGCTTAAAATTTAAAGTGCTAAATAAATTTGCTCCAGTTGGTAAATATTGGTATAGCTAACAGCAAAAAAATTCACAGAATTTCACAGCGCTTCTGAGATTTACTTTCCTGGCACGGGTCACTAAAGCTCATTGCCAACAGGCCAGCTTATGCCAAATGGAATTGATGGCAGACTCCTCAGATCACCCAAGAGAACACTCCTCTGCTTCTGGTCTTTGGAATTGATAAGTAACTGAACTACAAGCATTTGTTCAACTATTAGGTGTCCATAATGAAAGCTGGAGGTAAATGCAGGTGCTTTGCAATTTAAGGAGAGGGAGGCTCATATCCTGTGGTCTGCCAGTGGAGTTAGGGGGAGAAAAGAGAGAAAAGGCCCACTGGTGATGTTACAAGAAACCCAATAAAAACATCTGCTGGGGACCCCTGAGCAGCGAAGTTGAGGGCAGATATTGAAGAATAAAAACTACCCCTGAGTGGCAGTCTTAACATATCTAGATGTAAAAAAAAAGAATTCCGTTCAAAGAAAGTGATAAGAAATGCACCTGAAATCTGAAATTAATTGCCAACCTTCATCCCTGTTACACTACATGCTTTGAGGCAGTTTTGGGCAAACCATTCCCACCTGCCCTAAACCAGACATCAGGTGTGGGGCTGAGAAGGGAAGGCCTTGGCTGGAGAGGGCTTTCTGGGCACTGAAAAGGAATGGTCTGTGAAGGAATAGAATTTTATGTCATTTTGTGGTGGGCTTCTGGTTGGAAAACTTGGGCTGCAAAATGGTTACTTTTGGCTTTAAAGAGTTTTGTGCATATGGGAATCAAAAGTTCAAGGAGAGTTAAAAGTGCCAAGGGGTATCTTGCTCACATCTGCACAGAAGGGTCAAAGATTTATCCTGTCAATTAAGGGGAACAGAAACACAACTGAAACACTCCTCTCCCTCCTGATTCGCTAACACATTTGGGGGGAGAAGTGAAAATATTGTGCGTAAGTCAAGCTAGGAAACAACCCAGTTGGTCAAAAGGTTGCGGAGTCGGAAACTTCAAGAGCGGGAGTTGAGAAGCTGCAAGTGAGAAAACGGCCGAAACCATGAAAAATGTTAAGACAGCAGAGTTGGATACTGCAGGAGAGAACTACGAAGGGATGCAGAAGCTCAATTAAGGGATGCAAATTGATGAGTATTGGCTTAGTTAGGGAAACATTATAGAAGAGGTATAGCAGGATGCATATGTTTGATCTTATGGATAGCTATTCAAACTGTAGAAATAGTTCCCTCCTACTAAAGACATCCACTTGGTGGCAGTGGTGAAGAAAAAGGAGAGGTTGGTGCTTGGCTGATTTGCTTCCCTTCCCTCTCATGTTCCAGGCTGTAGCTTGTGCTCTTTCCCACAGTCCCTTTTGTGAACAGAAAAGCCACAGCACACTAAAAACACTCCACATAATATTGTTTCACAATCAGAGGCCAGAGCCTACTTGCATTGCTGATTCTGAAAATGTAGTGTTGCACTCCCCAGCCCTATTCTGTTACTTGGAATTACGGCAACTTAATGTTTAGTCCAAACACACGGCAGAAAAGATCTCATGGTATGCAGCAAGCAGGGAAAGGTCATTCCCATTTCCTTGTTGGTTTGAAGCCTACACGAACCTTCCTTCTTGAAAGAAATTATTAACACAGAATGCAATTCTTAACATTGCAAACCTTTTAAAAAAATTATTTTTAATTGCAAACTTTCTGTTCTCTAATCTACACTAACTAGATGGGAAAAAATCACAACATATTGGAGCCAAGATTCCATTCCGGGAGTGGAAGAAGACCACCATTCACAGAACAGTTTTATCCAGCCTGTTACCTTGAAACGGATATGCTCAACAGAGTTGACAAAGCTCTAACATAATCCGTTAAACCCTTACATACAACAATTGATTTCCCCATTATTAATCATATTTTACCATTTGTAGTATGTTGAGTGTTGGCAGATAACATGCCTTGAGTGTGTAAGACTCCTTGACATCTCAAGGTCAGTAGGATCACAAATTACTTCTGACCATAGAGAGGTTCTTCTGAGAGTAAGAAAAATTGTGGCTTATTTTCTAAGAGTAAATATATACTAATGCATTCATTCAGTATAAGATGGCAATCAAAATAAGGGGTGGGCTTTGAATACAGGCTACTGCTAGAGATGAATAAACTTGAGATGAATAGCCATGAGATAGGGGGTGGGGAGAGAACCAGCATAACTGTTTTTCCCTCCCCCCAGACTTGCCATATATTACAGAGCTCTGCTGTTGTCAGTGCCTTCACATCAATCTCCAAGTATCAGAATTTATTTCAACAGCAACTCTGGATGCTGCTTGATCCTGGTTTAGGAGACAGACCTAAGGCATTATTATTTACCTGGCAACTCCTCCATAGTCAAGGCCTTCTTCCCCACGAAATTTTATCATTAATCTCTTCCACAGGTCTTTGGGCCTCATCTTCATGACTTGTCTGTAAGACTCCTGGAATTACACCAGATAATACATTTATCAATATTATCATAGTCCTTACTCTGATGTTCCTCTGCTCAAGATCCTAAAGAAAGAACAAATCAGAGTATCCAAAACTTACAGCAGGTGGCATCATAATATATAAGCAGGCATGTGAGGATCTTTTGTCACTGCCACATGCACTTAAAAATGCCTTTTAACCTGCAGGGGTATATTGCCCATTTTCTTGCGCAGCTTACATGAATTGCTAATGTTTTGAGATTATTCTGGGTGTAGTTCTCCGGACGTGAAAAGTAGTTTAGCATAATACATTTGTGGTGAGAAGGTTTTCACAATCCCTGCTGAATGAGAGCACAAGAAGCAAGCCTGGTCCAACATAGCTGGACGTTAATTCCTTACAGCCACAAGAAAAGGGGGCAGTTCATACATCAATGCACTGAAACCCATTTGCGCAGCCCGATTCTATGCCCGTAAAATTCAGGCACTTGCTTTATATCATGGGTAGGCAAACTCAGGCCCAGGATCTGACCCAATCGCCTTCTAAATCTGGCCCACAGACGGTCTGGTAATCAGCATGTTTTTACATGAGTAGAATGTGTGCTTTTATTTAAAATGCATCTCTGGGTTATTTATGGGGCATAGGAATTCGTTCATCCCCCCAAAAAAAATATATAGTCTGGCCCCCCACAAGGTCTGAGGGACAGTGGACTAGCCCCCTGCTGGAAAAGTTTGCTGACCCCTGCTTTAAATTATAGATTGTGCTTCCAAGAAAGCATGTATAGGACTGAAGCTTAGATTCAGTAAAATGATGCCTGACGATACATGTCGGATATACACAACGAATTAAGATTCAGCCTCCTCACTTTATCACATTGCTCACCATGAAATCTCAAAAAATGTGCTGTAGTTCAGATGTTTCCACATAATCTTTGTCCATTTACATTGCCAAAAAAAGCAAGAACCATCCCGGCGGCAGGATGTTCCCCCGCATTATTTAACACCTAAGATAACTCTACCGAAAGTTACCTCAAAAATTTCTTCCCTGGAGACTTCTATCCGGCAGTGTCCAGCTTGGGGCTGCTGCTGGGATAGCTCCTGTCTCAGAATCTTGAGTTTCTGCACAAGGTCCCGCTTATACCTGGGCACAGTCAGGCACTCGGCCTCATCTGGAAGCTGGCAAAGCGAGACTACCTGCTGCTGCTGCTGCTGCTGTTGATCCTTAAGTTGGTTCTGACGACTGAAAAGAATGGCAGCTGCTGTCAGTAATTCAAGACTTCCCATTATCCCCCCCCACACAACAAATTAATATGCCTTTCAACCAACATTCTGAGGCAAGTGTAACAATGGTTTCTATGCGAGTGCCCTGCTTTTCCACTAATGTTTCCTAAAGGAGACTAAGAACATATCCATCTGCCTGTCCTGATCGTTTTCAACCAGCTTTGAGGGGTTTTGAACATTTCTGCTAAGCAGATTGCAGCACCATATTGACAACCCGCTGCTCAAAAGCTCTTTCATATTTGTTTTGCATGCTTTATCGATGTTCATGTGAATGTTCAGGGTTAGTTGAGGCACAGTCAATTTAAATTTGATACAACCTTACATTTTAAAGAAGAATTCGCTTACAAAAACGCTTGTACAGAACATTTGACAAAGATTGTTACCTGGGCTAGTCGGGACCACAGGATTGTAAGCAGATTGGTAAGGTGAGAAGGGAAACAGATTGACATGCACTCAACAGGCACAAAGACATGACTATTTTTTATTAGCTATTCTAAAAAATGTATTGAAATGAAGTTCAGGTTGCAACTGGGGAAGGGGGGGAAACCTTTATAAAAAATATTTTCTACGTGAATGTTCCTGGAGATTTGTCATGCCAAATTTTGCTGCACAGTATGTTCTGCGCAGGGAAAGGAGCGTTGAAGTGGCTGCAAGGAAGGCAATCTCCAGGTTAAATGGTTCAGCTTAATCTGCAGTTCTGCAAAATTCTTCAACTCAGAAACATGTCAGGGCTGCATGTAAACTCAGAACAGCGGGCCTTGGTATCCTTACTGAAAGTAAAAGTAGCTATGTTGCCTACAAGAAAAGTTGAAAAAGCCATATTAGCGCAACAAAATCTTTTGGGGGGGGGGGACCATTGTGTGTTCCTTTTTCCCAGCAGCCCTGAGATCTGCATAGAACTTAACTGTGATTCGTTGTGACATGCAAATGAAGCTCTTGTTAACGGTTTACTGGGAATGCCCAGGTTGCCCAGGTGTGAGTGTGGGAGTGAACCTCAACTCCTTGCTTAACATTATGTCCAAACCAGGGATTGCAATTTGTTCCGCTCCAAAATAAACTGCAACTGGTAAGACAATGTTGGTTCTTGGGGCTTGGCTAATTGGTCCACATTCACCATGAAGATCTGTTTCCAGCTATGCCCTTGGGTTGGGGTACAGTGGGATTGACTTACACTTGCCATGATAACGAGTCATGCCTTTTGCTCAGTTATCCATCCGTCTGCCTGGACAGCAGACCCTGAAAGCACTCAGTATGTCAGCAACAAATTATTTACACCCAGTCCACTTTATGCTGAATAATTTAAAAATTGGCTTTTTTTTTTCTTTTCTTATCTTTTCACACTGACCTCTGAAGTTTCTGTTCTTCCACTGCACAATTCTTAAATTTAGAGTTCCCTAAATTTAACACTACATACTAAACTTACGTACTTTGAGGTTGGACAGGCAACTGAAGCCATGTATAACTTCACTGAGACAGGTACATTTGTTTTTTTAACTAATCTAAAGCTTTGGATATATCGAAACCACAAAAATTATCTCCTCTTTAGTGAAAAGAAGGGAGAAATCATCTTCACATATCTCGCCTTACTGTAGCAGACAGTAACACACACTGGAGAAAATTTATCAGACTGAGGTCTTTGCTGATGACACTATTGGACTATTGGTTGGATTTCTGAAATCCTTTCATAATGAAAGACAGATGTATGAATGAGAAAGCTTAAATGTTGTAGCAATAGGCTGAGAAGTGCAAAAAAGATCTGTGATTTTACAGCTTGAGGATTATCCTACTGAAAGACAACCTGAAGGTTGTCACAGCTATCTTGGAAATCTATAAGGATCACAATTTTATAGATGTCAATTGGTTACTGCTAGGAAACTGAAAATTAAAAACAACAAATGCAAATTACTATCTTAGAATAGTAATATATATTTTTTTAAATTACATTCTTCTTCAGTAGGTAACTACAGACTCCTCAAATATCACACGTTATATTTGAATTCGCTTGACATTCTAGCCAAGAGATGACCACAGCCCTGAGATTTTAATTAACTAATGTTTACTCAGAGTAGACCCATTAAAACCAGTGGGCCTAAGTTAGTCGTGGTCATTAATTTTAATGGGTCTGAGTAAAATCCCCACCCCCCGAAATTTCCAAACAGATTTGATTCTGTAAGAAATAGCTTCCAAAACTATGTGCATATTTGCACATAAGGTACACTAAGCGGTTTCAGATATACTGAAGACAATTTAACTTTTACTTTTTTACCTTCCACAGCCTCCCTTCCTATAAAAAAGTGGTTCCAGAGTCTCATCACTAGTCTAGCTCTGCGGATTCTTATGCCCAGTCACATTCTAAGCACCCAGCTTTTGTGGAGTATTTACTTAATGCTATGCAGGTGTTTCCCAAAATAGCATTTAAAAGGTGTTAAAGCGAAGAACAATGAAATAAAATTCCAGGAGTGTCTGAACAAACGGATCGTTCTGTCTAGACAATGGCAATTTTGATTTATATAGTCTCTTCTGCTTTTGGAAACATGGCTAACAGAGTAAAGCAAGGAAGGCATTAAATGCAGAAGTGAATGGAAAGAAGAGCTCAGATGGTGACGAAAAAGCCATTTTATTGCCCTATGCGTTTCAGATTAAAACTCTTCCTCAAGGGCAACTGAATCAGTTCTTTCAAAGTGAAACCAAAAAATCTTGCTGCCAAGAATATTTCAAAGCACTTATTTTGTATTGGTTTAAAATATTAAAGGCAGACAATGCAGATCACTAAGCTTCTGCAATACCTTGTTGTGTAATTATTCTTCCACATACTCCCTCAATAATATATATTTCAGATTGCTTCTCCCCAGGACTACAAAGTCTCAAGAGATCTTAAGTCAACACAAAGGAGTTATATAACCCAAGGTGGCAGAATCAACCTATTGCACATTCCCAGAGAACCACTTTCATGCTCCAAAACATTAATCTGCATGTGCTGGTGACATCATGAACTCACTTTAGAACCAGGTGCAAGTTAGCCGATAGCCGTGGATCTGTGAATTGCGTTGTTCTGTTGTTATGGTCAACAAAATAAACTCTGCCTGTTGCTGTATTCCGGATCTCCCATCCAGGAGGCAAAGGACCAAGCTCTTCACAATTGATGTTGCTAAGATCCCTGCAAAAACAAACATAAAAATGAGAGAGAGAGAAAAAACCCTCAGTATTTGACCTCTGAGCCAAACCAGTGTAAAAGTAACATTACAATTCCATGAAGCCTGAGAGTATGCATTGTTTCGGAAACTTGATCTATACAGCTGGAATGTCTACTCTCAAGGAGCAAGCCCACCAAAGGAAAAGCAAAACGTACTCTCAGAAAAACATCCCGCTACACTGGTCTTGGAAAAACTGTTATCGCACAACCTAGGTTTTTTGCTTTAAGAAGAAAATAACTACATTGGTAATTAATGGGATACTGACTTAAAACGAAAACAAAATCCTTTTTCCTACAGGAGCTGCATGTTCTTAATGCCAGTTTTTAAAGGACATCGGAATAGTTCTGTTTTTTTTAGAAACAGTGGAAGGCGGACAGACACATTTGTCAATACTGGTGTTTTCCATGAAGATTTATGCATGTGTGCCACAGACAATTTTTGCCAACTAAGAAAACTAGCCACTAGATGTCGTAAAAAATCATAATCCCAGAAGGGTTGTGTCCAGTTATTGCACGACTAGAAAGAAGGCAATCACACGGTCAGGTGGAATCTACAAACACATAAAAACTGTTCTGAAAATGTTTTTTTTAAAAAAAGCATTTAAAAAAATACATTGAATTTTCCTTAAGGCTCACCATCGCTATCTAGTGTCACATTGTATGTTGCACTTAAAACACACTTAAAACATTTTATTTGCAGCTGTGTAGTAGCTGAGCCCTCAGTCTCGCTTTCCCTCCTCCTGTCCGCCCCCCCCCCCGCCAAAATGCTCTCCTGGGGAGTAGGGAGCCTAAACAGAGCTGCTGTGGAAGGGGAAGAAATTGCCTCAAATCAGGCAGGGGGATCTGGGGCTAGTGATTTCAGGCACTACATCACTAAAGCTCCGTATAACACAGTTTTCACTGTACAGGACCTCCCAATCTACTAGAGAGATTAAACATCCTAACCTGTAGCAATGTTTATATCATTCATATCCCGTCTTCCTTCCAAGGAGCTGAAGGTAGCCTACATAGCTCTCCCCCAAAACTTTGCCCCACTACCACCCTGTAAAGAAGGGTAGGATGAGAGACAGGGACTGACCCAAGGTCTTTTAATGAGATTCATGGTCGAGTGGGGATTTGAACTCGGATCTCATCGGTCCAAGTCAAACCCTCAGATCACTACACCATGCTAGCGCTGCAAGGAACTGAACAAGTTAGCTCTAAATATGTACGCAGCAGGTGATTTAACAAAATTATTTTATGCCCGTGTCAATTAATATTAACAGAAAAAATGCATAATCAACATTTCAGCGATCAGCCAGCGCTGTGCATACTGTTAAAAAATATTTGAATATTCTGTGCCCAAAAAACCTCCCTTAGAATTCTGAGGCAAGTTGATAAAAGTATGCAAAAGTTCCGCACAGGTCCGTTTTAAACTACTCACATGACACAGAAAGGGAAAGGATGGAAGGCACTAAAATCTGATCAGTGAAAAGTCTTACTCCGTCCCTCTCAGATCTCTGTGAATTCACTAAGCACTGCAAACACTACATTGCTTCAGAGTCTGGGGCTGTAAGCTTTCTGTTTCTCTTGCTTTAAATTATATCAGAGCTTTTTGGAGTCTGAATTTTCTGATACCACTTCCAAAATCTGGGCTTGCACAGATTCATAGATAGCATACCTCCTGCCAACAGGCTATTATAGCCAATGTATATATTACTAATTTGATTTGTACAGCAACTTTATTTAACTTACAGCATCAAAGGACAAATTATCCGCTTACCTCGGTACGCGTGGATCATGCCATGTGCTTACACCAGTCTGAGTATGTAGGAAATACACCTGCCCTTGCTGAGTTGTCCTTTGCTCTGTTCATTCAGACGTGCCAATGTGGAAACAAAAGATTGCTTCGTTTACTAATGAAAATCCCATGCAAAAGGTTAACAAGTTCACAGACTTGAAATAACTATATAAATTCCCTTCCCCTCAAGATTTGTCAAAACCTGAATGTCTTTGAGAAAAACAGTTAAAAAGACTTTTGTGCTTGGTCTAGCTTTAATAGCCACATCAAAGCAAGAGTAGAGGTAGCTTAATTTTTAAACAATATATTTCCCCAGTTGGCTTTTGTATTCTGGGCTGGATCCAACAAAATTGTCCCCTTAGCAAAACGCGTTTCTGCCGACTCAGCAGGACATTTCCCCCTCTTTCCCCTGTACCCCTCATCTATTCTGGGGGTTTCCCCTAATCCTCTGGAGCAGCTTGGGGTGGGGTTGAAACTCTCACTTTAGAGGTTAAGTTTTCATGTATTCGTCTTATGATTAGATCATAGGGCAGGAGACACACATATACACAGAGAGGAAGATAACGTGGAAACACTGAGCCATAGCAACAGAAGTGAACTGCAATTTTAATGTGGGTCTCAAAGGATTTTGAAGTATTTTATGAACTGAAAATTCTGAAGAATTTCTTTGGAAGTCAAGGGTAGTATAATAATGCACGAGTTAATTTTTCCTGTGAATTTTTAACACATATGGAGTTACATTCTTAAACTGGTATAAAAAGGACCCCTGGACGGTTAAGTCCAGTCAAAGACGACTATAGGGTGCGTCGCTCATCTCACTTTCAGGCCAAAGGAGCCAGTGTTTCTCCACAGACAGATTTCTGGGTCATGTGGCCAGCATGACTAAACCGCTTCTGGCACATCAGGACACTGTGCCGGAGCGCATGGAAATGCCGTTTACCTTCCCACCACACCTATTTATCTGCTTGCATTGGTATGCTTTTGAACTGCTAGGTTAGCAGGAGCTGGGCCAGAGCAACGGGAGCTCACCCCATCACTTGAATTCAAAGCACCAACCTTCCGATCGGCAAGCCCAAGAGGCTTAGTGGTTTAGACCACAGCGCCACCCGCAGCCCTAAACTTTACCTTTACCTAAACTGGTGTAACGATAGAGGATCATATTAAACAGAAAGTTGGAAATTTGCATATTTATGGCCATACCATAAAATACACTGGACTGGATCCAGACTGAATTAGCCATTGCTAACTTGTCCCATTAGTTTCAATAGGCCCAAAGTAACACACTTCAGTCAGTTCCAACCCATTGCTTTGTACTATAGGATATGTCTCTTAGAATCTCCAGAGAGCTAGGTATTTTAAAGGTGTTTATTAGCCTTCAAGGATACAAGGAAAAATGCAACACCAAAACTGTCTCTCAAAGAGTGAGAAAAGCTTTGTTTCTTGTGTTTCTGCACTGCCTTTCATGCAATGGCATTAATGGTGGGACGTAACCTGGAAGCGGTTAGCATTTAATGCAGTTCTCTAAGGCCATTCCCAGTTCCCTCATATCATCTATTGATACTCTGTGCCATATGCCTCTATCACCATCTGCAGCAAAGGCTCTGTTCGTTAACATGTCTTCCTGGATGTAACGCCTGCCAATTTTATTCCTCTACAATGTCTATACAAGGGATCAGAAACTGATTAAATTAGAAGCCTGAGATCTGGACTAGTGAATTGCACCACTCCATAGTTCAAGGAAAAGAAGCAACGATCAGAATAGGAATTAACAGGATTTTTCTCTCACACAGCAAAGCTCCAGCAGTATACTACACCCATACAGTAATTAAATCACCAGAGCTGGACTGAGACCAGTATCATGAAAGCGTGAAGGGGGAAATCCCTCTCATTAGATCTTCAGAATAATAGTCCTTTGAAGTAGCCTTTGAAAAACAGAGACAGATAGTTACGCTGTTTTAAAAATGCGTACCATATCCTTCCGGTAAATCTGGAGGCGTATGTAGATGGGTCCTGCTCATGTAATTCCTGTGCCTCTGAGACCTCACTCTTCTCTCTGCTAGCCTGGGATCTGATGCCTGTCCACATGTCGCGCCGTTTATTCCCGTAAGCGGTGTGTTCTCATCCACAAAGCAGCTCAGTGGTCGACCTGGACTTGAATATTCCGATGCTGGCCTGTTAACAGTAATAATGTTTTTGAGACCTCTCTGTTTTAGAGAACTGTCTCTAAACCATAGATTGCCAACCTTTTTGGACACATGGGGCAATTTGCAAACGGGAGAAATCGTTCCAGGCAACCACACACCCACAACCGTACTCTCTGGCTATAAAATCACCCTTCTTTCAAGACTCATTTCATCAGCAAGGGCAGGGAATTCTGAGCAAAGTCCTCTCTGAGTACATGTATGCCTGCAGTCATCGCACTGGTGACTCCTAAACTGTGGGGAGCTTCAATTAAAAAGTTATGCATCACTGATATAATACACATGCCGAGGCAACACACAAGTTTGGATTCCAATGCTATTCAGAAGCATGGTAATAAAAATCAAGGGCTGCTTGTGGCCACAAGATGCCCAGAGCTACTTTGCAGAGAAACATATGCCCTGCTTGTATCCTATTACAAACGGAGCAAGTGGGAGAGCGTGCAGAGATAAAGGACCTGACAATATATTCAACAGAAGCACAATCTAACAACATAATACATAATACTTAAAACCAAGTAAGGAGCCAACAGAAAACTGATGTGTGACAACTAATGTACAGACTAATCCTCACTAAATGAAATAATGGCCTGATGGCAACAACTCAAATATGGACCAGTCCCGATTCCCAATTCCCTTCTCCCATTTTACTAAATCACTTTCCACAATGAAAACTATACTAACCTGGCTCATAACCAAGTGTCATTTATCTAATACAAAACAGTAATGCCAACATTGCATTCTTATTTTACAGTTTTCATTTGTGAGGAGCAGGGAACCTTTGGGGGCCAGTGGGCCAGAACCCTATCTGTGGGGCAGGGGTGAGGGATTTGTGGGAATGGCCTGCAATATAAACTCTAGTCAGGAAAGGGTAGGTAAAGGTAAAGAACCCCTGGACGGTTAAGTCCAGTCAAAGGCGAGTATGGGGTTGCAGCGCTCATCTCACTTTCAGACTGAGGGAGCCGGCATTTGTCCACAGACACTTATGTGTTATGTGGCCAGCAAGACTAAGCTGCTACTGGAGCAACGGAGCACCGTGACGGAAACCAGAGCGCACAGAAACACTGTTTACTTCCCCACCAAAGCAGTACCTATTTATCTACTTGCACTGGTGTGCTTTCAAACTGCTAGGTTGGCAGAAGCTGGGAAGAGCAACGGGAGCTCATCTGGTCGCACAGATTCTAACTGCCAACCACAGCACCACCTGTGTCCCATTTATAAACTCTAGTAATGCATCACAAGTCTGTTATATCCACATCCGACTCTGTAAGAGGGATATAGGAAGGATTTACATTATAGGAGCAATATTTGGGAGGAACCTCTATTCGGGAGATGTGGAACTGAGGTAATAACTAGCAACAATTTCAAGGAATGATGGACTCCTACCAATTAAATCCACAAGAAGCCCAAGTGCTTAGCTTGAGTCACTGAAAAATTTACTGTACAGTGTTCTCTAATAATTCTTACCGTGTTGGTCGCTCCCACTGTGTTGTTCGTGTAATATGATTTAAATACTGAATTCTTCCAGAGGCCGTCCTCCTTTCTTCCCAACTAGAATTATACATTGAAAGAAAATCACCATATTTAGAAGAAGTTTGTTTTAAAGAAGCTTTTAGCCAACAGACACCATAACATGAACATTACATTTGGCTAACTATCCACACTATTTTTATATTACTCATTTTTATTTAAATGTATTTTTACAAAGATAAAAAGAACTATACAGTTAAAAATAATGTTAATGTTACAGAGACAAGCCATAATATAGGGCAGTAGCATCAGGGCTACTAATCAACTTCTACAACACGGCTACTACTAAACTTCAGAAGTGCCCAACTACTGGTACCTCCCAAGTCACAGGAGAGGACATTCCTAAGGGTAGGAACCACCAGGGATAAGGCCCTCTTTTATGTTGCCAGTAGGTGGCATTCTGCATATTGCAGAATGCGCCATCAGAAAGGCCTTCTCCATATATCTGACTGTATAGGGGGCTGTACAGAGAAGGACAGTACTTTAGCTAACCTTGACCCAAGTTGTTCGGGGCTTTACAATACCACCTAGAAGATCATGAGGTTAGCAGTGCATATATCATTGTTGCTGAACTGACTCTACCCAGAAAGCCGGCGGTTGGCAAAGCAACCAGTTAGTAATCGGTACTCCTTGCTATCAAGGTCATTCGCCCATCAACTGAAAGTGATAAATCTAGCAGCACCCCCAAATCACATACCTGCTCTTTCAGGGACAACAGTGTTGAGGGTAAGCAAACATACAAGTTACTGGATGTGGGGACTTACTGTGTCTATCTTATCAGGATTTAGTTTCAGTTTTATCAGGATTCACCACACACACACACACACACACACACACACACACACAGTGTCTATCTTATCAGGATTTAGTTTCAGTTTTATCAGGATTCACACACCCCCCACACACACAGTTTCTTCTAACGGTGAAGTTGCCTTTTCCAACCAATGCTGTCCAGATGTTTTGAACTTCAACTCTCACCAGTCATGGCAAATGTTCAGGGATAATGGGAGTTTGCAGTCCAGTATTTTCATGAAGTTAAATTGCTGGTTGGCATCTCTAACTCCAAAATAAGTCTACATGTAAATATTTTTTTAGAACACACTAGTATTCTTCCATCCATTTTTCATCACTGCAAATATCAGACAAATATGTAAACGGCATTTATGAAATGTAAAAATGTTATCTTACCCATCAGGTAGATCATTGTCAAATAATCTACTGCAGTCCACAACTTGCCCTCCAGTACCTATCCGGTCTCTGGATTGAAGACTTACTAGCAAACAAACAAACAAAGGCCAAAATTAGAGGTACGACAATACAATTCAAATCACGACTGTATTTGGAAAGAAATGACACAACTTGTTGATACAGTCTTAAAAGCCTTCTTTTCAGTTGATTATTTTTTACACACCATTTCAACAGAGACATGATGAGACTGGCCCCATTCAAATGCTGCACTGAGGCAGGATTGATAGTTTTTTCTGGTTTATTGGGAATAAGCAGCACTCTACTTAATCATTCCAACTTTGCTTTCATCTTTGAACAAGCGGGACCAAAAAGCTGCAATAACCTTGAGTTCCCATGATACATGAACCCAGGATCCAGGTATCCTCTCTGGTAAGAGTGCATTTCATCCACTGAGGCTGGTATACCAGCTGCAGCTTCACTTGGTGACATCTAGGTGTGGTTATTCATGAGGCTGCCTCAGTAGACTGCAACAGCTGCGCCTGTTGACCATGATTGGTCAATAGTATTGAAATAAATTCAATACTGTTTCCAAACATAATTCAGAGTACTGGCTTTTAAAGCCCTATAAAGCTTAGGACCCAGGTACATGAGGAACACCTACTAATATTCCCATATGCTGAAGTCATCTCTGGAGGTACCTCTGCCATCTAAGGTAAGGTGGGTGGCAACCAGAGAAAAAGCCTTCAGTGGTGGTGCCCTGTTTGTGGAATTCCCTCCACAGAGAGGTCTGGCTGATTGGCTTGTACTTAAAAATGAAGTAGGATCTCAACCAACTCATCACTCCTTAATATTTGGGGTCTACCCTCCACTGACAAGAACTCTATAGGGAGAAGAGTATGTTTCTGTAAAGACCACAGCACCAATAGTAAACATGGCTTCAAGAATCCTTAAAATATGGAATCCTCACTGAATTTAGAATTACTTTGCCCTTTAATATGGATTGGCACTTGTATTTTACAAGATGGAACCATATTTAGATTCTTGATCAGCATTATGGAAACAAAGCAGTGTATTGCTTTTAGACATTAAATACGCCTATAAGAAGTGCTGGACAGAGAACACTGTAGAAGTAAGAAGGGTCCAAATACACAGCTCACAGTTCCAGAAAAAATACATACGAACATCCCTTTAAAAAATGGCAAGCTTTGTCCATTTGGTAGTATTTCTTATGCCTGAAGATTTTTCGCAATAGAACATCAGCCTGGCAATTTTGTGCCTGAAGTGCTGTAAACAGTAAAATAAAGGCTGCCTGTGAAAGCCTAAGTAGCTAGGTTTATTTTATAAACAGGTTAGTCAAGAATGAAACTGAACACACGACATTATTTGTGGTTTCTGTGGCATTAAGATTAATGTGCTTTTCCTAATCCTGTTTAGATTGGAAGTGAATGCTTGTGTCTAGACCAAAATGAGCACCTGTCCAGCAAAAGATAATAAGAGAAGCTGGGTCCCCTTGCAACCAAAAGACACGCCAACTTTCTGAATGGGAGGCACCATTTGCAAATAAAAACCTTGCAGATCCACTTGCCCAAGTGGCAACATTCCCCAGGCAGACCTGAGTATGCAAATGTTATGAGATAACCGAGACATCAATTAACATAATCTAGTACTTTGCTTTGTTGCATCATTTAAGTCAAATCATTTCACCTCAACCACTTAAGTACATAAGTGAGCTCTTAAAATTAAATCAAACTGTAAGATATTCTGGGTTGGATCCAAAGGCTGCATTTTGTGAAGTCTCCTCCTATGAATGGAAATTCATTCCATCCAAGGACCTTTAGGTAAAATCCACTGTTGTTCTTTTTTATCATTGATGCAGTAATGGTCTAAAAACATAATGTATAATATATAATGTGTGATTTTTCACAATGATGTTGTCAAATAGCTTCCTCTTTCAGGGCACCATCACTTGAAAGCACCAGAGCAACATTTGCAAACGTAACTTTTGTCTGCTCCTATTCAAACAAAACACTCACATAGGCAGCAGGTAGGTTTTCAAGGGCTGAAATGTAATGGATTTGATCCAGCTCAAGTTAAGCAATGTTAAGGCCTACTGATTTCAATGGGGAAATAGTACTCTGCTTATCTCTCTCCCACTGAAAATTAATGAAGCTTCAAAAGCATTCAAAGTAGGCTGAACTTTAAATCTCCGAAAAGAACCTTAATCCCTGCCTGATTCATCATCATTGCAAAATCTATGGGTGCTAGACATTTTCCCAATCAAATAAAGGTAGTAATAATAACACGTTAGGGAAGGCTCACAATGGAGTGAAGAAAATCAAGATAGTGTTCACAAACATAAACGCAAGGAAGATGATACACAGATTTAGAAGATTGCATCCAATGCCATCTTTCCATTCACAGAAGGTAATTTAAGCCAGCAGACATTTTCATGAATAGAACAGGGAGAGGCTATTATTCCTGTTTCCTTCTGCGCTCCCCACTCCCCGCCCCCCACAATCTGCTACAGAGACTTGGATAACCCTTGAGAATAGTTTGGGAGGTAAACAGGGGGTTGCGGGAGAATCTGAAGAAATACCGCACTTCTGCTTTTGTTCATGGGATACTTCACTGGATCAAAGAATCTTCTGTGAATACTGGATACAACCTGGTTTAGTATGCTCCATTTCTAAGAACAATATTAGAGCTGGCTTGATCAGATCCACAGCTCAGCATCCTCTTTTCACAGAGGCCAATTAGATGCCCATGAGAAGCCCAAAAACAGACCTGAGTCCAATCTTGTGATTCCCAGCATGTTCCATCCCCCCCCCTCCACAACCCTCTTTTGGACACTGTAAACCTTTGTACTGACAGCTCTCCAAAAGGCTGTCCTGCCTCACATGTCCCATATGCAGGAGGAGGAAGAGAGGCAGGAACAACCTAGTAAGACACAGTGTGGCATAGTGGTCAATGCGTTGGACTAGGTCCTAGGAGCCCGGGGCTCAAATTCCCCACTTGGCCATGAAGCTCAAGGAGTGACCTCAGTTCAGTCACTGCCACTCAGCCTAACCTCACTGGTTTGTTACGGGGATTAACTGAGGAGGGGGAAAAGATAGGATATAAATGCAATAAATAATAAAATCATAATTACAGCCAAGTCTGTACCATGACAGCCTTGCCTAACTTTTGCCCATGTTTCGTAGCTATGGCAGCTGCGTCACACAATGTAAGTGGGATTTTCTGCCAAAACTGAGTAGGGATTCATCAAACTCCATGCCTCTCAGATTGCAGGCTCTCTACACAGGAGCCCAAACACATGTCAGTAATAGGGGGAACTTTTTCAAATTCAGATGGTAAAATCTTTGATATTTTAACTACGTGTTAAAACCACATATTCAAATTAGCAAAATCAAATCTGCACTTACCTACAATCTGTCCCCTAACGGTATCATTGTCATTTGGCCCAAGTTTGCACAGATCCAACCTCTGATCTATGGAGGAAAAAACAGCACAGTTTACAATCTACAACAATCACTTAATACCCGCATACACTATGAAGTTTTTCTTTGCCTAAACATGTCTGTACTTTATTAAGTGAGGGAAAAGCATGCTTGTTTTCATAAAAGATTGCTTTTATATAATAATAAATTTTAAATTCTAAAAAGCTCATTCCAAATCAGGGTCTACTCACAACCAGTGTCTTTAAGGCGGTTTATGGCGTTGGAAAGAAGTCTTACGCAGCCCAGAAAACCAGCTCCCTGTTTTTTATGAATTTTCTTGTGGTTCCATACACTGATCGTTATCGAATCTGACTTCCCAATGTATCTGAAAAAGGACAAGAATTGGAGCAACACAAATTGTTAACTGCACTCTTTGGACAGTCTATGGAATACACTTTATTTTTTTACTTCAGTGTGTTTTTGCAGCTAAGAAGTGTAAACATGGTTTCCCCTGGCAGAAGAGGTCAGATTCACAGGAACTGCATGCTACAGATTGGCAAAAGCTCCCCTAGTAATTTATTTGTAAAACAGATTTTACACGAAGGAATTTCAAAAGAGCTTTTCAAAATGTCTTGCGTAAATCAAACACGGTCGTCCTTTGGCTAGACAATGACAGTATGTCTAAGTGCAAATGGCTGGTATATCATAGGGTGTTTAATCCTGGGGGGGATATAAAATTTAAGAATTATGGTTCTCCCTGAAAGATGTTTAGCAGTCTTCTTCCATTACACATTCCCTGTTAGTACAAACATCCAAGTATTCCACTTACTAAAAGCATATCCTCCTACATTCACCCATTTAAATTATCTACTTCCCCCACCCGCAGAGCTGTAATATATCTTTAGTTATCTAACCATAAATGAAGCTGTCAGGACTGGCAGACCAAAACCCTGTTGTACCTTCCAAGACTTACAAGGGTAATTTTTTTTCAAGTTCAGGGAACACTTCCTCCCGCCTCACTGCTGCCCCCGCCCTGCTCCACACTATCTGAAGGCCTACATGCAAAAAAAGGCCCAAGATTTCTGTTGGCAGCTTGCATAACAATCAGCAAACAATCACAGGAGGGAACAGTGCTACTGAGCAGGGGGTGAAATTGAACTCTAGTTATATTTAGATTAAAAGCAATGCACAGTTTTGTATTATTTAGTTATTTAATGTTATTTATTTAGTTATTTAATTTATATCCCACCATTCCTCCCCAAAGAGGGAGGCAATAAATTATTAGTTGTCAGCAACATAAACAGAGATTAATGTAGTTTTCTGACAGGTCATATTTTGATTTCATCCACCATGACTATTCCAATATAATTCTATTCAGAAGTCAAGAGTGCCTGATAAGCAATAGGAAAAGTGAAGCTGATCTTGTTCATATTCTGTCCGCCTGCTTTAAAACCATAACAAGTTACAGGGCGCTAAATAAAAACTGTGCTCACTGTAAAGCCTTTCCCAGTGCTCTTAAAAAAAATTCATAACATGAAGGCATATGGTAAATGTATTTAATACATAACTTTATAAATATATTTACGTTTTCAGCTATTACAATGTTCTGCGCAAGTCTTGTTTGTTCAGGATAGAGGCTGCTATGCCTATTGGATCTAGCTGGTTCAAAGAAACTGAGGAATTGCTAAAGGACACACAGTCCCTGTGTTTAGCATAGGAATCAATGCAAAATCGTCTTGCCAAGTAAATAATGTTTTTCCAGAGGAAGAAAAACATTTCCTTTATGGTTGCGTTGAGCTTTTTGGAAAAAAAGCTTTTCGTCTAGCCTACTGTTCACTTGAAGGCTGATAAAAGTATGTATCTTTATTTTGAATCAAACTGAAACGAAACAACGACAAAAAAATGAAAAACCAGAAATTGTATCAAATAGCAGCTAAGACCAATCATTCACTTGACTCTCTCATTATTTATCCATCTAACGCTGCACTTCACTCCTCGGTCTTCTAATCTTTGACATATGGTAAATTTGGATAATGGAAGCATGTATGTGAGCAAAGACAAAGTTATGAATGCTAGTGTCCCAGAAACTAGTTTCAAATCTAGACAATAAATCAATATATTTGTTTCACTGGATCTGACTTTCAGCAAACTGGTTAACCAACTGTGTTCTACACCCAACTAAAAATCTGTGACAGAACTCTGTTTGGGAGGGGGAAACCAAATGTAGGCAGCCACTAAGAATGAAAAATCTGTGTTGGAAAAGCCCACTTTGCTTGTCAGGATAGAGACAATATTTCTATCTACAGTAGAGAGCAAGAAACCAACAGAAACTGATTTTTAATCCTCTCTGACAAAAGCTTTTTATTGCCTTGACATCTCCATTTACAACATCAAATTGATCTAACCAATGTCATGCTTGTTTTTTTGAAAATTCTACAGAGGCATGCCATTCTTTAAGCACTGGAAAAGCTATAAAACATACAATAAATGGGAAATAAGAAGATTGCATTAGAGGAGTGCTTAACAAAAATGGGCAACATTTTGTTGACATTCAAGTTGATGACATAAAAGAGGACATAATTCTGGAAGAGGTCCTAGATTTTTCCACTAACTAGTCTGAACTAATTCTATCATCTTTTTATTTCCGTTCCCTCTCATCAAAACCTTAGTTAGATATTACATTAATTTCATGCCTCTTGTAATGCCAAAATATAATTTAAAAGAGTTTACAGAAATCCAAGTACATGAAACACAATTTAAACATTGTTTCACATCACAACAAATCCATTTCACACTTAGGCTGTGTACACACCACACATTTAAAGCACATTACTTTCCCTAAAGAATCCTGGGAACTGTAGTTTGTTGAGGGCGCTGTGAATTATAACTCGGGGGGCAAACTACAGTTCCCACGATTCTTTAGGGAAAGTAATGTGCTTTAAATGTGTACTGTGTACACAGCCATAGTTTCAGTATCCATAAGGGGGGAAATGTTCACTGACTGCCAAGCAAGTTATTTCCTATAACAATGAATGTGTCATAGGTCAGAGACCAGCATTCCCATGCAACAGTGTGTTGTTAGGGTAAACATTATTATACTTTCAGAATCTACTGTATGAAATGGATAGTACAGCAGATAATCACAGACTTCTGGGTTAATCGCCAATGTTTGGCAGAAAACTACATATTATCTGTACTATGTTATTTTTTTAGCCTTCTGTGAATGAAAAGAAATACTGAATATATATTCTCCACAAAGAGTTGGGAACTTACAAGAGTTACGTGAGCCTTCTGCAACCTGCTGCCCACCAGATTTGATTTGATTTTTATACTACAACTCCCATCAACTCTATCCAGTGCACAGCTGATGGGAGTTGTAGTCTGAAACAGCTGAAGCTCATCAGAAGGTCAAGTTATGTTGAAATAAATACATTTAAATGACATGGGGTTTTTTGGTGGGGGGTTTTGCATCCTTTCTCCATCAACATCCTTAATTACTGTAAGGTTACTTAAAAGCAAAGATCATCAGCAAAGTCCTATGCATGGTTGCTCAGAAGTAAGCCCATTAGATCCAACCAGACTTACTCCCAGGACTTTTGTCCTGACGTAGCAATGTATGCTGTTAACATACATTTGTCAACATACAAACATTTGAGCTGGGGACCCAAGCACTTAGTAAACCAGGGTGGTCCAACATGCAGCCCTGAGGCCCTCAGTAACATCTGTTGCCCCCCGCCCCAGCCCTAGGGCCTCCTTCAAAAAGCCCGGTGCATTGCTCAGCCCACTTTAGGAAGGCAGCAAGAGGGGAGGGTGGGTGTGTCAAATTTTGACTTCATCACCTCCCACTGGATGGCAAGGCAGTGTGCGGCCCGTGTGTTCAGTATCAAGGTACTCTTGTGGCCCAATTGGTATGAAAAGTTGGGTCACCTTGTACTAAAGCCTCGTGACTCTAGGGAATCACAAACCCAGGCTAATACAGAACTGCAACATTTGCCCCTCTGCTGCAACTATTTAAGTATAAACCGCAGAACTTCCTGGACAACGCCATTGCCACAGCTAGCCTCATTTATGCTGTCTGCAGAGAAAATGGAGAATCATAGAAATGTAGAGTCCGAAGGGAACAAAAAGGTCATCTCGTCCAACTCCCTGCAATGCAGGAATCTTTTGCCCAACATGAGGCTTGAACTCATGACCCTAAGATTAAGAGTATTATGCTCTACAGAATCAGCTACCAAGGCAGATAAGGGGACAACCAGACAGACCCCTGACCCCAGTCGGGGCTAATCAGAGGCTTTGGCTACCTGTCTGACAGGAGGCCTGAGGAGCAGACTGGAGAGAGACTTATACAGTCCACTTCTGGGATATAGATTTGTGCCAACAGAGGGCTGAGGTAGGCTGCCACACATTCATGTTGTAGATGGGGCCAACCAGAGCAGACTGCATTGCAGTGGGTCGAGGTTCTATGTGCCCAGCGGCTCTTTCCCCTGAAGGCAGGCTGCGGAAGTAACATCTGCCAGTGGGCAGGTTGTCCGACAGGAGGAGTTTTGCCCTATGCATTAAAAGTTCTGATATGTTGTAACTGATAAAGTTGTGGCATGTTTAACTCACTACTGGCCTCAGTCTGTTCGCTGCTCCTGGACCTCGCATTCCCCTGTGTGCTGCACAATACAGTCTAGCATTTCCCTCACCAATTTTCCTTCTGTTCAGCTCAGTTGGTAAAGCATGAGATTCTTAATCTCAAGGTTGTGGGTTCGAGGCCCACACTGGGCAAAAAGATTCCTGCATTGTAGCCGGTTGGGACCGTCATGGTCCCTTCCAACTCTGCAATCCTGTTTCTAGGATCTTGAGCCTTCTTGGGCTATAATGCAAGCAGATGCAGAATATTTTACGTATGTATGAAAGAAAATATTACAATAAAAGCCTAACTAATTTTATGCCAGTAACTTACTGCACAAATAAACTGAGAGACCAGAAAGAGGTGTGTGCACGTTCATGTGTATGTATGGTAGCACAGCTGTTCATCCCATGCCTGTGTTCATCAATTGTCAGAAGAATAAATATACTCACCGTGTCCATTAAGCACTTTAATAGCTACAGATGTAAAAGCACCACAAAAGAACTAGCTAGTTTCTGTGCTTTTAAAGCTTTTAAAAGCTAATAAACATTTACCAACTCACAGATAAAGTATCAGGGGCTACCTAATGCTATACATTTCTAGTCTATCCATCAATGCCCAGCTCAAATTCTAGCTATATTGTGATCACTCCTATCAACACCTACAAGTCATAATGCTGATTCCACTTTGGATCAAGGGTATTCTTCACAGTATCTGTAGAATGGCACTGGCCAGATCCGTCAACCACCACTTTAGCAAATGGATCAGGAAGCCCTGTCAGAAGGGAGGAAAAATACATAATAGGGTGGGAGTATAATTAAATTAGGACATCTTAATCATGAATGGCTGCCAAATATTGGCTTTTTATAACATATTTTGATTCTTCCAAGTTATCTCTTTTTCACTGAACAGTACTAGTATTCTTACATTATCCAAGGAATTTTAAGAAACTTAGAGGCCTTTCAGCTTGCTTCTATACTCGGTCATCTCTCTTCTTGAAGGCATCAAACCTTTCAGCATTGTTGCCAAATGTAACATTGAAAAAAAAGGAAAAAGAGAGACCCCCTGGTGCTTTTTCTACAATAAAATCCATAAGGCAGTCCATAAGCCTGGCCTTTCTATTTACTTATTTATTACAACTCACATGCCATTCAGAGTTTGCTTGCTTGGACTCGTGGCATAGGTGCCTCAAGACACAGTAGGCCATGATCCCAAATACTAGAAGAAAAGTGGTTCTTTACAAATGTTCTCACTAAAATACTTCAAAGAATGGGAAGACTCTTTCAATAGTTCCAAAATCAATACATCTGATTATGTAACCACAGACTAAGTAATGTATATAACAATTTACAAATTTATAAATATTACATAGTACACAAGAGACTACAGCTAGAACCAAGGCTTGTTACATGATCTCACACCACATTTACTAAAGGGAAGCCTGAATGAAAGCATTTTTCACACTAGTCTGCTGTCCCCCTGTTCAGCTCCTCTCCTAACAATTTCCACCTTTCTTTCTGAGTTCTTTTCATGTTTTGAGATAACAGCTTCTAAAAAGGCAATACTACAAAAAAAACCCAACTGTGTGCATTGTTTGTGCAATAAACATGCATAGCCCTTTGGATCATTGCCTTGAACCTTAGATTCCCACAAAAATTGTGGCCATGCATTTAAAATCACATTAGTGCTCTCTGACTTAGCTGGCTGATTACCACATGGTAGCCAAGGCAAAGAGACATTCAAACCTTGTGTAACAGAATTCGGAGACAAATACATAAACATTTACTTACGGAAAAAATCTTTTTTCACCAAGTTTTTTGCACACAGAACTGTAAGAAAAACAAAACACATTATGAAACACGTTTAGATTTATCTACAAAGCATTTACAAAAGAACAGCAACACAATCACATGTACTGTATTGCTAAACATCACGTTAAACCACATTTATAAACTATGACTTAAATGTGAATGCAAAGAGTTCTCACTCTGCCGCTTCCCTGTTCCTACCACTGCCATGCCACCAAAAAGAAGCCAAAGTCTGGCTTGTTGGGACATCCAAACCTAGGCTTGTGGTTCATTTCTGTGGTTTTTTAATGTGACATGCAAACCAGGCCCACATCTGTATATGATTTATTAGAAATGTTCATAGGATTTTATCAGACTTTTTATCAGATTTTATCAGATTTTTAGGTGCAATCTTAAATAATAAAGAGCAGACAGTAACAGTCTGAAAACACCTGGTGTTAATCCATATTGTGGAACTACAGTGCTAAGATTGGAAATAAGCCTCTCCCTGCTTCCAGACTGAACTTTGAATCCCCTGGTATCCTATGATGTCAGGTGATTGTCAGGTGGTTGGTCCCACCCACATGTAAATATGGCCTGCATATTCTGAATCTCTTGAATTAAACAAACTGTGTTTTTTTTAAAAAAATCTTTTAAAAATCCCCAGTTTTCATTTGAGAATCAAAACACAGAGCACACCAGATGGAATACAAATAGTTTATCTACATATAATCTCCTAACATGTATTGCGTATATCTTGTATATATTGTAGTTGTGGTTCAATTTTCATCAGTGGAAGCTAACAAATTAGTACTAAATGTCACTATCTGTCCAAAAATGACTTATGTTTGAAGACAGACTTTCTAAAGACACCCACATGCCAAGACCTCCTGAAAATAAAAGCTTCTACTTATTATTATAGTGTTCCATTTGTGTTATGGAATTCATGCTCAAAAGATATATTGATGGTCACTGATTCAGATGGCTTTAAAAGGGGACCAGATAAACTCACAGAGGATAGGTCTATCAATGCCTAAACAGAACATTTCAATTCAGAATATGCTTTATATAGCCTGACCAAATCCTAGAAGGATTTCCAACATTTCTGATTGGATATTACCATTGTCTCAAATTCTATGCATCCAAGACTCAACTGTGCCAAGTAATTTCTTCAACTGTTCCCCGTATCAACTGATATTGTCACCATCCATTTTGCTGACCAAGCATGAAACCCAGGCTTTATCTTTGATTTCTCCCTTTCCTTTGCTCTCAGTATTCAATCGACTACCAAGTCCTATTGCTTCTCTGTGCATATTACCTGAACTATGTTACTCCATCGCCCTCTTCTTAGCTAAAAATCTACTTCATACTTCAAATATCTGCTATCTTGACTACTGCAACCTTCTTGTCCCTGATCTTTTATCTCCACACCCGAAAACAGACTCTATTAACAAAATAACTAACTTCTGCTGATCAGATCATGTGATCGTCTTTCCCAAATCTTGACATCAGTTTCTCTTCCCCTTCCAGATCCAGCAAAAATGTATTGTCTGTACATTCATAGTTATCTAGAGCCTTAACCAGTATTGGTCTCTCTATCCTCATTTCCAATTATGCTCTTGCCTATAATTATTGTCCCTGCAACTTTACCACCCTCTAGACAATTCAGTGTCTCCTGCCCACTTAGATGACGCTATCTATTCTGCTGAAACTCACTGCTACACTCCTTGAATAGTTCTTTCTTCAAATCCCTTCTCAAAAGTTACCTTTCCCTTGAAGACTTCAGCTAAAATAAAATTTGAGTTAAGGACTAGGGATCAACCCCAACTCACGTCCTCATTTTCATTCCTTTCTACTAACACCACACTCCTCTCTTGCTTTTCCCTTTATGAAATGTAAATGAAGATCCTCAGAGAGACAATTGTCTTTTTGCTTATGCTACTGGGTAGAGGGCTATGTATAATGGCAATGACAATTGGGGGAGAAGGTTGAATGATTGTGACTTGGAGAAAAGTTCACCAGTTGTTTATTTTATAGCAAACACTATTTCCTTAGTACACAGGACATACTAGTGTTAAGCCAGCAAGCCAGGCAATTTAACACCACAAATCTGAACTCATTTGCATAATAGAAAACCATGATCTGTGAAGATGTACCAGTATATAGAACCATTCACAGTGGGATCAGGTGTTAAACAGGGATGTGTTATCGCCCCAACTCTATTATTTTCATTGCCAGGATCCTACACATTGTCGAAGGGAGATTCCCCACTGGGGTAGAAATCATATATCAAACAGATGGAAAGCTCTTTAACTTGAGTAGGCTGAAAGCAAAGAGTAAGGTGACCATAACTTCCACCACAGAGCTTCAATATGCTGATGAAAACGTAGTGTGCGCACACTCAGAGGATGACCTCCAAGCCATCCTAAATATCTTCGCAGAAGCTTACAAAAGGCTTGGTCTATTGCTCAACATCCAAAAAACCAAAGTGCTGCACCAACAAGCACAAAACAACCCGTCTGCAATGCCACGAATCTAATTTAATGGTGTAATGTTGGAAAATATTGATCACTTCTCCTACCTAGGCAGCTATCTTTCCACAAAGATGCCAAAATCCAGCACTGCCTGAGCTCTGCAAGTACAGCTTTCTCCTGACTGAAGTTTAGAGTGTTTGAGGACTGGGACATTCACAGGGAAACCAAAATGCTTGTTTACAAAATTATTGTACTACCAACCTTACTGTATGCTTGTGGAACACAGACCACTTATAAACGCCATCTCCAACTCCTCTAAAGATTCCATCAACGGTGTCTCCCAAAAAATTTACATATCATTTGGGAAGACAGGTGAACTAATGCCAGTGTACTGGAAGAAGCAAAAATCACCAGTGTCGAAGCAATGATTCTTCAACATCAACTTCGCAGGACTGGTCATGTTGTTTGGATGCCTGATTATTGTCTTCCAAAGCAACTATGCTATACTGAACTTAAAAATGGAAAGCGTAATGCTGATGGTCAACAAAAGAGGTTTAAAGACTCTCTTCAAGGCAAATCTTAAAAAATGACAACGACAACTGTGAAACACTGGCCTGCGAGCGCTCCAATTGGAGAACAGCCTTTACCAAAGGTGTAATGGTCTCTGAAGACACTCAAACTCAGGATGAAAGGCAGAAACAAGCAAAGAGGAAGGCACATTTGGCAAAACCCTCACCATGATCAACTCCTGCCCAGAAACCTATGACCCCACTGTGCAAAGACATGTGGATCCAGAATTGGAATCCACAGCCACCTATGGACACACCATTAAGACTGTGTTCATGGAAGACAATCTTACTTGGCTACAAGTGATCACCAAAGAAAGAAGAAAGAAGAAGATATAGAACTAATATATTAACACATCTGAAATGTATTTTTGTCTTCTTTCTTATTCTTCCTCAAACGCATGCCCCATTTCTCCACACACTTGCATCATTCCATTAAAATGACCAGGGCTTTGACCTCAGTTATGGTTGCAGTCATTGTTTTCATAGAGTGCTTCCAGACAATATGCTTATTGTCCAATTGCTATGGTTTGTTTCTTTTAATTACACCAAAGGGAGCAAGTTGTTATGATCCATTTGTACAAAACTTGTATTTTCCCACTGCTGCATCTTTTTTCTTACCACAGAAAAATCCATTATGGAGGGAAAGAGCAACATAGCAATCTCTCTCCAGGTGCAAACAGAAAAATGTACAACTGAGGTAAGGTGAGAGAAGTGGTCCCTGGGGAAATTGGATGACGTGTTGGTGAGGCCCTTCCTTTATTTATTGCCATCAGGTTTCTTGCCATCAACCAGTTGTAGAACCATTTCGCTTCTTTTACTGAAAGTCCTTTCCCTAAAGAGCTTTGCTTTTTTGGCTCCTTTACAATGTTTTGCTTATGGATCTCAGCTCTCAAAAAGTTTAATTGATTGCTTCTTCTCTTGGTATGAGCTGTCCTCAACTCCCACAGCACTGCTTGCTTCCCTGTCCTTTCTTTTTTAGACTATAGTAAGAGTGGAATAACAATATTAACGAACAGTGTTGTGAAACTGACTAGAAAAAACAAGTGGGCAAGTTTCCTAGTTGGGTGGTGAAACTTACTAGAAAAACTCAGGACCTGAAGTCTGAATGCAATAATGTTTATTGGAAAGTAAGACTGTAATCCTCTTGCCCTCTGCCACAAACGGTTTGTAAAAACATCCAGTTCTCAGAGCTGTGCAATTGCACTGTGGTGGAATACACACACAAAATTAAGAACAGTGCATGTGCACCAATTTGAAACTCGTAAAAACAAACATACACCCACAATGCTAAAATGGTGGTAACAAGGACCCACTTCAAAGTGTTGAGAGAGGGTTGTGTGTCAACAATGAAGAGTCAAGAAAGGGGAGAAAACAACACTGTCCAATGGGCTATGTCCCGCCAACTGTGTGCATGGAACATAGTGATCTGAACACACACACACAAAATGTTATACCCCTTGAGTTGTGGGCAATGAACGACAATTTCATTTGCATCTTACAGCGAAGAGAAATTATCTGGTAGTGTTAGGAGCCTCTCCTAGTCATTTAGAGGGAACAGTATTTTTAGAGCATCTCGCCCACACTCAAATAAATATTTTCATTCTTGCTAGTCTGAACAGATATTGCTTATTCATTCCAAATATGCATATTAATTCCAAACATTTACTACAATCCTGACAAGTATACATTGCAATTTCACACATTTTGTTCATAATTGGGGTGTGGGGAGGGAAGAAACACGTGGCAGAAACATCCTGTGAGCAGAACTCCATGCAGAGAGTCTCTGAATCCAATCCCTATATTTTAACAGAACTTTCTTTGGAGATTGGTTCATATTATAAAGTGACAACATGTAAGGAGTACAAGGTCTAAACCTCTATGGCAAGCCGGGTCTATACAATCCTAACCTTAAGTATGTCACAAGCAGAGTAGGTGTTCCACAGAAAGATACCAGCAGAACTGCAGATGACGTAATCAAACAAGGGCATACACTACACACTGAAGGCAATCACATTCTCCTTAATTTGACCCAAGGAAAATTCCTTTGGGATCCTAAATATGGCATTCTGTTTCTGGTTCATGCTCAAGGACTAAACGAAAACTCCACCCAACTTGACTTTTAAAGAACACATGTCCACATTACCCAACATTCTGTCTACAGCTATGGCAATTTACGGTGTCTCCAGATTAATGGGAAGGTACCCAATATTTTTTAAGGTCCTTAGAAATTTTTAAAAAATCATTTGCCTTTAAAAAATGAGTGCCATTGTCTTCCCTTGCCTCCAAACCAGGAATCCTACAATCAAACTTTTCAAAAGGAAATTCATAAATGCTAGAGCTGTCAAACATTTGAACTGTACACTCCAAACAATTTTAATGTAGGTGCCTTTTTGAGACACTGGAGGAAGCAAGAGAACTCATTATTAATTGCCAGAAACCAACATTACTATTATCTTTTGTTCCCAGTTGTAGAAGGGCACCAGAACAAAAAAACGAGTAAATGAGCCTTTTTACTATAATCAAGTAAAGCTTTAGTTTATTTGGGGGCGGGGCACAGAAGCTCTCTCTAAGCAACATTTGTTGCAGGTGTAGTTCTGCATGTTCCTTTCTTGCAAAACACCACAAAATCAGGGGGCAGGTAGTAGAGAGAGAAAAGTCGATAGAGGCGGAACCATTTTTGAAACTGCTGTTCTTACTGACTATAAACAACATGCTGAACAATCAATCTGAACAAATATTATATCGCTGGAGGCAGAAAGTACAATGCCATTAAAGAAGGAAAAGGGAGGGAGGGGTTGCAATTTTAAGGAACCCATGTATCTGGATTTAAATAGTTGCGTTCCCACTGAGAATTTGGAATTTGTTAGGTACACTGTTGAGTCTACCCTACACTCTGTTTAATTCAATCCTTGCAAATAATTGTTCAGGAGACAGTCACCCTACTTGCCCAATCCACATGCCACAAGCAAATGCATGCACTCATCTGCTTTCCGAGGTGACACACGATGCCTTCCCCCTTAGAACAACACAAGGACCAGACTCACTCCTAACACAACAACACAGTTAAATTTAACAAGAGTTTATAAACAAAAAACCCATAGCTTACAGGTGTGGTTTGTTCAAAGTTAAAAACAAACAAACACAGTTAAGCCTCAAGGCCAAGCTCAGATGATGACTGCCTACATGAATTTACTGTTTTCCACCCAGGGTAACTGCAACTTGCCTCAGGCAAACAGCTTACTTGACATTGAATATTTTTCAAAACTAAAAGTCTGCAGAAGCAGAAATAATCCAAGCAAAAATATTTTGGTGAACATTTAATTGAATGAGAAGCACTTTTCTGGGGATAGTTTGAGTGACAGCTTCTTTTCATTAAAAATGGAATGCAACTAACATTATTAAAATTATACTTTTTCTTGTAGATTTTCTTATGCAGCGCTTACTAAAGTTTCCATGCTAAAACACTGCACAAAAAAACCCTGAAATGAAATCAATAATATGTCTGGAGAAATATATCCAATTTCTAGGAACAAACTGAGAAAATGTTTACATATGCAGGCACCAGCATCATGGTTTTAGAGACCTGGGCAACCGAGCACTTGGAATTTTTAAAGGCCCATATACCATAAATAACTTAGAAGACCTTAAATTAAAATGTCTTTAGTGTCAACACTCCATACAATTAACATGCTTAACATCAATTAACATAGAACAAATGTTTATAATCCTGTTTTCATTTTTATAATTTTACACCATTTTAAAACAAAAAAATCAAAGACAGTCATTAAGTCTTATCCACTGTTGAAACATAAGGCTGATCTATGAACTGTTACATTATTGTTATTACTAATGTCTGAAAGTAACAAATTTCATGCTGGCAAACAGCAACATTACAGCAGAAAAAAATAACTTGGTCCAAAGATAAATTTGTTTTCTAATCCTCTAGTTTTCTGATGTCAACACTGCAGGAAAACAACTGAATCTTTGTGAAGTCGATCATTAGCTCCACCAAAATAAAACAAAAGATTCAATAATACAACATTATTCTTGCTTCTCAAAGGATGCATTTTAAAATTGGTAAGAAAGAGGACAAGACAAAAAAGGGCAAGTTCTGCACCACAAGCTTGAGGGGGGTGGGTGGGAAATCCCTAGGCTATCCAAAATAATCTTTCACTGAAAGTCATTACCATGGCTTTTGCTGATTGGTTCCCAGCTGTTTTGCATGCATTATGCAAGGAATATAATAATTAAAAATAGGTCCCAGCTGTAGAAACACAATGCTACACTGCTGTTAATGTGCGCTGCGCTGATAATGAATAGACTATGCTTTAATCTGAATAAATCTCCCAACTGCTCTGCTGCCTCTTGCCAAAAATTTCCTTTCCTCCTCCAGACTGTGGTTGCATTCCAATTACACTGCTGATTGGAATGAAGCTACTTGGGCAGGGGGTGGGGGTGCACTGGAGAGAAAAGAGAGAAAAAAATAGGAAACTCTCTATTTCAAAATATGCTTCTGAAACCTAAGAGCAACACTGGCAATTTAAACACGTTGATAATACATGTTTAAATGTTTGCGACATTTTACCAGGCTTTATAGAAGAGGTTTCTTAGAAGAAGAAAAACTTCAGAAGAGAGCATAGAGAATACCCTAGGCTTTTTTTCAGTACTTCTAACCAAATTCCTATGTTTTTGCTGAACTGCTGGCAAGCTACACAGCCACTTACATTTTTTCTGTGATTTGCCTTCCAGAGCACATCACAATTCCAGAGATGATATGAACCAAGCTTTCTAAAGGGAATTGTAGCTAGCTGGAAACACTTGACAATAAAACTTTAGCCATTAATATTCTCCTTTCTAGAAAACATGTGGCAAAAGTGAATTAAATTTGTTGAGAAATGTTCCGTCTACCAACTGCAACAGCTCCCCACCCTTCACGTAATGGCTTGAATCCAATGAAATGACAGCTCAAGGGAGGGTTCTCCACTTTATACCAAGTCTCCTTTCCTGCTACATCCACTATGTAACATCACAGAGTCTCTAGAGCAGTGATGGCGAACCTTTTAGAGACCGAGTGCCCAAACTGCAACCCAAACCCCATTTATTTATTGCAAAGTGCCAACACGGCAATTTAACCTAAATACAGTAGAATCTCTACTTACGACCGCCTCTACTTGGGCCCGATCCAAGTTGCGACCGCGGCAAACCAAGAAGTAAATACAGTGGTACCGCGGGTTAAGAACTTAATTCGTTCCAGAGGTCCGTTCTTAACCTGAAACGGTTCTTAACCTGAGGCGCGCTTTCACTAATGGGGCCTCTTGCTGCTGCTGCTGCGCCGCTGGCACACAATTTCCGTTCTTATCCTGGGGCAAAGTTTTTAACCTGGAACAATCACTTCCTGATTAGTGGAGTTTGTAACCTGAAGCGACTGTAACCCAGAGCATCTGTAACCCGAGGTACCACTGTACCGGGTTTGCTGTGATTCGCGCACACGCAGAAGCATGCTGCCACCAAATGCGCCTGCGCACAACGGTGCTTCTACCAGCAACCCGGATCGACTTACAGACGGACCTCTGGAACTGATTACATCCATAAGTAGAGCTTCCACTGTACTAAGGTTTTAGTTTAGAAGGAAAGGTTGGTGTATCCATGTGGCGAGAGAGTGGAGCAATACAGTGGTACCTCGGTTTTTGAACAGCATAGTTCTCGAACTATTTGGAATCCAAACACTTTACACCCGGAAACGAGTGTTTCGGTTTCCCAACTTTTTACGGAAGTGGAACATGCTCTGTTCTGAGTATAACTTCCGTTTTCAGAGTGAGGGAAGGCGGGCCGGGCGACAAGTGAGCAGGCACCTGCCGCCCTCCAGCGTTGGGTCCCTCTGCCGCCACAGCCACAAAAGCAAGCACCCCCTCCTCCAGCTCCAGAGGCCCCGGCGCTGAGTGAGCAAAGGTTGGGCTGGGGCAGCAAGCGAGCAGACAAGGGATTCGCCGCCGCCGGCCGCCCCCCTAGCCTGAGGTTGGGAAAGGTGAAGGCAGCCCAGAAGCTGCATCTGAGAGCCCCTGCACCACCTGAAAGCAGCCAGGCACTCCTCAGCTGAGCTGCCCGCTCCAGCTCCTACTTGTGTGCAAGCAGGAGTAGAGGCAGGGATCTCTCAGAAGTGGAGGCTTAGTACTTCCCAGCTGAGAGATCCCCACCCTGCTCTTGCTTGCACGCAAGTAGGAGTGGGATCACGCAGCTGAGCTGGGGAGCGCAAAGCCTCCACTCCACTTCTGACTCCACTCCCACTGGCCCCGGGTGGAGGGTGTGTGAAGCATGGGTAGGCAAATTAAGTCCCAGGGGCCGGATCCGGCCCAATCGCCTTCTAAATCCGGCCCGTGGACAGTCCTGGAATCAGCGTGTTTTTACATGAGTAGAATGTGTCCTTTTATTTAAAATGCATCTCTGGGTTATTTGTGGGGCATAGGAATTCGTTCTTTTTTCTTTTCAAAATATAGTCCAGCCCCTCACAAGGTCTGAGGAACAGTGGACCGGCCCCCTGCTGAAAAAGTTTGCTGACCCCTGGTGTAAAGCTTCACCCTCACAGCAGGAGGCGGAGGAAGACGGGTGATCGGAACTTTCAGCAGCCCACCAATGTGGCAGCGCGCTTCTGAGCACGTGCACAGCGCTGCGCCCTCCCCACCCTCAGTGGTGGCTCCCCAAGGGAAAATGCACACCCTGAAGGTTGTGGCTCCATTTTGCACACACACATCCCCAACACCCCACCCGAGGCACTTCTACTCGGACACAAGTTGAGCTGAGGACTCAACGAGCTGCCCTCGCCTTCTGAAGGCTCTGTGCTGGGGCGACGGCGCACGCGTCCACAGAGAGTGCCCCCTCTGGCACGCGGCGTGCCATAGGTTTGCCCCCACTGCTCTAGAGGGTCTCTCAACCCCCTAGGAGACCTTTTCCATGGGTGCTGGAGCTGCCTCCAGAAGGGGCAGGTGAAAAAGCGCTATTAAGTTTACTAGATTCAAATCACTTTTCAATTACTTAGGGACTTTTTTTGTATCAGATTCATTTCTGCCAGTTTATAATATTCCTCCCACGATTGCTCTAATTTAAATACGGGATATTCCTAAAAATGTAAGAAGCATAATTTTGAAAATACCTCCTACTGTGTCAGAGTAAACATCCTCTAACCTATCTTCTAACTCATGATATAGAAACACAGCAAATCCACTATCAGTGAAACTCCCAAGCACCAAGGCATTACATGCCACAAGGCAAACCACTGTTCAAAGTCAGGGGAGTTGGAAAAACAGCTTGTGTGGTATAGTGTTGTTCTTTGGAAAACCAAGTCAAAAGATACACTTTCATGCATATCTCCATCTCCTTGGATTGTCAATGGGTATTTAACCGGTCCTGAGTACAAGATCTTGCATCCTGCAATACAGCCTAGTCATCTCATCTCTAAAAGAGCTAATTTAATGTGGAACTACAAAGCATATGCACCCAACTACCATATTTGTAATTGTGTGTTAAAAGCATGTTATTCTTAACTAATCATACTGCCATAGCTGCCAACTTTTCCCTTTTTTAAAGGGAAATTCCCTTATTCTGTATAGGATTCCTCACAAGAAAAGGGAAAAGTTGACAGTATGGATACTACAACAATGCACTAAACATTAAACTTCCTTATAGGAACTATAGTAAAGTTTGTAGGCTACCAGCTAGTCTTAGTTAGCACTGATGCTTAGGTGAAAGAGTTAAGCATCTGCTTAAATCTTTCCTCTGGCTGGATTATGCTCCAAACATAAATCTGAGTGGGATTTCAGGAGCTGTTGGCACAGTAGGGCACTGCCATGAAGCCAGCCTGCTGAGACAAGTGTTGCTATCTATGTATCTGGACGAAATGGTGGGACATAGGCAAGGTCAGGGGCAGCAATTTCTAGGAATATTTGAAATTACCAAACATAGACTAGTTTTAAATAATCTAATTAGATTTCTATTTGTACTTTAAGTTCTTACACAAGTGTGCATAGGTAAAGGTAAAGGGACCCCTGACCATTAGGTCCAGTCGTGACCGACTCTGGGGTTGCGGCGCTCATCTCATACGAAATAAAATGTGACTTGCAGTTACACAGAACTGCCTAACTACAAGAGCATATTGTAACTTTTTAAAAAATCCAGGCCTAAATAAATCAGAATTGTTTTCTGAATATTATAGCATTCCAGCACCTAAATCAAATGATATTACTAAGGTACTGCAAAGTGTAACAGTGACCACTTGATAATGGAGTGTTTTTAAGTATATTATTAAGCTTATAATTTTTTTAAAAAATAAATATTTTAAACTTTGCATAGGACACCAAAAAGGGGAGGAAGACGGAAGAGCTTTCAAGCAAATTTCAGTTAAATTACAGTATTTTTATAGACGCATATGAACAATGCCAGTCTTCTAATTCAGTGATAAAATTCTGGGGTAAATTTCCTCTTAAAAGTAAATCTGAATTTCCTTAAGAAATATCAGACTCCAGCAATCTGCACTTAGGATTCCTGAGTAACTTGTGGACACAGTCTGCCTACATTTGCCATGTTTAGACTCCTGTTTTAAACATCATGTCTACTTCACAGTATTGTTTTGAAGTAAACAAAAGGCTTCCTTTTCCACTCCTCCTCCCATTTTCTACTTTCTAAGCCAAAATTAAAAGAAAAAAGAAAACATGCACACTGAATTCCCAGAGACATAATACATTCATATTTCTTCAATGCGATCAATGATGAATTCATGTCATTTTTGCACTAGTTCTGCTCGCTAATTTAATACAGTTGTCAAAAAGAACACTGGAAATTAAACTTGAAAGCACCTTCTATAAAAACTTGAGAAATAAAGTCTTTGTCTCTAAAAGTTCTTTCAGATGCCTGCTTCCCCACCAATGGCAACTCTGTAAAGTGTTTAAACCCTGAAACCAAAGAGTACCTCATATGAACAGGATTTCACAAGTATTTGATGCCATTGTTGTTGGTTTCGCACTCCAGAGTTCACTCCCCCTGTGCACAATTTGCTGGCACTTTTGACTAGCAGGGGGGAAAGGCACAAGCAACATCCCAGGTAAGGTCAACCCCTATTTAGCATTTAAAAAATCTAGGATATTCAGCAAACAGAGGAAATTTCCACTGCTTGTTGCTGTTTAGTGTAAATGACTACATCATGCCTGCTGAAAGATTCAAAATCCCAGTATATCAAAGCAATCTTTCTGAATATTTGCCTATCAAGCAACATGAGCAGGCACTACATGAGGTCTAGGGGTCCTCAAAGTACGGTCCGCAGGCCAGATCTAACCCACCAGGGTCTTGAACCCAGCCTGCCCGGCCATTGCAGAACCTGCCGCTGTTTAACATGGAAAGAGCCAATCCGAGCACCACAACGCGTTTGACGGGCTTTGGCGCCAACCAATAGGGCGCCGCCTGGCAGGGTCGCTCTTGGACTCCTCCTCCTCATGCCCACCGCCAGTGGTTGTGTGCTGTGTTTAGGTGGGTGAGCGATTTCAGCATCCCCCCCCCAACAATCAAGCAGCTAATCGCCGCTTACAATCTTGGGCTCGCGCTTCGTTTCAGCGGATGACCGATTTTCGGCATTGGCCGCTTGATTGTTGGGGGGGGGGTTGCCAAAAATCGCTCACCCGCCAGAAAGCAGCACACAACCACTCACGTGGGGAGGCGAACTTCCTCCTCTGCAGGAAGGCTCCAGGGAGAGACGGGCATCTCAAGGATTCAGTGCCAGCTAAAGATGGGACATGCTTCCAGCCAGCTGTAGCAAAGCCTCCCTGCGTTTTTGCTATAAGGCTGGGGAATGGGAAGGCCACAAACCTTCAAAAGCAGGTGAGTTAAATATTTGTTCATATTTTTTTCAAACTATAGTCTGGCCCCCAACAGTGTCTGAGGGACAGTGAACTGGCCTGCTGTTCAAAAAGTTTGAGGACCCCCGTCTAGAAATTACTAATTGCTACTTCTGGGTGCTGGAGGAGACTCTTGAGAGTCCCATGGACTGCAAGAAGATCAAACGTATCCATTCTTAAGGAAATCAGCCCTGAGTGCTCACTGGAAGGACAGATCCTGAAGCTGAGGCTCCAATACTTTGGCCACCTCATGAGAAGAGAAGACTCCCTGAAAAGACCCTGATGCTGGGAAAGATGGAGGGCACAAAGAGAAGGGGACGACAGAGGACAAGATGGTTGGACAGTGTTCTCGAAGCTACAAAGATGAGTCTGACCAAACTGCGGGAGGCAGTGGAAGACAGGAGTGCTCTGGTCCATGGGGTCACGAAGAGTCGGACACGACTAAACGACTAAACAACAACTTCTAGGTTCTTGGAAAACTGCAGTGTGAGATACATAGTATCTGTCAAACTACCCATGTGTTTGAACAAGCGATGAGTTGTGTTGCTCACGCTAGCTCCCATTCAACCTTACGCGCACTGTTTAAATTGGATTATGTTTATTTTATTTAATCAGAAGACACTTACTAAAACCATCACAACTATAAGCTAAGGCAACAAAATGCATCTTTCAGAATGAACACTGAACTCCAATTGCCTAAGCAAATGAAATTGCTTACCTTTTGTGTAGATAATATTCAATCTCCATTGGTAAACTTTATTTAAATAGTCTCAGCCTTTCCGTTCCTTAAAGGAAACTAGACAACTAGCTAACTAGGTAAGGTAAGGTAAGGTAAAGGACCCCTGAACAGTTAAGTCCAGTCAAAGTGGACTATGGGGTTGTGGTGCTCATCTCGCTTTCAGGCCGAGGGAGCTGGCATTTGTCCGCAGACAGCTTTCTGGGTCATGTGGCCAGCAGGACTAAACTGCTTGTGGCACAACAGAACACTGTAACAGAAGCCAGAGCGCATGGAAATGCCGTTTACCTTCCCGCCGCAGCAGTACCTATTTCTCTACCTGCAATAGCATGCTTTCAAACTGCTAGGTTGGCAGGAGCTGGGACAGAACAATGGGAGCTCACCCTGTCGCGGGAATTTGAACTAGCTAACTACTATACTTGGAGGCAACAGCCTTTTGGGAGCAAAATAGCAATCAACAATATTGCTTTTGAAACTGATAGATTGGCCTCTTCATTACACATTTCTTCTTTCTTCTAGAGAAACAACATTGAAAGTGCCATGATACTTACGTTATTTTGAAACTTACTGTTTGATTCCTCAGTTTTCAGTAGAGAAAGTGTGGCAAATATAAAAAATATATACAAAAAAAGACAACTACTGAGTGAGGAGAGACATTAGGGGGTGCCCAGAAAGGACAGGGTCATCTCAGTGGCAGCACCCTGTTTATGGAACTTTCTCTCCAAATCAGGTTCCTTCTGAACAATTAGTTCACTATCAGAAATATATGGTTGCATATGCCCAAGTGCTTCGGAGTAGTTGACTGAACTCAATTTTTTACTTCTTTTCTTGCTCCACTACGCTTTGTAATTTTTTTAAAGCAGTTTTAACATTTTTGAAATTTTAAGTATTGATGGAACTATTATTTATAGGCTACTTAGGGGGCATTATGGTAACAACGCAGGATACTTAAACAAATTCACTTTTAAAATTAAGTTGAGAGCAATTTTACACCTTCTGGACAATAGGGCATCGCAGCTGGTATTTACCATCCTTTGCAGAAGTGGGCACCCATAGCTGTCAGTGCTATTCCTTAAATTCTGAATATAATACAGTGGTTCTCATATTACACTGAACAATGAGGTTGCTTGTAGTCATTCAAAGGATGTTTTAAGATCTAAAAGACAGCATCTTTGGGATAATGGTAAGGAAAGTGTATGAAACAGACAACGTTCTGTCCCCTTAATGGAAAATAAATGTAGAAATGAATAAATCTAGACTCCATTATACAGTCATACCTCTACTTATGTATCCCTCCGGATATGTAAACTTTGGGTTGTGAACGTGGCAAACCTGGAAGTATATACTTCCAGGTTTCACACCGTGTGTGCATGCAGAAACGCTCTATCACGTTGCGCATGTGAGCAGAAGCAGCGCTTCTGGATACAGACTTTTCAGGTTGTGGACGGACCACCGGAACGAATTAAGTTTGTATCCGGAGGGTCCAATGTATTCTTTTAAGAAAGAATTTCAGTGCTGCCTCGTATTGGGATGACCCATTCACACAAGAGTTTTAGGAATTTTATCTTTTTGCATCTCCCTCAGAAATCAGGACTGAATTGTACTGTTTTGCATTTTTGTTTCTCAAAACTTATTTACAATATTACATAGCTACCTCCCAGGATTAGCATGGAAGTGACTTTCAAAAATTCAAATACTATTCATGTTTTATATGACCCAAGAGATACCTTCAACTCTCAGGGTAATATCCAACTAAGTCATACTCAAAATTGGCCTATTCAAATTTATGGACTTGTTACTTAGTGGGTCTACTCCAAGGGCGACTAACATCGAATGTCACTCTAAGACTTGCTCATGGGTTACGTTTTAAAACCAGAAGAAAGATTACACCCCTTTTTTTTTAAGCACACTCTAATATACAGTTTAAAAAGAAAGTTTTTTGACAATAAGATTTGGACGGGTTATGCTGGATCCTGAATAGAAAGACACAAGAAATCCTAGCAATCTAGTTGTTACTGGGTACAACTAATGACATTTTACTGAAATATTTATAATAGTGGTACAGAAGCTTAAGAGACTACCTGCAGTAGTTCTAGAAACTATGCTCTCTTTGCAATACATAGCATGGATTCACAGAGCTTGTGTGAAAAGGTAAATGGCTTAAATATTAACCAGTGTATATTTACATTTACAGATAAACTCTTCAGGAATAGGAAAGTTTCCTCCCATTTCCCTGCCAAGATCAAGGTTCTCTTTTCTTTAAGAAAAAACAAAGTTTATAATTTTGCAGATTCCCTTCCTCTTCCTCCTTCAATTCCACAAAAGACAAAAATCCACTACCTTCAGTGTTCCATTTTCATGTTTGTGATCTTAGTAACTACTCTAAGGGAGGAAAAAAGAATGTAGAAGCCACATGACTGCTACTGAAAGCAGCAGACCCCTATTTTCTCCTCCTTTCTCTCTTCTAGAAGCGAAGCAAAGACACAGTAAGACATTATTGTGCCTTCCCACTTATTTGTTTGCCTCTTCCTGAAGCAAAGAACCTCAGAGTACAAGGATATATTATACATTTTGCTTTACTATACATTACTGGAGAAAACCTTTTGACAGAACTTTTAAATTATAGGAATATAGCAACTAAAGCAACATGATAAATGCACATCATCTAGACACCCTGATGTATGTAGATATGAGATTATTTCTAATAATGTGAGAGGTCTGAGATTAGCTAAGGATGTTGTCATTTTCCTCACTGAGTGTGTCTATAACACGTGTCTGATATTTTCTGTGTTCAACATAACTGTAGATGCCTTCCCACAAAAATCAACCTGCCATATGGATTTGTAACTACATAATCAGACACTTAGAAAGAACTCCCCAAGTCTATGATTCTATAATTGAACTTCCTGAGTATGAGTGAGTGTTCATTTCCTTGTGCCATGACCAGCTGCAAATCAAATAAAATGCTAACTTATTTATTAAATTTGTCTCCCACCCTTCCTTCCAACAAGCCCAAGGTTAACAAACAATTTAAAAAATTATTTAAAATAATTATAACGCATATGCAGACTGGGAAAGACCACAACTTAAAAGGCTTGTTGGAAGGGAAGGTCTTCAGCAGGTGCCCAAAAGACAACATAAATGCCTAATATTCAAAGGGATTAAATTCCGAAGGGTGGGTGCCACAACAACTAAAGGCCTGATTCCGACATTGTGAAGAACAATTTCCTAGTAAGTGTTCGAAATTAGCCAGGAGCCAGGCGCATTTTGCAACTGGCCTTTTGTAACCGGATGGAGATGTCCATCGCCACACTTGACACCTAGCATCTCCACCTGCCTGGCTGCAGTCAGCTGGTCTGCTGGGCACAGCAGCAGCAAAAGACATGTTACCCCTGATTTGCCCATCAGTTATCTGAACATGGCATCTCCTAGATCCGGAAGATTTAATGGTATAATACTAAGCACACCTTCCTGTGAATAAGTCCCATTGCGCAGAGGGGGAGGAATTCAATATACTAGCGGAATGACTTCCAAAAAAGAATGCATGCGCAGAAGCGGTCCACAGGTTGCAGAAACCTCAGGATCCAACCGGACCTCCAGAACAGATCCCATCCGCAACCGGAGGTACCACTGTATTTGGTTAGTAATGCACTAAATGATAAGGTAGAAATTCAACATAGAAGTAAGCCGAATGCTTGGGAAATACAAGCATTTCTGCTTGCCTGATAGATCTCCCCTCTCCACCCCTCGCATGCAGTTTTGGAGGTTCTCCTGACCCCTCCCCCAGCCAATTTGGGGGGCGCCCATGGAGAGGAGACAGGGGAAACCCCACTGCAATAGCGGAAGTTCTTATGCAAACTTCCGCTAGCAGGACCAGTTAGTTGAATCCAGCCCAAAGTCTGAAATTTAAACTGTTTCTGCTCATTGCTCATCCCATTCGGAGACGGTGAATCATTTCCCATTTGGCATCCTTTCTGCCTACATGGCTGACTTGTGAGGCTTTTCCTGTATCCTTGTTATAGGTTAACTACTTCTGTATACCTGGTTTTATGTAAAAACTCCTACTGCCAATTGACAGACCAGACCTTGTGCTGTTTTATCAGACATCATTACTCATCCCTTTCTGCTAAAGTGACAGAAGCACTTTAGAATAATCCTAGTTCGCCATTTTCCAAATATTGTACTCTAGTTTTCCTTAGTCTGAAAAATTTGAATAAATCACAGCTTTTCCCCAACAGAAAAAAAATAATTTATTGACTGTATCTGATTTAAGACACTAATTCTGAAGGCGGCGCTATACAGAAAAGTGTAAAATCAAAGTTTCTTAGGGTTATTCTTGTCAGCTGAATAGTTCATCTTTATTTTTGTGTGTGTGGACAGAAGCTTAGAGAGTAGGAGAGGCGAGGAGAAAGAGCATTAAAAAATTACACTCTGTACAGACTGAAGGAATTTGGCAGCCCATCTGTTTAAACATAACTAAGTTAAATCTACAAAGTCATACTTTAAAGAGAACCAACATGTAGCAACACTTAGGTTTTACAAGTCATTAGCGTCTGTTTCACAAAAGTAAACCTGTTTCTGTGTTACTGACCTAACTCCAATCTGGATACTTTTAGAGGGCTCATCATTGTACCTTAAGGGCCTTGGATAAACCAGCTACTTAGAAGCAATGATAGCTATTGCTGTGATTAAACTCAAATACACATATGGAAATGTGAACCTTGATTCATACCATGCAAGTGCACTAGGATAACTGATGAAATGGCTAGTCTTGAAAGCTGGAAACACAAGTTATATTTTTGCATCTCCAATAATGAATACCCTTAAATGCCTTAACAATGCATTTTGATTAGTACATTTCTTCCTCTGTTGTAGGAAGGGAACATTTGGATTCAGCCCAACTTTGGGAGGGAGAAAACATGTAAGGCCAAAGCAGTACCAAAATTCATTTTTTGCATCACCACATCAGGCTCAAGGTAACAACTTTAAAGGGTATCGTTCTACAATGAAATGCCCATTTTTATTAGCAAAGCTTGTCTAGACATCTTCCTGAAAGCCTCCAAGTCACCCTCTACCTCTGTCCCAACTGCCTAAAAATATTGAAATCTAGAATAAGAAACAATTTAGCCTTATCGCTCTTGGTTGTACCCAGAGGGTCCCTTGTACATATGGAAGGGTTCATTGTGGAAGGGGATTGAGGTCTATCAGAGGCTCCCACCAACGGCTTTTTGACCTGCACAATCTCCACACCAATCCACAGAGTCCTCCACACACAGAGTGGATCAATTTAAATAATGGTGGTTCAAATCTTCAAGAAAAGTGCTGATGTAAAATAGATTTTCCACTTCATATATTTCCTCAATGATGGTGCAAATCTGGCTACTAAACCATGTTAAGTTACAATTAAGTTGAGTATCACTTACATAATTTTATTCTTACAAGCAACCGTGCATCTCTTTGTTGTACTCCATTCATTTTGCACATTCTACCTATGAAGGAACTGGGTTGTATCCAATGCTACCACTGTATGAGTGGAAAAGGCTTGTTGGGTACCCTATGGGGGGTGGGGAGGCTGCAGGAGAAGGGAAGTCCTATTGTGTGAGCAGAAATCTATTCATGAAGCATTGAATGCAATACATAGGGGTTTTTTTAATATTCTGATACAGCGCCCATGACAGTTTGAGAGATCAAATATGAGAATACAGGAATCTGTATGCTGAACAATGCTATTGTCTTCTTTCCAGTGCTTCTCTTTTACCCTGCTACCACAAATCCAAAGCAGCAAGCAAAAAAGAAATGTCCATGACTGATATGTTGAAACAATACCTGATAGTTACTGGGAAGACTACATTTTTATGAGGTGAAAACAAAATACATAAGTAGAGGGTAAATATTCATAGATGAGAACTGAACAAACTGGTTCTTCGTTTACATAGAAAAGGCTCCTTTAACTCTGTCTGGTAAAATCAATTAGCCTTGTTCACACATAGGAATCAACCACTGTTTAGGGTTCTGTGCACAAGCTTCTGTGAGCTCCAACAAACTTCAGTTGCAAAAAAGCAGGCTTTGAATTATGCTTCCAAAACTGGTTTAATATACTTGAGGAATTATGGAAAATGAAACTGAATTGTGGTTTATTCTTATTTGTATCCATGCAGTAATAGAAGGGATGAGGGAGCACTTGAGTCTCAGGCTTCACTGGGGTTCACAGAGGCTGGTGTGTTTAATGGTACATCGTGGTTATTCATTATGTTAAAAATGGATCACTGATTCAGTTTAGAAATTAAATGTAGAGTTAATGCATTGATATCCAGATTTAGCATTGCTAGTTATTAGGAGAAATTTGAGTGTGGGGCACAAATAGGCATATAATGTGGACTCGTCCTCCACCCTGTCGTTCAATTTCAAGTCAGAAAATATTGTTCATATTAATTTTATTTTGGAGAAGTCCTTGATATTGGTAGATATTGACACTCTTAAATTATATTCCTATGGCATGGACACTAACAAATGGACAACAAAAGTGGATCCTGTGAGTCCTTATGCTGGCAAGGCTGAAAGGATTAAAAATCACCATCCATTAATCTGTGGCCTGAAGCTCTCACTGGCTTACAATCATGTTTAGATACCTATCTGAACGTATGGGCTTCTTGTATTAATTTATACATTTAAGACAGGATTGATAGATGATTCTTACTGTTAATATAAAGTGGCAATGTTTTTACCCTTTTTCCTGTCATATAAGCAAAACTTTAACAAATTATATAGATTAATTACAAACACATACTGACATGCAATCTCACTGTAATGATGCTCACATAAACTCCTTTTGATGTAATTTCTGGGGGAACTTCCCATCGAGAATGTTGAGAACTAAGTGTGAGAATTATACACCTTTGGTGATGTAGCTGATGTCCTTAGTAAAAACCAATAACCACAACTGTGCACCTCTTTCCCACAGGATTATACGTGCATAACAGCGAAGGACTGTGATAGGCTTACACATTTTGATTCAAATAATTAGAAACGTAACTCAATTAATATTTATTTCACAAAAGAGCTGTGAAGTTTAAAATCTATTTGCACAGGAAGCAGCTGATCTGATAAAACTTTTAAAAGAAAAAAAAGGGTTGTATTCAATACTACATTTCTATTCCATAAAGAATGTTGGTATCTGCTATCTGCACACAAATAATCTAATACATCACTGGAAAGCAGAAAAATAATTGTTCCTTCTTTATGGCACTCTGTAAAGTGTTTTCAAGTTAATAATGTAAGGCAATGCAAGACTGAAGGAAATAAAAAAACAGCTTGTTATAAAAATAATAATAAAGGCATTTTTCTATTAAGAATTGAAACACAGACAACTGAGAAAACCATGGAAGCCAACCAATAACTTGATTCTCTTGAAATTAAATTACCGTATTTACTTGAATGTAATGTGCACCTTTTGGCCAAACTACTTCACAAAAATTAGGGCATGTGTTAGATTTGATGGCACATTTACATTCACCAGCAAATACTTTTTTGGTTTCAAGGTTTTGAAAATTGATGCGTGCATTAGATTCAATTGTGCATTAGATCCGTGTAAATATGGTACATTTTTAGGGTTATTCACAGAAACAATTTCAGCAATGCCCCCAAATATTTTAAGCACTGAAACAATTTACCTCCTATTGTATCACAAAATGGCCAGTAATGGCAGATAATCCTCTGGTACCCCCAAAGAATGACTGTAATCATTCAGTGAAATACTTTGAGGATACAGTCATTCACCTCCAGACAGACTTTGACACTGACACATTGTATCAAATCTGGACTTCTATTTTTGTAACTCTAATGTAAACTTTATGAAATCCAGTTATGTTTCATATGCTGCAGGCTAAATTGTGTTTTATTGTTCATATACGTTTTAGAAAGTAATAAAATAATAAACTATAATCGGTGACAAACTAAAAATAGATTAAAACACACATTAGCATTCTACATACCTGAGTAGGTTTGTTTAAACTGATGTCAATAGACAGGGAGTTCCGAAGTCTAGGTGTTGTCACACTAAAACACTGATTTATTGCAAATGTGGAATGAATATTATGTGGCACCTTGTAACAGTGCCAGTTCCACAGATTGAAACAGTCAAGAGGGTACATATGGGGGAAGGCGACCTCAAAGGTAAACTAGTCCCAAGCCGTTAAGGGTTTTATATACTAATAGTCACACCTTGAACTTGGTCCAGTAGCAAATCAGGAACCAGTATAAGTCTCTGAGCACAGATGTTCTATTCTAAAAAGATCTCACTACTATCAGCAAACGTGCTCCAGGATTCTGCCCTGACAGCAGCTTTCAGATCAAGCACAAGGGAAGTCCTACATAGAGTACACTGCAGTGAACCAGTCTTGAAGAATCAAATGCATGAACTACTGTGGCCAAGCTTTCCCAGTCCAGGAAGCGTTGTAGCTGTCATACCAACTGCAGTTGATTAAAGGCACTTTAGGCACTGATAAAAGGTGCTTCTAGCTTTTATTCCAAGACCAAAATAAAATGGAAGGAGGAAAATCATACATACAGTATTACATAATATTGTTCAAAATAAAAGAAGTGGCTGCTTATAGCAACTGATACTGGTGGACAGGAAATTAGAGAGCTAAGGCAAAGGAAACTACTATTAACTTTGTAGTTACTGCACATTAACAGACACAAAAGTAAGTCTGAAGTCACTTTTGCTACTTTCTAGACAGTATAAGTTGTTTAGTAACCATTTTCATTCTGTTTGAAAGACTGTGGCAGTCTTACTATATTCACTGTGGCGACTTGTGCTTTTTACAACAAGCACAGATGTTTTAACAACTATACAAAATGGAATGCAACTACAGCAATCAGCTGAGATCAGCAGTGTATTCAGAAACCTGCTTTTTCCTCCTTAAGAACCAGGAGACATTCCCCAGCATTTTGGACCCACTTAGCACAATTAAGGATAATTCCTGAACCATACTCTATGTGTTATCCATAAATTATTGCTCTCTCTATATTATACACATACAGCAAATAAAGAAATATACTATGTTCAGTCAGCTTAGTCAATCATTAGCACTGTGATCTACTGGTTTACATCAACTCACATTGTACAAAGGGGGAGAGGAGATTATGTCATTCTGAACAACTGGGTACATATCTATTTAACTAAAACACTTAATATCAAAACTCAATCATTCTAAAATCACAGAAAATGTGGATGGGAGAAGGAGAGGTTTAATTCATTATCAATATTTATTCATGAGTTACTTATCCCTAGCTTTCCCACAAATGTCACATGTCACTTTAACTTCAGAAATGATTTAAGACTGCATAACTGTAGATGACCATTACACTTTGAATTACCCACACTCCTGTGGAGCAAGACAGCAAACAAATGTAATGGTGTCAGGACACAAGGAAACTATGGGGGATATGGGGCATCTGACACAAGCCTGTAATTCTCAATGGCAGTCTGCCACATTTCTTATACAGTTAAATTGTGTCCACAAACACCTTGGCACGGTTGCACATATTTTCAGCCAGTCCTGTTCTTCCATCCAAAGTCTTTTTTACTCTTCCACTTCTCCAGAAAGCAAACACCTGCTAAAAGCATCTCACATCTTAGAAATACTCCTACACTGTTTCGCACACACACATTTTTTGCTGTAGGAAACAAGATTTTAGTTGCCATGTTTTCTACCATGTCCTATTTCTGAAAACAAACACATGAATGTGCATAACAATTGTTAAAACCTCAGCCACCAACAGCCAGTTAAAAGAAAAATTTTTAAAGACAACACTTCTAAGAGTTATGCAAAGATGAGCAAACTTCACAGGCATAGGAGAGCTAGTGAGGTCTTACCCCTCTCAAGGGCCTTTGTTTTCCTTGCTTGGAATATAAATAAGACCCTCAGCAATAAGACTTTTGGCAACAATCTCAGATGTACTGGGCTCATATATGGCACTAGAGGACGAAACCAGCACTACAATTTGTGTCCACAAGTTTGCAGAAAGATACCACACACAGTGCTGCTTTAGGGACTTACTCACACCATAACCTGCATCAGTTTAATCCAAGTATAGCATTTTAATGTAAAGAATATAAGCTTGGTTCAGATGTAATGTCAGGAATCCTGATCTATAATCCTGATTTGATGAACAAACACAAGCCATAGTATGCTAGTTTTTTATTTATAAATTTATTTATAAATTGGGTTTATACTGGTGGCCAGGAACTAGCAAGTTGCAGTTGTTTTATGATTTTCAAAATCAGAAAGTTGACTTAAATTGCTGATTTAAGCATCTCTCTTTTTTCCAGGGTAATTTAAATCATGATTTCAATCACCAGTTTAAACCAATCCACCCTGAGATATCCTCAATTCATGACAGTAAAATATATAGAAAGGAGAGGGTGGCAAAGATTCCAAAGGAAGGAAGGGTTTTTTCAGTTGCAGGTTCAGTGAGAAAGGAGCAGAAATGGGACACAAACACTGGCTTAGCATTTTATTTTATTTTACAAAATTTATATACCACTTGATTGCAAGAAAGCGCTTAAGCAGTGAACAAAAACAAAAACCAATCTGGTATAGGAACAGAAGTTCCTGAGGAAACATTTCCTGTCTTCCCTGGTATCATACCAGCTAGCTGCTCTCCGCATGAACATGAAAATTCTTCCCTCCCTTGCCAACCTCAACTATGCTGAGTCATAGGGCTAAATTAACATCAGCCATGGCTAATACTGCCCCCTACATAAATGAATTTTGAGAATTTTATTGTAAACTATATAAAATGTTATTTGAGTCACACCTGCACCCAAATCCCTATGAAGTTAAATTGGAGAGAGATCTACAGATAAGTACTTCTCTACGCAGCTGGAATGGTATATAAAATTCCCACAAATGACTTCAAGCATGAACCTTAAGTAAGGTTGCTATATGTCTGGGATTTCCTGGACATATCTGGAATTCTGCAGTCGTCAGTAGTGTCCGGGCAGAAATCATTAAAATGTCTGGGAAAATCCGGATGTATGGCAGCCCATATCAGCAGTGCCGTTTTTGGTGACTTTCCATAAAAATACCTAAAAAAACTGCTCAACAACTTTGCCAAAAGAAGCTCAACAACTTTTCTGTGTATTTTCACTGTTTGAAATATGGCAAGCCTACCTTAAGGAAAGTTCCCATAAAAGCTTTTATAGATGGTATCTAACACCACTGAAACCAAGTAGAAAATACCCAGGAACAAAGGACACTTGTTGGCACTGCCAAGCAGACAGAGCAGATCTCATCAATATATATTACAAGACTGGCTAAGCTATGATCCTCCAGGTGTTGTTGGACTACAGCTTTCGTCATCCCTGACCATTGGCCAGGATGGCTGGGACAGATGGAATCAAGCATCTGGACGGCCACAGATTCCTCATTCCTGCTCTAACAGAAGAAAGGGATATAAAGTATAGAAAACAAACAGCAACATTTAGTTGGCAAATGGTTGGAGAGTATGGAAGCTGTAGTCTAACAACATCTGAATGCAATAAGTTAGCCACTCTCAATATATATTGGGTTTGTCCTAAAAGAAATGCATTTTGGAAATCAGTTGTGGATCATATAGAATACATTAAGATAAAGGGACCGCTGACCGTTAGGTCCAGTCGCAGACGACTCTGGGGTTGTGGCTCTCATTTAACTTTATTGGCCAAGGGAGCCGGCGTTTGTCCGCAGACAGCTTCCAGGTCATGTGGCCAGCATGACTAAGCCACTTTTGGCGAACCAGAGCAGCACACGGAAACGCCGTTTACCTTCCCGCCAAAGCGGTACCTATTTATCTACTCACACTTTGACGTGCTTTCGAACTGCTAGGTTGGCAGGAGCAGGGACATTACAGGCTATTAACTCCCAGTAGATCCCTTGCACATTCTTTTTGGTCACATAAATGAAACATAATTTCCTGGTGATTATAATATCTATTAGTTATACAGTGGTACCTCGGAGGTCCGTTCTTAACCTGAAACTGTTCTTGACCTGAAGCACCACTTTAGCTAATGGGGCCTCCTGCTGCTGCTGTGCCACTGGAGCACAATTTCTGCTCTCATCCTGAAGCAAAGTTCTTAACCTGAAGCACTATTTCTGGGTTAGCGGAGTCTGTAACCTGAAGCGTATGTAACCTGAAGCGTATGTAACCCGAGATACCACTGTAATTGGAAAAAGGAGGGTACAGTGGTGCCTCGCAAGACGAAATTAATCCGTTCCGCGAGTGTCTTCGTCTAGCGGTTTTTTCGTCTTGCGAAGCAACCCTATTAGCGGCTTAACGGATTAGCGCTATTAGCGGTTTAGCGGCTATTAAAGGCTTATCGGCTTAGCGGATTAGCTGCTAAAAGGCTATTAAAGGCTTAGCGGCTTAGATAAGGAGGGGGAAGCGGAAAAAAAATCTCAAGACTCGCAAGAAATTTTCGTCTTGCGAAGCAAGCCCATAGGGAAATTCGTCCTGCGAAGCAACTCAAAAACGGAAAACCCTTTCGTCTAGCGGGTTTTCCGTCTTGCGAGGCATTCGTCTTGCTGGGCACCACTGTACCTTTCAATTGCTATTGAAAATTTGATGTTTCTAAGTACAATAAAGCTTACTAATCTTGTTAAATTATTTTCTATAATAGTATTACAAAATGAGCCCACCTATTAAATCTGTGTGCAGATGACCTGGCCTTATTGGTTACAGACCCTTTGACAACATCCCCTTTAAGAAGGAACTGGAATCTTTTGAGATCGTCTCAGGCCTTTGGGTTAATCAGAAGCTTTATGTTTTCATATACCTCCTAGGGATATAAGCTCATGAGAGACAGCTTGTTTCAATCTGGGCAACAAATCCATAATAAATATGATGACAAATATGAAGAAGCCGAAACTGATAATGACAGCTCCGAAAAAGAGAATGACTGAATTTTACATAGTATTCATTGATTCTTAGTTCCTTCCCTCCTTTTTTGCAGCTCTTTTCATGGAAATGAAATCACTAAGTACTGGCATATAACATATAACAATCACTAAGTACTGGCAAGATTTAAAGAGAACTACTTTAACCTTGTGGCACCATAAGGTATGGTATTTACCTATTACCTATTTACCTTTACCTATTTACCTATGCTATTTAGAATATATGGAAAAACTAATTCATGGAATCAGAGTACATGACTCTTCAAAATCAGATAAATGCATTAAAGATTGGTATAGTTTTATTACATTTGTAAAAGGAAAAGGAAAACCCACCATCTCATTATGCTAGGACATGGAATGCATAATAATTTTAAGTAAGTATGATATTGTTTCTTCCATTATTTTAATGTTCGTGCCATCATTTTCCCATCAAATCTTTCAGGTCCTTATATGCCTCAATTTCTAATCACTTGTTCTATCTACTTATACTGTCTGGATTGAGGGGGTGAGTTCTTTCCTGATTTGGGGGTCCAGTCCTTTGGAGTTAAAATATTCTCATGGTATATATTTATTCTATTTCTTCATTTTTTTGTATTTTTTTTGTAATGTTTGATATTAGAAAATCATTCTTAAAGGGTTTTTTTAAAGTCCCTGGAGGGAGAAAAGTGAAATGTTATAGTTTTTTTTAAAGAAAGAAGATATGAAATTACAAATGGTAGAGACAAGGTTATAGAAGGGGGAAAACACTAGTTGTTTATAAATAATGTAATGAAGAAGAACCTAAAAGGTTTAGAGAAGACATTTTACTCTACACTTTAGCAATCCTGACTGTCCTACTTTTGAAACTGCTCTTTCTCTAGCTAACAGAATCACAGGAATTGCTGTCAAGTCTGCATTCACATTATAGTCCATACATGTTACTAGATGGAAAAAGTCAGGATTTCTCACGTAAAGTACGGAAGTATGTGTGATATAGTCCTTATTAGGATATATTCCTCAATGGCATCTGCTTCCCCAATAAAAAAAAAAATCCCTTTCAGTTGCCTTTAAAAGAGAACTACGAATCTAATATGATTATACTAAAGCTTCACCACCAGCAGCACAGTCTCATTAACTAAGTGGCTATCCAATAGTTCTAATGTTGTCCTTAATGATGCACCACATCTATTTAAAAAGCACAAATACTTCACCGCTAAGGTTAGGAGTCAGCATCCTTGTGGACCCATGAATTCATACTGGAATTGAAAGGAAAATATCCACAGTATTTACAGTTACCTGTGTAAACCTAAAGCATCAATACATCTAACCAGCACATTTCATCCAGATTGATACTTTATCAATACAATTACCATCCCAAACATTTAATTACTGCTATCTCAATTTAGAGCATTTTCATGATACATGCAGCACAATCTTATGCATAAGTAAATCCCACCAAGTTAAATAGGATTTCAGCCTTACTTTTCATCTGCAATGAAACACTTCTGAATGCTGCAGTTTCAGTATAGGCAGCAAAGCAAAACTCTGTTTTAAAACTAAAATACATTATACACAACGTAGTTTTTCATAGCATTTTGGATATCCAACTTAATTCAGTAGTCAATTTTGGGGGGAGGGGGGAAAATAGCCTTCTCAAACAGCTAGCCCATTTTCAACATCCAGTTACAGAAGGCAGATGGTGACCCATCCCCATAAATCAACAGTAGTAAAAGTGCAAGTTCAGATCTGCTTGAAATACCGTGCACAACCAGAAACCTATTCTCATTCTAATAATATTCTTAGTGTTATTTTCATATATCGGCGCATTGTCAGTAGCCAAACACATGGCAACTTGTTGTAGACTGCACACTGATGTTTTGACAAGTAAATAAGACACACAGTGAACAAAGATACAGAAGAACTATGAATAAGCTGGACATCCAGTAAAATTCAAAGTTATGTCTCTACAGTGGTTATAAAACAGAGATCTAAATAAACTGTTAAACACTTAGTGCAAAGGTATGCCAAACATTTCTCAGAACATTCTTAAAGCCTCAAAAGAATCAACCTTTTCTTCTAAATCAGGCCTAGGCTAAATATTTTATTTGGCTCCTCAAGATGGACATAGAAGTTGGGCATTAGCTCCAAATCAGTTCCTGGCCTCACATCAAACACTATCCTGTCATTTATCCAGTCAGTCAAAACAATGTTTCCATCTAAAACTTTTAATGTTTACGTCTTGAAAACTGCTAATTGAATCCAGTTTTTCCAATCCAGTTTTCACAGTCTATACTATCAAATACCAAGATAATAAATGTGAAATAAATAAATACTACATATTGCTTACAGAATTGAACCGGGACAAGAAAAAAAGGTTGAAGCCAAAACAGAAGACTGCTAGCCTCATAAAATTTAAAAACACTGAAACTAGATATGTCAACAGTCTTATAGTAAACTACTTCTAATCACACTCAAGGAAGAACTTTAGCTCAATATAGTTTTAGCATTTAGAAGTTCCTGAAGTATGTTTCATACCAAAATGGGTGAGATTTAGATATTCTAAAGCAAACCCTAAGAAAACCACTTTCAGCCACTCCTATACATGTTTACTTAGATGTCCCACTGAGTTCAATATTACTTACTTTCAAATACTTAACAATATTTTTTCTATTGCAACTTTCCTTATGCATTTAAAGCTTCCCTACAAAAAAGAATGTGATGCATGACATGCACATTTAAAGTTAGCCAAAATACAGAATATTTAATCTTAATAGTATCAAGGGTTTTTGTCTGCATTTATTTATTTATTTATGTACTGAATTTATATACTGCCCAATACCTGGAGGTCTCAGGGCAGTTCACAGAACAAAATCAAAATATAAAACCACAAAATATATAATCAAAATAAAATGAACAACCCAATAACCCCCCCAAAAAAACACATTTTAAAAGGTCATAGGGTGTCTGTTTGCTGTCTATAATTTTACAATTACCTATAATTTTTTTCTAATACTTAAGTAGTGTAATGTACTCTGAATACTAATTAATCCTTCCCCTGAGACAAGCTTCTATAGTTCCAAAATTACAAATCTGAGAGCATTAGAAAATGTGCAAGGGGAAGGGACAGACGTAATGACTACCTATCCACTTGTTGGTTTAAAAAGATTGTAAAACACGTCTTTGGTGAACTTCACTGTTCCTTCTCCAGAGCAGCGGCAATACCAGCTGCAAAACAGTCCTTCAGCCAATTTTTAGACCAAGAATGTTGCGCTCCACAAAGTGCATTTGCTGGACATCATATGAACCACAAAGAAGGCTGATCACCGAAGAATTGGTGCTTCTGAATTATGGTGCTGGAGGAGACTCTTGAAAGTCCCGTGGACTGCAAGAAGATCAAACCCCTCCATTCTTAAGGAAATCAGCCCTGAGTGCTCACTGGAAGGACAGATCCTGAAGCCGAGGCTCATGAGAAGAGAAGACTCCCTGGAAAAGACCCTCATGTTGGGAAAGATGGAGGGCACAAGGAGAAGGGGACGACAGAGGAAGAGATGGCTGGACAGTGTTCTCGAAGCTACTAACATGAGTTTGACCAAACTGCGGGAGGCAGTGGAAGACAGGAGTGCCTGGCATGCTCTGGTTCATGGGATCACAAAGAGTAGGACATGACTAAACGACTAAACAACAACAACAAATGATGCTGGACTACAACTCCCGTCACCCCTGACGACTGGGCTATGCTGGCTGGGGTTGATGGGAGTGGAAGTCCAACAACATGTGCAGGGCCACAAGTCCCATCCCCCCAATAAATATGCATATATCAACTTTGGAAATTTCCCAATTATGTTCTTGCAGAATTAGAACTAGAGCCACACAAACAAGAATGTGTATGTTAGTAAAATGCACAAAAGATTATAGAGACTGCAAGATGGTACCATTCAAAAATGGTTGATGACAATAAAAGCTATTAGTAAGAACAACCTCTGCCAGGCTGGGGACAGGTCTGCTTTTAATAATGATTTACAGCCATCATAGTGCTACCTGAAAACAATCTTGCTCTGAGGAGAGATGCAATCTAACTTGCACATCAAATTAATCCAGGGCATACATATGTGTGTTTTGTTAGTTTTAATTCATGCTTACTGTTTTAATATTTTATGTAAGCTATTTCACGAGGTTTACCTGAAAATCGGTATACAAAGAAAGCACGATCATCATTTGCCCAAGGCTCTCATCTAGTAGATGAGACACTGGCTTAAAAGCACATATCTTTTTTGTTTAAAAAAAGTCTTTTTTTACTGTAACAAACAAGCATGGATATGAATCCTAAATCCTAACATGTGAGGTGGAAATAGAAACTGAAGTAGGAGTCCTCCAAGACAACTGCCTCAAAACATTTTCCAATCAAGGCATCTGAAGATTTTCAAAGATGTGCTATTAAGGTTAAGACAGAGAATACGAGGAGAAATTATTTTGAGGAGATATGGAAGGTATTCGTAGAATTTGTACTGTTAAAATGGAAACAGGTCAAACCATCGCAATAGGTGTTGACATGTTGGGAGGCTGGATAGTTACGATGGAATGGTCTCGGGGGTGGGGTGGCACTTTTTTTTATTACTTTGTAAAAATAATAGTAACAATAATAAACTTGAAAAAATATGATTTTCAAAACTTAAAAGCAAGTTTTTGCTCTGCGCTATGGTAGCATAAGCATCAAAACAGAACCACAGCTATTGCACATTCCAGTCAAACCAGCTTGTTCCAAAAAGCCTTTCCTTCCATCTCCAGACTTCTTTAGAGACCCAAACACATACATATATATATCCAGTATTAGAAAGAAATAAAATACCCAAAATGTTTGTGCTTTTGCCCTCTCCATCTCATCAAGGCACAACCTTACACAACCTTCCTTTGCGGAAGTGGATTTCCAGCAGGGCGAAAACAAGGGCGCAAAGCGGCAGAGACTCATTCAAGTTTAAGCTGCCAGAGGAAAAGGATCAAACTCTCTCTAACCCTCCCCCCGCTTCACAACTTACACTTAAACCCACGTCCCAAAGCGGCCTCACATCCTAACGAACCGATTGAGCAATCCAGATGCTGGAGAGATGGAGAAAGAAAAACCTCTCACGATGCTCGAGCCCTGGAGTTTCAGACGGGCTTTATCGGAAGAGTCCGACGCTTTGCAGGATGCGTCCCTTCAGGGCGCCGTGTGCAGCAACCGTTGCACCTGGAAGCTCGCACCCCTCGGCAAACTCTTCACCCCCCACTCACGATAGCTGAGATCGCGGGGTGGGAGCGTGGGGTGAAGAGCTTACTTTTCTCCCGAGGCCTGGAAGCTTTCGAGAGAGTCTCACATACACAAGGCTGTGGGGGAAGCAGCTCGCTCCTCGAGGCTCCCGGCCAGTGGGTTGAAACACAAACACACACAAACACCTCACGTTTCCCTTATTATTATTTTTGAAAACAAACGGCGAAATTCTCTCTCCTTTCCTCACCAAACCTGGGGCCCTTTTCTCTCCCCACCCCCACCGCGTCCCACAACTTCCGAACGGCTTCTCCACAGACGCGAATTATATTCCCCTCGCAACACCCTTCTCCCCCCACACAACGCCTCTTTCTTCTCGGGTGGCCCTTCCATTGCCAAAGCCGACCCGCTTTCCCCCCCATACCCCACCTCACAAGGCAAACGAGGCCCCTCGGGCCTCGCTCTCCTCCTCGTAACGTGTGTATGGGGAGCGAAGCGTGCGCGCCGCCTGCCCGCCCGCCCCGCCGCGCGCAACGGCTCCTCTCACCTGTCAGTCGCAGCTTGACGGGCCCGTTCCTCCTCGCCCCTTGGTTGGACATGACCCCCGGGAATCCCTCCCGAGAGCCCGGCGGTAACCCTCCTTCCCTGCCGCCGGGGACGGGGCGGCGCGGGAGGGAAAGGGAAAGAGAGAGAGCCTCTAATGGAGTCGGGCTGGACGCGCCTCACGACGCCGAATGGAGAAAAGCCCGGATGTGCCCACTGTCGCCATGAGCGTCAGGAGGCGGAGGCGCAGCCGCCTTGCCCTTCCCTTCCCGCCCGAGGCTGAGGCGGCGAGTACAACAAAGCGGCAGACGGGGGAGAAGCCTGAGGGGGGAGCGGCGGAGTCGCTCGCGCCAAGGCCGGCCGGCCGCTTCGCTCTCCTCCCCCCCCCCCCGCTTCGCCGCCTCAGGCCCAGTTCCTCACAGGCCTCGCCTCCTCGTGAAGGAGCAGCAGTAACGACAGGGCCCCCCCTTTCAAGGCGGCGGCGAGGCGTCGCGGGCGGCCCTTCGGTAAAAGGCCCCCTCGTTCTGGAGCCTCCCGAGGCCGCGCGGAAGAACATCGATGGGGGCCCGACCCCCAGCGCGCTTTGCGAGAACTCCAGGCACGGCCAGCTCCGTGATGCCGGCTGTCCAACAAAAGAAGCTTAAAGACTCTCTCAAAAAATGTCATATAAACGCCCACAATGGGGAAACAATCTGCCAGCGCTCCACTTGGGGAACAGCAGAAGCTTCCTAGGAAAGCTGGGCCTGTCCCTCGACATCCCCCCAAAAGCCAAAGAGCTGCATCAACAAGCCCTCTGCAGTGCCACAAACCCAACTCAACGACGGTGTAACGTTGGAAAGTGTTGATTGCTTCTACCTTTCCACAAGGGCCGATCCCAAAATGCGGCATCGGTGAGCACAGTTTTGTCCAGCAGAAGCACAGTGTGTTTAAGGACAAGGATGTTCGCAGGGAAACCAAAATGCTTGTTTACAAAGTTATCATGCTACCAAGCTTACTGTATGCTTGGACCACTTATAAACGCCAGCTCCTCGAAAGATTGCATCAATGGTTTCTCCAAAAAAATTTACGTATCGCTTGGGAAAACAGGTGAACTAATGCCAGGGTACCGGAAGAAGCAAGTATCAGCAGTGTCAAAGCAATGATTCTTCAACGTCAACTTTGTTGGACTGGTCATGTTGTTCGGATGTCTGATTATCGTCTTCTAGAGCAACTACTCTATTCTGAACTTAAGAATGGAAAGCATAATGTTGGTGGTCAACAAAAAGGGTTTACAGATCAAGGTAAATTTTTAAAAATGTAGTATAAACACCAGCAATTGGGAAACACTCACCTGCGAGCGCTCCAATTGGAGAACATCCAGAATTGGCCTCCACTTATGGACACACCGTTAAGACCGTGTTCATGGAAAACAATCTTGCTTGGCTACAAGTGATCACCAAAGGAAGAAGAAGAAGAAGCTTCAGGCACCACAGCTCCAAAGCTTTTGCTTTCTTGGTTTATCGCCGCCACAAGTTCTTCACACTGGGCTTCAGCAAAGCACATTAGTTCATCAGACAGCCCCTCTACGATATCAGGCAACACAATGATAATGTCCCCTATCTGGACAGGGAGAGCCTGACTACTGTTAGTATACTATGCTCTGCTAACCTCGAGGTTAGATTACTGCAATGCGTTATATGTAGGGCTGCCCCTGAAGATGATTTGGAAACTTCAGCTAGTGCAGAATCTGGCAGCCAGGTTGCTCGCTGGAGCAAGACAGTTTGAGCATATCGGCTACCATTGAGTTTTGGGGCCCAGTTCAAAGTGCTGGTTTTGACCTATAAAGCCTTAAACGGCTCAGGACCACAATATCTCAAGGCCCACCTCTTTCCATATGAACCTACCCAGACCCTGACATTATCTTCTGAGGCCCTTCTTCGTGTGCCTCCTCAAGAGATCTAGAAGATGGCAACACAAGAACGGGCCTTCTCTGCAATGGCTCCCCACTGTGGTATGCTTTCCCCAGGGAAATTCTCCTGGAGCTTTCATTATACAACTTTAGGTGCCAGGCAAAAACGTTCATTTTTTAACCAGGCCTTTGGTTTATTTGATTGACATACTATGCCCTTTTAAAATGTGGGGTATTTGGGGGGGGTGTTATTGGGTGGTTGTTTTTATTTTGATCTATTATTTTATTATTGATGTAAACCTCCAGAATGTATTTTGTATAGTTAAGTTTTTACCTCTATTTTCAGTACGTTGTTTTTTATTTTATTGCTATGGCTAGTGTCTGATGCAAATAAAGATTCCTCTGAATTCCAAAGCTTTTGATGCGCTTTTTACAAGTGGTACTTACCTGATCCTAGTCAGGTATCCACAGGATTGCAGGATTTCTGGCACCTAGGAACTTCTGTCTGAACGATTCCTAACAAAAATGCCTCCGGTCTTTTCGGGAAGGTAGCTTTAAACATTTTTTTCATCTCATTATAAATCATTTCCCAGTATTCTTTAAGCTCCATTTCTTTACATTTCCAACACAAATCTGATTCTGATTAGCCAGTCTACTTGGGGTTGAATACCACCTGTGAATCATTTTCATATAATTCTCTTTCAATGTGTAGCATGCAGCAGATTTTAAATCGTTCTTCCAAAGTTTCTCCCAGATGTTTACATCCATATCATGCTCTATGTCCATTGCCCAGTGGGTCATTGAAACTTTAACCAGCTCATCCTTTGTTTCCCAGATGCTGTTGGACTCCCAACACCTACCTGCTTCACAACCAACAGGGCCAGTGGTCAGGGGTCATGGGAGTTGTAGTCCAGCTGCACCTCTGTAGAACCACATGTTCTCTGCTTCCGTTGAACTGTTCTCACCTGGCAAACTGCAGGTCACTTACCTGAGCCTGGCAAAGGATGAGGTGCTTCAGAAGGTGTTGGGGTGGAGCCTTAGCTCAGTGCTAGAGGGCACACACGGTGCATTGTATATAGGAGGTACCAGGCAGGGCTGACCAAAGACATTTTGGCACCAGAGATGAACCATGAAATGGCATTCCCCTCCCTGCCAGGGAAGGAGGGATGATCTACATCAGAAACGAGGAGGGAGGTAAAAGATCTACATTGGGATCTGTTGCCTCTGGGGATCCTGCTGCCCACTGGGTGGACTGGCCCTGGTACCACGTTTAACCCTTCTCTAGTTAGATCTCAAAGCTGATAAAGCAAGGGGGGAGATTTTGCTCCCTTTCTTCCCCAACTTCCACTTTAGGTAGGCCAGTCATGCCAAACAGAGGAGAGTTCTTTCCTGCGATCCAAGGCAAATACATGAGAAAACAGAATATTCAGCTTGCCTGTCTCTCTTCAGAGGCTGGTGTAGCCTGCTTTTCAATGCCAAACCCCCACCTAAAAACACCTGTAGCATGAACGAAGTCAATCCAGGCACTTGAAGGGAACATTTCCTTTGAGGCTGGCAGAAATGTACCCATGAGCCAAACACCAATTTTAAGAAGTCTATTTTGAATGAAAAGAAAGGAGGACAAAGGTAAAGGCACAATTGTACTTTAAAAAGGGAGGAAATGTTTCAGTTCCGTTGAAGACGATCCTATTGCAGCTACTTACAGGCAAGATTTCTGATCTCCTGTAGCAGATCATCATTTGAGGGATTTGAGGGACAAATTACTTTTTGGAAACAGTCATTTAAATTAAGAGTTTCTGACCCAGGTGACAAGTGGTTGTGTCTAGTCAAGCAGGAGTCAGTTGCAGAGATGTTTTTTGACACCTCTTGGAAGCAGAAAGATGGGAAAGATTACAGTGTTAACTACCTCCCATTACTGCATTTCCTTTGCGAGGCAGAACCTATTCAGTATATTCAAGGATAAATCTGACCTCCTGTTTGGAGGGAATGAAGAATGAGATCTTAAAGTGACAGGCTAGTATAAATCAAGTCTTTGCTACACCCTCTGGCCATTGAAATAAACAGTCCCTACAGTATGCTAGATGGACCAGTTAGCTGCATCTACTCTGCTTCCTTTGACAAATTTAATGTCTTCCAAGCCATGCAGCCACTCAGAGTGGCTGGGGAAACCCAGCCAGATGGACAGGGTATAAATAATAAAATTATTGTTATTGTTATGTTTTAATATATCTTTTCAGGTGCATTAGTATCTCATTCTTTGCAGAGCTATATTTCAGAATTAAATGATGGCTTCCCATTTCTGAACAATTGTTACGCTCTTGCTGTTAGCTCATAAAGTTGGGAAGCAATCCTATGCTACAGTTATGTCAGCTGAGTAGCTTTCGAAAGTGGTGTAAGCCCTACCCATCTCATAGACATAGCTGTTAACTTTTCCCTTTTCTTGCGAGGAATCCTATTTGGAATAAGGGAATTTCCCTTTAAAAAAGGGAAACGTTGACAGCTATGCTCATAGAGATGGGAGTTAGGCAGATCTCCCTCCATACACTGGTAAAAAATGGTGGTGGTCTGTCTATGGCATAACTTCATATTGTCATATTGGAGTACTCTGCCTATAGCATAGGTCCATATATTCCTCCTCTCACTCACAACAAAAATTAATCCTCCATTGTTTCAGAGGAAATAATTTCTGTATTATCTGCACACCAGATTCATCAAGTATAATTTTCCACTAGGATTTTTTCCCCTCCTACACAGTCCTTCTAGAATGATCTTTGGGAATTCTTGAAGATTTTTGGGATGATATCTTAATCTCTATAGGGGTTATTCAGAATGTCTTGCTAGCATTCTTAATATCTACACCTATAAACTCTACAACAGTCTGGCAGAAGCAAATCTATTCCCATCATCCTGACCTTTAATGAAACCATGAGGTACACTTGCAGATAACTGCCAAAAAAATAACATCCACCCATCCCCATATGTCACAGGGCAGCTTGATCAGAGGGTCTGGCAACTAGTTCGCTAGAAAGAGTTATTATTACTCACCCTACATGAGGTGGCATGTGGCTAACTTCAAAGTTGCCCCTCTGCTCTTTTGAATATTCTGATAGTTACATCATCCATGCTGATGTACTTACTTCTAGAGCAATCCCGTTGGAAGTGGTTTAAGAATGTCACAGGCCTACAAACAATCATTCCTATTTAATGTATCAGCATTAAGCATGCTTAGAAGAACGTGACTCGAGTCAGTGTTTCAAATAACGGCTCAAAGGAAATAGAGCAAGCACATTTCTGTCCCTCATTATTAAGGCAGCAACTGCTGTGGTAATTCTGAAAACCATTTACCTCAATGGATATCTGGTATTGATGCTAATATTGTCTCAATAGGGTTGTGTGGAAAGGTGGCAGAAGGTGGCACAGTGATCCTACCTTGTCTACCTTGAATATAGGTGTAACTATGCGTCTCTGAACCACCTTTCTCCACTCAGTCCAGATTTTGAGGTGGGGGAGTCCTTTGTAGAAATAATTATTATTATTATAATTGTAATTAATATTTTATTTTATTTTATTTTTCCCCAGCCACTCTGGGCGGCTACAGCACATATCAGAACATACTAAAACATCAATCCTTAAAAACCTCCCGATACAGGGCTGCCTTCAGATGTCTTCTAAAAGTCAGATAGTTGTTTATTTCCTTGACATCTGAAGGGAGGGTGTTCCACAGGGTGGGCGCCACTACCGAGAAGGCCCTTTGCCTGGTTCCCTGAAACCTCGCTTCTCTCAGGGAGGGAACTGCCAGAAGGCCCTCGGAGCTGAACGATGGGGTTGGAGACACTCCTTCAGGTATACAGGGCTGAGGCCATTTAGGGCTTTAAAGGTCAGCACCAACACTTTGAATTGTGCTCATAAAGGTACTGGGAGCCAGTGAAGATCCTTTAGGACCGGTGTTATATACATCCACTATGTACACATGATACTAATTCTTGTCTATGTACTGTTCCTGCTACGTATTTTAAGAGATAACGGTTTACCATAAGTATTGCATTTTAGACTGTTATATTTTCACCGATACATTCTAATCTAAATTATTATGGGCAGAAAAGAGCTATGAGACTTTAACTTGTAGTCTGTAACAAATCTCTTTAATTTATGAGTATATAGGATGGGAGCATCAATCTGCTACATACCCTCTGATATTTTACATGTATATAATACATTTCATTCTAGGGCCTGAGTTTTCCAAGGACAGCAAGATGTCCACTGTGAAAGACATGTTGAGGGACCAGTTGGGCCTTACTTGGTTCAATTCAGCAGGTATGTTCTTCACTTCTTGAGCTAAGGTACATAACATTACTCAGAATCACTGCACAGAGATTAGTTGAATGTGGATAAATCCTAAGCACCCGCTCTTGCTTTGTAAACATAAAGATGATGATATGATGATACCGTCACACAGTTCTGATGTCAGTCCACCCCTGTTCTACAATCTGTATGCCACAACTTGTTAGTGGAATGACAGACCTTCCAAGTGTCCCTATTTACCAGGGATGTCCCTGATTTAGAGAAACCATCCCGGTTTCTGGTTTGATTCCAGATTCTTCTGCTTTTCCTTAAAGGTAAAGGTAAAGGGACCCCTGACCATTAGGTCCAGTCGTGGCCGACTCTGGGGTTGCGGCACTCATCTCGCTTTATTGGCCGAGGGAGCCGGCGTACAGCTTCCGGGTCATGTGGCCAGCATGACTAAGCCGCTTCTGGCGAAACAGAGCAGCGCACGGAAACACCGTTTACCTTCCCACCGGAGCGGTACCTATTTATCTACTTGCACTTTGATGTGCTTTCGAACTGCTAAGTTGGCAGGAACAGGGACCAAGCAATGGGAGCTCATCCCATCGCGGGGATTCAAACCGCCGACCTTCTGATCGGCAAGTCCTAAGCTCTGTAGTTTAACCCACAGCGCCACAAGTTCCTATTTTCATTGGATAAATGTCGGAGGGTATGTAGTTACCCGACTCCTGAGCCATCTGAAAGCAATCCTGTACACGAAAGTTTGCCTAAAGTTTAATGTTTTATTGTGTTTTTATATATGTTGCAAGCCGCTCAGTGTGGCTGGGGCAACCCAGTAAGATGTGTGGGGTTTAAACAGTAAAATTATCATTATGGAATGGGATGTCCCTATTTCCATCGGATAAATGCTGGAGGGTATGGAATGAAACATTTGGCACTTCTACAAAGCAGTCGTCTTCCTTCTCCATGAAATAATGCAATGGAAATTCTGTGACCGGCGGTAACTCAGGGTGTTTTCTGTCTTCACCTCTAATGATTCCCCCGGCTACTCCGCCCTGCTATCATCTACATTTTGACAGAGGCATCCGTTCTTAAATTAAGATTGTGCAGGGTCTCAGATGTATGAG